ACCTGGTGCCCCCTTGTCTCTCCAGATACGCGACAACTGTAGAGTTGTCGGTAGCCACACAAATCGCCTTGGACTGCAGGAATCCCCGAAAGGATTGCAGTGCCAAAAGAACTGCCCTCATCTCGAGCACGTTGATGTGCTCCGAGAGCTGATCCCCAGACCACTCCCCCGAGCGACAATGGCCGTCGAGGTAAGCTCCCCATCCTGTCATGGAAGCATCCGTGAACAGGGTCATAGAGGGGACAGGCTTGGTCAGAGGAACCCCGCGGAGAACATTCTCCCGAATGGTCCACCAGCGAGCGAACTCCCTGACCGACTGAGTGAGAGTTATCCAGGCCTCCCACTTCCTGGATGACGGAACCCAGTTGGACAGGAGGAACATCTGGAGAGGTCTGATGTGAAGTCTCCCTAGGGGGACCACATCTGCCAGGGCGTTGAGATACCCCAGAAAACTGAGGAACCAACGTACCTGGACCTGCGACCGTTCGATGAAGGACAGAGCTAGAGCCCTGGCCTTCTCGAACTTCTCCACCGGTGGTAGGGCTATGCCCAGAACCGTATCGAAACGATTCCCCAGGAAGACAAAGTCCTGAGATGGGGAAACCTCTGACTTCTCTCTGGAAGGAATGAAGCCGACTTTGAGTAAGACTTTCAGGACCAGCCTGGTATCCTTCACTAACGATTCCCTCACCCTGTGAAGCATGAGGGAGTCGTCGAAATAGATGTGGACGTCTATTCCGCGAGAGTGAAGGAATCCCACGACTACCTGCAGCAGCTTGGTGAACACCAAGGGAGCTGTCGTCAGCCCGAAGGGCATGGCCCGGAATTGGAAGACCTTGCCGTTGCACGTGAAACGGAGGAACTTCCGTGCCGACTTCTTGATGGGGATATGGAAATAGGCGTCCTTCAGATCTACTGAAGTTGCCCACATCCCTTCCCTCACGGAGGCCATGATGCCCCGTGGGGTCTCCATCTTGAAGTGAGGAGAATCTACGTGCCTGTTGAAGGCACTGAGATCTATGATCGGGCGCCACTCTCCGGACTTCTTCCGAACGAGAAACATTCGGGAGTAGAAGCCGGGAGTGATTTCCGACATAGGAATCTCCTCTACCGCGCCCTTGGCAAGCAAGGTCCTTACTTCCTCCTGGATCGCCCGAGCCTTCTCCAAATCCCCCGGAGGAGGAAAGAAGATCGGCTGGGCGGTAAGAGGCGGATCCTGAAGAAGGGGAATACCTAGACCCTCCTTGACCACCGACAACGTCCACACGTCCTCCGTAATTTCCTGCCACTGGGATAGGAAAGCGGAGAGACGCCCGCCCACAGGAAGCTCTGGCTGGGGCAGATCGAGTCCCTGCCAAAACAGAGAATCGTCCGCCCATCCGGAGCCTGAGCCTGCGGGAGAAGGACAAGAGACCTGAACGGGAGGACCGCCGTCCACCCCGCCAGACCCCTGTTCTGTCTCGGTCAAGGAGAAGAAAGAGTCAGGAGCCCTTCTTCTTGCCCCCAGGAGGTTTCTTACCTTTCTTACCTTTCCCCTTATTGCCCTTGAAGTGTGGCTGCGATTTGGGTTGGGCAGACGCCTGCCCAGCCGAAAACTTAGCCCTCTTCTTGGGAGGCGCTGACCCCTGCGAGGTGCTGGCCTTCTCGGAACGAAACCTCTTCACCAAGAGTGCTGAGGCGACCGAGTCCTCCTTCATATCCTTCTGGACAGAAGGAAGAGCTCCCCCGAACAGGGTAGAGCCAGTGAAGGGGGCAGTCAATAGACGGGAAAGATAAGGTTCTTCGACTGGGCGATTTTTTAAAATAGAAAATCGCCTAGCCAACACGACATTGGCGAGCAGGGAGACCTGTAAGGCCGCCGATGCCCTCAACGCCGCGTTCAGGGCAGCTGTAAGCCTGTCCTGAATGTCGGCCTGTTCCGTCTCTGGTACCCGACCCTCAGGCAAGTCGGATACCTTGTATAGACTCACAGTCAGGAAGTCTATGTAAGACAGAACTTGGATGGAAAGGCGCAACATCCTCTCCATCCTGTGGTGTTCTCTAGCATCGAACACCACCTGGTCCACTGATTTGCCGGGCCAGGCAGCCAGCTCCCTCGACTCCAGCTTTGCTGGTTGAGGGGCCAGTTGCCCGTCATGTGTAGCGTAGTCAGCGGTAGAAGCCTCTGACAATTCGCCAACACCGAGCTGCAGACCGGCAAACCCGGGGGTGCGGGTAGATGAAGAATTCTTCTCCAGAACCCGTGCCCGGGCAGTGGCCAGAGCCGAAGACACAATGGTGCCTTCTGGCAGAGTCCGATCAGTACGAACGGAAGCCCGAGGAGCCACCAAAGAACCTAGAAGGGTGGTGGACTCGGGCACCGACGATGCAGAAGGGGGTGGGCATACCTCCGCTCCGAGAATCCGAGAAATGTCGGCCCGTAGGGCCCGCATCCCCGAAAGAACATGCTGAGCCTCGGTTTCAGCAATCTCGGAGCCCCCTACCTCCTGGGAACCCTCCTGGTCGGAAGGGTCATCTGCCGATGACTCGGACGGATCAATCGCCGAGCACCCAGGAGACAGATGGATAACATCGTCATCCTCTGCCAAGCCCACGCCCTCAGCGTCCATCTCCTCCTCGCTAACGACCGAAGTCGCCCTGGGAGGAACAGGGGCCGCCAGAGGAGACCTCTCCGGAGAGGGGGACTCCTCTATACGGCGTTTAGACGTAGAACGTCTAACAGCCGAAGCTGTAGGCTTAGAAGCCAACCCCTGAGGACAGGAGACCGACGAGTCCGCGCGGGAGGCGGAAGTCCTAAAGGTCCGGCGAACCCTTTTTGGACCGGCCAAAACGGCCCCCGAAGTAGCAGAGCGTTGGGGGGATTCAGCACTGCTAAAACGTCTCCTAGAGGGAGAGACCATACCCCAAGGGTTCCATGAAGGAAGACCCATGGGGTTGAACCCAAACCTCTGAGGGAATGGGAACAGTCCTGCGGGCTGGGAGTGACCCCAGAACTGACCAAATTGGCCTGCCTGAGCCTGGGGCTGGACACCCTGTCCAAAGGACCAGGATGAACCTCCACTCCCACCAGGTGGAAACCCAGCCATGTACGGGCCGAGCCCGTAACAGCTGGGTAACTGTTGGTACCCATGACCATCCGCAGGTTGGCCTGGGCGGCCCGGGATTGAGTGCCCGCAGGCACCCCTACACCCCGAGCCCGGGGGAAAAGGCGACCGGAAACCGGAAGCCTGACCTGGGGCCCCAAATCCCTGGGGGAAACCCCCTGGGAAACCTTGCACAGGAAAATCTGGACTAGAGCGAAAAGCCCCAGATGCAGAGACCTGTGAGGGTAGGAACCCAGGCCCCGCACTGACACTAGGATTAGTGAACTCAGTGTCACTAATCCCCGTAGCCACTGACAACCCTGACAAAAAATCAGTGACCCCTGACCCCATACCCGGGGGTACCGGTCCGGCGTCAGAGCGGCCCCCACCAACGACGCCATCTGGCGTGCCGAGGTCCCTGAAAGACTCAGAGACCTGTGACCGGAAGTCCCTTTCCGACGGTAGCACCGCCGGCTGTCGAGAGCTACCGGCCGATTCGACCCTAGACTTCGCCGAGTCAGGGTCGGGTTGCTCCCCCCTATACCAGGACGCGCCTGGACAGGGGGAGCCACCCCCTGCTCGAGGGCGGAGCTCAGTGTGAGAACACCCCCAGCAGTGACAACCTCACCCCTCGGCTCAGGGCCGGGGGTAGAAAACCTGGATGGCTTACCTCTCTTACCGGAAGATGAGGACGAATCCCTCTTCCGGCGAGAAGTTCGCCGACTGGGTAGGGGAACCTTTACAGCGGACCCGGCGTGCAAACAAAGTTCGCACGGCGAGGCCTCGCTGCAAGGTCGGCATAAGGGACAGGCATCATGGGGGTCCTGCTCTCCGTAGAAGTGAGAACACCCATGTGCTGAACCACGACGCATCCCTGAATCCATAATTGTTACGAAATAAATAATCAAATAACAACAGTTATTAATACAAATAAACGTAACAAAAATAAATGGAGTGAAAAAAACACAACTCCAACAAACAAATACGAACGAAAGCAAAAGCTAACGAAACGTAAAAAAGCAAAGCAAAATATACGGTCGAATAATTAATACGACCGATAAAAAGCGAAAAAACTTCACGAAATAACCGAACAGCGCAAAACACGTAGATACGCGCTCGGTGCGTGGAGTATAGCAAAATGGCCGAACAAAGGCCGAACAAAGGCCGGCCGATAAAGGCCTAAAAGCAGGATATATTAACTAAATAAATGTCTGCTACTTCGGGGGCCGTTTTGGTAATTATTACTGAAATGAAAGTAACATGTAGAATGCACGTCTCCGAGAATGATGGTATTGCAAGTGATAATAGACTGCAGATTTTATATCCTTATTGTACATCGTGTTATTAGTTAATCCATCCGCTGAAAGATTAGATAATCGGACGTGCAGAATCGTTGTGACTGGTTCAGCCATATCCCCTTCTAAATATGTGCGATCCTTAGTATATTGAAACAACGATTCATTTATTTACTTATTTATTTTTTTTTTGTATGTTAATCTAAAATACAAATAAACATTGAAAGGTCCCCACAAAACAATCATCCTATGTAGCATATTGGTATAGGTATGTGATCATGCCAACGTTAACACCAGAATTATCTAGTGTCCTTTCGGTATAAACACGTGCTGCAGTTTGACGCAGTCATGTGAGACACATGTACATTTTTTGCGACTATAAGCCAAATTTCTACGATAGATAAAACTTGGAACATGTACTCTGAACATCTCAGGGAAGGGGATTAAAATGAGTTCGAGGAATGCAGGATATTCGAGGGATAACGTGTCGAGGAATCCGAAGTTGGATGATAACTATTATATAAAGACACAATCGACAATAATCGACCAATTCGATATTTAAGGGGCTATTCCGAGCCATCCTAGTTCTACTGTATTCCTGATCTTTCCTCAGATACGGAAGATGAATGAAGTTCTCGCCAGCATGAAGTTAATAAAGATGTTTGCATGGGAAGAATCGTTTAAACAATCTATATTGGGTAAGGACGCTTATTCTCGCGGGACAGCTGGTCTTATTTGTTCTCTGCTGGTTAAACCAGAGATAATTATAGCGTCTTCCTGTCTTTCTTTCTTTCTGTCTGTCTGTCTGTCTGTCTGTCTGTCTGTCTGTCGGTCCGGATGATTTCCATATGATAACATGAGTAAGTGATGACCGATAAGGTTGAAACTTGATTTAGTAGACCTAATATGTGATATTTGGGGTGAAAAATCAACCATGAAGGTGACTGTTGCTAAAGATAATTTTTTTGTTTCCAGATGATAACTTCAGTTAAAGATGATCGATTAGCTTTAAATTTGGGGTCGATAGTAAAAGAAATATTATTTTCAAACACTGCATACAAAGTTTCTTAATTTGAATTGTTATCAATCCGTTTCTTCAATAGGTCTCAGAGAAACGGAAACTAGACCATTGCTGCATTCGACAATATTGAATTTGATTAGCAATGCCATAATACCAGTTACTCCTTCACTTGCTACGGTAGCCACAATATCCATGTATGTTTATGCAGGAAATGACCTAACAGCTGCAACAGTAAGTTAATGTTTTTCAGTTTAATTCATGTAGTCATGACTGAATTGAGTATTGCCGGTAAAAAACTGTTGTATCTATCCTTAACATGGTGTGTATATGGAGATCCCTGAAAAGTGTCAAAATAGTATAACAATGTCTTCAAGATTTGAAAGCTGATATTAATCTATTTGCAGGTTGTTCTAAATGATATCACGTTATCAAATTAATGATATGTTTATAGCAACACATCTCCCAGCAACTATAGCGAAGGCTGAAAGTGTATAATAGGCATTTTTGTCTAACTGATCTTTTGTTGCAGGCATTTTCGATTGTCGCCACTCTCAGTTTTATGCGAATTACGGTCACCATCGTTCCTTTCGCCTCCCGGATATTTGGAGAAACAAGGATCAGTTTTGAAAGAATAAAGGCATGTCTTTTTTAAATGTCGTAAAACACTAGATATTCTCCTTCAATATTATGCACATGCTGCTTTATTACAGCAACCTTAACATACAGCACTTATTTGGATGTGACAATTTCCATGCGAACATCATTAAGTAGTTTGTAGGATTTTTGTTTCAAATGATGCGACAGTTAAAGTTTATCTCCTAAAGCAAGCATAGTTACAACTGATTTTTGCCTTAACAAAAATGTCTTTGACATTATAGATAAAGAAAATCAGTATTTACTTATAGACCTGCCTATGCTGACACCTTCATGATAATGACATTTAATCATTCCATACGGATAAAATGGTGGCTATTCAACTACTCCTTTGTTATGTATAAAATTTTGAAAGTGTTTTTTTTTCAAGTAATAACATGTACAATGTATAAAATATATGCCTATTATTCTATATCGGAGTTAAAGATAACCAACACAGTAAAAAACGGATGAGTTGAAGTCGACAGAACCAAATGAAATATTCGAATTATTCGATGGTTCGACTTAGAGGTGTTTCTATGAACGGGAATATTGTGCATCGAAAATTGGCCCTATTCTCATCGGTTGTTGACCGGATACGTGTCTCATAGGATGGTGTTACATTAGAATTAGTTATGAATAAATAAAACATTTTGTAATTTTGTACACAAACGATATCTTTAATTTAAATATTCAGATATAAGTGCGAATATATGAAACAATAAAATGAAAAGTGAAAAACATGGATACGCACCCACTCTCATACACATAACAATAAAACCGATACCTTAAGTAATACAAATATTATACTCACGTTTATATCCTTAAGACAAAGAACTTCTTATTTGTTAAATATATATCTATTGTTTTAATCTATTTTTTTCAAGTAAAGCGTATACAATGAATAAAACACATGCCAACTATTTTATGAAATTTTATCGGAGTTTTGAGATAACCAATACTAACATAGATCTTTCAACGGCTGTTATACTAATGTAACGCGTTGAAATATGCAACATTAATATTATTGTTTAATTTCCCTAGCGCTTTATGTTAGAGGAAGAATTCACGCCACCAAGTCGTAATGTCGTAGAATCGGATAATGCTATTGAAGTACGGGATGCAGTATTTATGTGGGAAGAAGATACTTATACTATTCCCAGTGAAAAACTCAAACAGAAAAGTACAGAAGGTATCCAATTCATATCTCATTATCAGGCTATTGTATGTTTGTGCTGCGTAATCAGAATGAAATACTTACTCTATACGGTATTAACACATAAAGACAATGCTTATTGTGACACACAATAGATATGTCGAAAGATGACTCGGTCAAAATTATGATGGACAAAACTTTGATATGGTAAAACTATATTGAAAATCTGTGAAGAAAAGCCAAATTATACAAAGTTGTTCAATTTTATATAAGATGATGTACTTACAATACAATTTTGTTAATCCAAAGTAATGTGTGCAATATCTGTTCAGCAGTTTACATATTGTTTAAAATTTTATTTTACTGCTATTATTTTCTTTTACATTATTTTGACGTGTTTCTTCCATATTAAGCTTTATCTATCAAAATATTTTAAGTATTCATATTTTCATCTAGGTTTGAATCCTCGTTCTTCGATAACAGCTCTATCGTTGAAGAGCATCAATATTGCAGTCAGACGGGTAAGAACAACAAGTATGAGAAATTTTAGATATGAATTATCAAAACAAGGATTTATTTTCAAATGAAACCCCTTTTATTTCCAACTATAACGACATGGAAGCGATTATTATGCATACCAAATACCAAATCCGTCATGAAGAAGCAAATAGTTTAAGGTTGCCTTTCCTTATAGAACATGTCATTTTGTAATCAATGCTTATTTGAATCAATCATTTGATATTTCCGATTTTAGTAATGTTTCAACTTCGCTAACATATGCAGGGTCGGCATATCGGAGTTTGTGGTGCAGTTGGTTGTGGTAAATCGTCCTTGTTGCAAGCGCTTATCGGAAGGGTAAGATGAATTACATCAAAGAAATACCAACATATCAATATAATCATAATCCAAACTCAAATTCCATCAATCTAGGTCGAAATATGAACAAAAAAAGATTTACACGAAGACTCATGAAAAAGAACAACGAGAATAAGACCAGATGTTCCGGAACAATAAACATCTTCTGCTCCTCGGTAAATCTAAGTAAGTAATGATACGTTCTCAAATAAGAACAAGGTATATAACAACGGAACTAACGAGCATGAAACACGCCAGCTTTATATCACACAAAGAAATCAAATATTTCTTAGTGAGATCACTATGACGACCATGAAACTTCTCCATAACTTCAATCAACCGGCATCTTGTAAAATCATGTGTTAGGAGTTTGTCCCTCATTTGACGATTTCCTGCATGAAAATCGTAATAATGGAAACAGGCCAATTAAAATCGAATTAACTGTGATATGTAAACAACATCGGTTGGGGATGTAACGATAAAGCTACCAAAAAATGGAAATTCACAAAATTCAGAAATTAAAAGCATCACGTTTTGAGACGAAAACTCTCATGACAAGGGAATGAAGGTGTTCCTTCAGTTTAGAAAAGGGTATGTTGGGGTATGTATCTGTAATCTTAATCTTGACGTGTGAATTTCATAGCAGAATCGTGGAAAGTTGGTCTATGATTTATTTTTTTTATTTTCGTTTTCAAGCTGCAAATGCTTTTACGAAAGGCGGACAGAATGGACTTGTTCTCGTTTCTCCCATTCTCTTGCATAACTTTCAACAGAATAAATAATTATCTTGAAATTCATATTCCTGTTAGACTATTTCTTTTATAAATTAGAAAATATCAAATATTCTAAAATCGACACAGCGCAACAATTTTTTGTTTTTGTTTTTTGTTTTTGTTTTGATCTTCAAATGAGAATTGATTCCTGGGATAATTTTCAAAATAAGGCGAGTGGATTTCTTTAATGTTTGAAAATAGGACAGTTGCCTCTCATCCCATATGTGATAAGAATGATAATTGCATTATCCTTAAATTTGAAGCAATACAGTCTCGCTCAATTAATCTCTCTGACCGAGATCAGAGTTACCTCCCTGATATAAAGGTATCACAAACATTGTTGTGGAACACGTTGTATAGGGCATACATTTAATTACGACTGCATACATAAAAGAACATACATTTTAAAAATCTATTTGAAGAATATTGCATATTCAAAGTTAAATATAGTTTGCAAATAATGTTCAATTGGAATTAGATATTTTGTCTGTGTAATTATTCAGGTACCAGATCAAAGTGGTTACAGAAAATGAAATACGGAAGAAGAAACATCCAGTCAATACTAAAATCACCTCAATAGTTTTATCAACTAGATACAACTATCAATTTTGTATTTGCTTAATTCATCAATGAAACTATATTGTATTATTGCATTTCTTATGTTACAGCAAACAAACCACAATAAAGTAAATTTTACTCAGTACTCCATTTACATTTATAGGTTAGAAAAAACTGTCAAATCACATATCTTATGTAGAGATTAATTCTCGTTGATCGTGTGGTTACTCTCCATGCACAAATTCATTTTCTGGAAAAAAAACTACAGAATCGAGCCATTCGACTTTATGGTATCGAAAATTTACCAAAGAAGCATAAGTGAACAGACCCATTCAATGCACGCTTAGATATAGACAGAGTATATCACACAGCTGACACGTCACTGGTGGTAAACTAAATATATGATGGTTGACATCCAAAATCGTAAAAATAATGAATTTATTTCAAGAAAACGTTAAGTACATGTGTATTTCCTAAACCGTCCCAGTATACAAATGAACAAAACGTTGGTATTCAGGTTACGACAAAGATCAGAAACTACAAGTTCATCAAATGCCTGCAGTCTGCAATCTCGAAGATTGTACACAAGAAAGACACACAAATAAATAGTATTTTTCAATACAAATTTAGAATAAGATACAATGGAGACAAACTACATCATACAGTTATAACATACTTTAACACTGATCCGTTTCCGCTATGTATATAGTTATAACATACTTTAACACTGATCCGTTTCCGCTATGTATATAGTTATAACAAACTTTAACACTGATCCGTTTCCGCTATGTATATAGTTTTAACATCTTTAACACTGATCAGTTTCCGCTATGTATATAGTTATAACATACTTTGACACTGATCCGTTTCCGCTATGTGTGATCATTTTCGAATTTCCAACTTTGGTACGAACCTTTGAAATAGACGGAAGATCTTCATATCAAATAAAAATGTTTTCTGTTTATTACAGATGCCATTGATTAACGGCCATCTTGCGGTTGATGGCTCAGTTGCGTATGCGGCACAGCAAGCATGGATATTCAACGGGACATTGAGAGAAAATATTCTCTTTGGAAAACCTTTTGAAAACGATTGGTACGTCCTTAGAATTATTACTAAATTTAAAGTTATAAAGAAAAGTGTTTGCTGTTTTATGTTCTGTTTGTATAACGATTCCTTCCAATAATTTAGAATGTCATAGTGCCTCCTCAAGTTATAGAAAGAATAATAACAAGAACAACTTAAAATTACAATTATGTTTCAGACTACCAGTTTCACCGCGTTGAATATTCAGACATCAAGTACATGAGGATCACAAAAGTGTTCGATTTAAAAATACATTTTTGTAAGTCATACTTGGAGCGACCGACATAAATTTCAGCACAATTTTGTCTGCATCATACACCTTCCTCAAATTGATTATGGAATTGGTGATTGAAATTAACAAACTGTCCGAACTTATAAATAAACAAACTATACATATTAACTTTTTAAAAATCAACACAGGTACACTAAGGTTTTGCACGCCTGCAGTTTGGATCCTGATATTCGCATTCTGGCCAATGGGGACATGACTGAGGTAAGCATATGCTAAAATGCACTTACTAATATTATTATCATACCACCGTTTTCAACTTATTAATACATACTTTCCTTAAAATAAAGATTAGTGAATACGGAGTTAAAAAAATAGAATCATACCAGATCTGAAATAAAGAATAAACCTCATTCATGTGCAAACAATTTATTTTTCATTTAACTTTACGGAATAATACCCACCTCCACTTTCTACAGACTCTTTAGATAGAAAATAAACTAGGTCACATCATTTTAAAACAAAATCATGTTTTTGCATAACCGTTTTTCAGATTGGTGATAAAGGAATAAATCTCAGTGGTGGTCAGAAACAACGAGTAAGTCTAGCTCGTGCTGTCTACAGTAAAAGCGACATCTATCTCCTTGACGACCCGCTATCCGCAGTTGACGTTCATGTCGGACAACACTTGTTTCATAAATGTATCGATAACGTTTTGACGGATAGAACAGTTGTTTTGGTGACTCATCAACTTCAGGTGAGTTAAAGCCTTGCCATGATGTGGCAATTAATTAGCTTGCTAACCAGATTTCCTCTTGTTATACAGCGATTATTTTTAAACGTATGAGTGAAGCCCGTTATGCATTTAATCTCATTTTTGTATATCGTCAAAAAGGTATATAACATTCGGTATATCAGTATTTATCAGATATACATATATATATCAGAATAATAATGACTCTTTTTTCATGCGTGCATCCTCATATGCTAAGAGATGGTTGAAGGATGAGATTATTGGTAATCGAATATCAATGAATGTTCCGGAAATCATATCGTAACACAAATCATCTATTAAGATAATGAATTCTTTATGCTTTCTTGTTCTCTTCAATGTTTAGTATTTAAAACACTGTGACGAAATATACGTTATGAATGATGGTGCGATTGCCGAATTTGGAACACATGAGTCACTGTTGACCCTGGACGGACTGTACACTATAATGGTGGAACAGTATAATTCCAACATGAACTTTACAGATACAATAGGTAATGATATCTCTGTCGTGGTCCTGGATTTTAAGTAATAAATAATATTGCGTATCTAGTCAACGGGGTTAATACTTACTTTTATGACCGTTCGACCTTTTCATAAAGTAGTAGTAATATTTAAGTCCCATTTGTAACACGATTCTACAAAGGATGATAATTAGATATTTCAATACTTATTAAGCATTAAATACAGATTAGTAAAAATGATAAATACCAATCGATGATACAAGTGTTCTGTATTATCTGGGACCTGCCAGTGATTAAAAAAAAATATATTTATACGTAAACAACAACAACATATCTTTACATACAGTTCTAATCTAAATTCATATTAAACTCGCCAGTATTGATATATTTTTCCTTTAGCCGAAACATTGTCTGGCGCTTTCGAATATCAATATTCTTATTCTATAATCGTTACCTTACAGCTGACCAATCGCTAGAAGACGATGAAAATGTAGAATTCATGGATATCACGACAAAACAGCAACAACATAATTATTCAATAGGTGCTGCAAAAAAAGATAATCACGAAAAAGGTTTGTTGAGAGAAACCGTCATCAGATTTCAAATTATAATTTACAATTGTTCAAGTGCCGTGTTACGTCATATCCGACATTGTTCTATAACTACCGATTTTACAGCCACACTTTAGTTTATTGTATATTAATAGAACACCCCCACCCCCTCCACTACATTTCTGTTCGTTGTTCATTATATTAATCATAAACAATAGTACCTTTCATACCTTGGAAACTTCTTCTCGTTTCAGGAATTCTGACAGATAGGGAGACATCTACAGCTGGCGACATTAGTCTTAAGACATACATGAGCTATATCAATGCTGCTGGAGGCAAAATAGTGACAGCATTGGTGTTATTGTTGTATTTTTTGTCTATTTCTTCGGTTTCCTTCAGTGACTGCTGGCTTGGAATCTGGATCAAGCAGACAGTAGGTTAAACATCTGATTTAATGAAGATATAATGAAATGATATTCAATTACAAGTACAGAAATATTTCTACTGCCGCTTCTACTACTATGTATTTCTTGAATTGTAATCTTGATCTAATTCCAGTCGCCTGAGTCCTTCCACCGCCTTTTTGGTTAACTGTGCATTTTACTCATTATTGCAAAGCTTCTAAACGATCATGACACATGATAAAGAGATCGATGTGAAACATTGGGGACCTCTAACATATGATACAGTAATCGGGGTGAAACATTTGATAAGCTTAGACATATTTAAACGTAGGGGGAAATGATTTTGGTGCATGATTTATATATTCATCATTTTTTGTTCACTATTCTACCTCTACGCCGCCATCTTGTTTCCGCGATCCAAGAAACAGATGGGTTTTTTTATTTTCCCAAAATAGATTTATTTAAAGGTTCAAAATCAAAATCAAGACGGATAGGTGCAGCAGCTTCATAATTAGATAAATTTCTTAATTTTCATACATCAAATAATTTTACAGTATCGTCAAGTACATGTTTAGACACGATGTATTTGGATTAGTTGTTGTTTAGTTACAGTCAGTAAAGTGAAAAATCAGATTATTAGATAAATACTCATTTCATTATTATTACACTGTACTGATTTGCTAGTAGCTTGCTACTGAAGGAAAAAGTGGCCGGTAAGTAACAGAGAAGGATAGATTGATCCGTCAAACTATTTAACACCATGGAGGGTCTTGTTAGGCAGACGTCTTGAAATGGAAATTCAGAAGTGTACATTTATATTTCGGCAAGCACACCTTGTACAATTTCCTCGTGGGTGGGGTCAGATCATATAATATAATATAAATGTACTTCAACCTGTTGGTGTATAATTGTTCTGGTCATTAACATAGGTGAACTAATTAGAAATCAATTTCGTACACAGGAACGAATGAAATATTCAAAGTTAATATGGAGGTTATATTATTCAAAATTGTGTTCAGTTAAACATATGTCTATTTAGTTATTGATATCTATTGACCAATTGTCAATTATGTATTGACCAGTGTCAAGAGGCATATTGTTGTTACTTAATCTACTATACATGGTCAATGTTACAGTTGTGGGATCGCACAACGTTAGACGATATACGATGTGCGCACGATGTCTGCACGATTAGCGCACGATGTATGCAAGAATTTCGCACGATAGGAAAATTGGACTTAATAAGCTACCGCACATTTGTGCGCACGTTGTGCGGTACTATCGTGAGACAGGGTTGTGTAAAACTCGCCATCTGTCACAAATATATCCGTTTACAAGTAACTTTTGTTGCCCGAGTCACCATTACTCGCCACGTTCTGGGGTGGGTAACTGTATACGATGACTTAATGATGCAAGTCCAGTGTTATTTCACAAACTATCGAATTTTAATGTCTTTTATAATCACCGATCAATTTTAATGTTCATGAGATCGCTATTTAGTTATAATTTGACGCATATTCCGTTTAATTTTCAACGGTGTGGGCAAGATGAATGCACGATATGCACAAGAAAATTTTGGTGCGTTCTGCGTTACCATAACTGTATAATGAATTCCCTGATTATATAAATTCTTACCTTAGGTCTATCTAGGCAGTTTGCATGAAGGTCAGTGTATACAAATCTTGTGGAAAACAATGTGATACTCAATCGTTGTAAGCCTGCGTATCTATTGTATAAAATCATTTAATCAACAGTTTCGTAACATTTGGGTATAAATAAAATCGTATATCTATCCAGTATGCATCGGTTCCTGAAGGTATGTGAGTGCTACAAACTCTACATAACATACACTTCAATAAACATACAACCACCCGAACAGCGTCCGGACTTTTCACTGGACTATCAAACATCAGATTTCGGCTTAATATATAAGTACTTATTTGATTATTATCATTTTTTGTGTGTTCTCTCTTTGTGATATTATAAATACCCAGTTTCACAATTATTGCAGACTTCCCCAGTGTTGATTACATCTCCTGCCAATACCAATACAAAAGACACACATTTCACAGGAGATGATAATTGCACGTTGTCCACCGAACAAACACACGCAAGCTCTTCCTTGGAATGTGAAACTGAAATTAACCTAGAGGAAACGGACTGGTATTTGAATATCTATATATATACAACTGTAGTAATGGTTGGACTAGCGTTGTTGAAAGGCCTGCTTTTAGGTTTGGTAAGTGATCCCTTTTGTACACAATTTGGATATATATATTCTCTTACATCAAATTATTTCATTTTTGATGATACCATAGCAAAGAAAAATAATGTGATGATACACTCCGAATTCCTAAAACGGTACATATTCAACATACTTCAACGTAATTCTGGGATCGTGAATTATTGAATTCATGAGATGTGAAAAATGAAACCACTGTATATTTTGATTAAAAGATTAAGAGTTCGCCATTTTATGAAACACTATTGTCCTGCTGCAGGTGACGATAAAAGCTTCTGCCAATTTGCACAACAATGCCCTTGGCAGAGTGATGAGTGCCCCCATGCAGTACTTTGACGCCAACCCCACGGGTAGAATCCTAAACCGATTCTCACGAGATGTGGACGATGGTTAGTGTATCTAATGACAGGGATCGATTTTGAGACTTTTACAAATGCCTTAATCAATGTCTGAATTCAGATGATGTACTTCATTGGCCGTTTAATTCTAGTTGAGGACCTTTCAATATTTTCATTTTTTCAGCTCAATAGTTAATGAATACAATAAAAGTATACATTTTCATGTCGCATAATTTATTCTTGAAACTGTAGCTTTGGTATTAAGCATTCAGCAATTCTATCCTCATCCAAGTGTATCATGATCATCTATTTTTTCCCAAAAGAATGTTTTAATGTATTATTTTGAGTAATGTTGCTGAAGTCATATCATTGTTATTGTTTAAAATTTCCTGTTTGTAATATACGGTAGGCTCATGAAATTTTTATGCCCCTTTAATGTAAATATTTCAGCTGACCGAAAACAAAATCCCAATTATTGGCTTTCTGTTGGCAGAAGTTAAATGTGATGTCCGTTATTTGGTTCTATGTATTATATACACAGTTCTCATTTGAGAACGTGGCATAACTCTCACTCTTCCGGACAACCAGTCTTATTTTCCATGTACACGCTTATCTCTCTTTGTATACTGAGAATTATAAAGCTGATGTTAATTCATAGGGGCTTTCGGATGGAAAATGAAATATGACGGTTTGCGGTCGTGAATGGTGAAAGGCGAGTGCATCGCCATTGCCCCATCCGACCACCCAAACAATTGATTGATAGACTTTGTATCTTCGGACTTAATGTTATGCTGAGGATAAAAGGGTCACAGTTCTCATATAATTATATGTATTTCTTTGTTGAAAAATAGTATTCTCTGATTTAGTTTTTGTATAATTCGATTCAGATTCAGGGTAGCAGCCTTTGCTGATGAACTCTGGTTTGTCATAGCATCAGACCAACTATTCTTCACGACGTTTTTCCAAGTCGGGGATTTGAATTGGAGAAATCTACCTGCCTTTCTGGAGTTGTACATTTTTCTTCAGGCTGTTTTGGTTTCCTAACACATCTTTTAGGCATTATCTGCGAGCTGAAGAAGAAACCAAATGCTGAATTATGCAGATAAAGCCTTGCTTAGATATACTATATCTTATTTTAGATTTGTATTGAAGAGTGCTACTGTGTTATGTGTCCGTTGTACATCATTTTAAGTGACAAGTTTGGCATAATCAAATTGTCTTTTTTCTATTGCAGCGGATATATTTATCCCTAATCTGTTGGATAGCCTTATTCAAGTTTTGATCCTAATAATAGCCTCCCTTGCCACAACAGCCTTCAATTTTCCTTGGTTTATCGCCGCGCTTGTTCCAATAGGACTTTACTTCTGCGTTGTCAAAACCTTCGCATCCGTATCAATCCGAAATTTCAAACGGCTGGAAAACGTCTTGCGGTCACCACTTATAAATCATGTAACCATGTCATGCAACGGACTTGGTACCATCGTGGCCTATTCACAGGAAAACGACTTCTTGAATGGGTAAGAAACAACAAATAATTGTCATTATTGATTCAATAGTGCCTGCGTATATCTCGACCAATAATAAAGACATTCTGTCACATTTCTTTCTTGAATGTATGATGCCTGTTATAAACAGATGTTACAAATACTCGGACACGACTTCAATGGGACTGATGTTGTTCGAAGCTAGTATGAGATGGATGTGTCTAAGAATGGACCTTGGGTCAGCTGTTATTGCCACCATCACAGCTATCATCGTGTTGTTCACTAAAGGTTCTATATCCCCTGCTTTGGCAGCTCTGTCCCTCACTATGTCATTCAAGGTGGGTGAATATGTATTTGTAGTATTAATCCTTTACCTCGTAATCAAAAGATGTTAATCATATTGCACGCACTTGGTTTTGAAAAATAGAAATATATATAAATTCTTGTATCTTGTATTCATCTTTCTTGGAACTTGATATCGTTTTCATAATGAAGTCAATTTATCGTGAGAGAAAAAATCAAGACACATATCAAAAAGTCATTAAGTCATTCTTTAAAAATATTTATGTTTATTTTCTATGTTGATGTCAGGTATCATCAGTTATCCAGTTCCTCGCCCGTATGGTGAATGAGGTGGAAGCTAGATTTACAGCTATTGAACGTCTTCATGAATATGAGGTATATGGTGATATTAAGGATTTTATTTCATGAATATATATCACATTTTACTAAGATAAAAATAAGGATGATCTAAATGAATTTTCTAAACAAGGTTTTACAACACATTCCTCAATCTACGCTGAATGTATGATGGTCGCCATTGTCTCCATCCTGTAGTATGATTGTGTTATTCGTCCCATTATGTTCAATTCGTGTTATTTCATCTGCTTATAAATGAATGTAATGCTATTTGATACCGTAGGATCTAGCTATAGAGAAGGAAACTGGAAGAATGCAGGTTGACAAAGAATGGCCAAGCCAGGGAAGGATACTATTTTCAAATGTGATAATGAAATATCGCAAGGACCTGGATCCTGTACTTCATAACATCAGTTTCGATATCCGTCCCAAAGAAAAGGTCGGCATTGTCGGACGCACAGGCGCGGGTATGACTTTAAAGATAACGAAAGAACTGAATTATTCAATACTTGATGAATTATTTGTGGTTGGTATCCTTCTGTACTATCAAAAGTTTGAAAACCTGCTTTCGAATACGACGCATTTCATATTCAAGATACAGAATATGTCTTCACTTACAGAACACATGATGAAATATAACATGTTTAGTTTCATTATCATGAATCATATTACATCGGATCTATGGAATTTTAACCTTTATTAATATATGTGAATATTGCAGAGTGTACGTATTGATGTTTGTAAATCATCACGTTGGAGAAGATTTGTTTATTAATCTTTCCGTAAAGTGCGTGTGCATCATTATCTTTTATTTAAAGAGATGTCATTTTCTTTTTTATAGACACGAGGAAACAGTCAGTGTTTCTATCAATATATGCAAAAGGAATACATAATCTCCAGAAGTTATGAATATAAAAACCACTCAATCAGAAAGCATTTTTTAAAAATCTTATACAATAAGTATGAAGATAATGCAAAGTTGAAATGAATTATCGAATAATATTATTGATGAAATGTTTCATTGGTTTTAAGGCAAATCATCATTAGTTGCTGCGTTGTTTCGGCTGAATGATCTATCAGAAGGTGAAATAATCATTGATGCCGTCAAAATCAGAACTATATCTCGGGAACGTCTACGATTAAGTTTGTCATCGATTCCACAAGATCCTGCCCTTTTTGCCGGAACATTACGGCAAGTAGATTGAGAATTGTGTTTGTTAAATTTTGTGAGCTATCAGGAATTTCCAAAATTATTGGTCCTTCTTCAATGGTACTTGATATTTTCAACCCTAAATGCCTGATGATGTTGGATAATTTGCCTGGTCACTGTTATTGCGTTACTGATAACACTGTAGTGATTTTAGGGTGGGTTTTCATTTTCACAGGTACAATCTAGATCCCTTCAGCAAATATACGGACGCAAAAATATGGGCAGCACTGGAACAAGTCCAGATGAAAGAAAAGGTATACCATACAGTTATGTAAATATTATTTTATGTTATGTCCATTTCAAGGACCTTTCATTTTTCAAATAATTTTATAGTTAAGTGTAGCGACATCAGTGAATCTTGCCATCATTATCAATTGGATGATTCAATGTTATGATCGGTTGTAGTCTTTACTCCATAATTACAACTATGTCAGTAAATTTTATAGTAAGGAAAAATCGGGTCGGTCGGATAGCAAAGATGACCAATGACCACTTCAGTTATTACCATCTATTTATCTATTTATTCTAATTCTGGTTGTAGGGAAGTCAGTAAATCTTGCTATCAATATATTGGCCGTGTCTTAGTGTTATGATAGGTTGTAGTCTTTACTCATCAAGTGTATAACACTTTCAATGATATGAAAGATTGTTTGTATAAATTGTACTTTTCATTTGTATCGAATTAGTTTAAATCATAAAAGCAACTTAAGTTGATAGGACAATTTTACAGACTTCAAACTTCATTTTAAAATGGTGTTGACCTGCTTGTTAGGACAATCAACTCAAAGAGATGTTTTGAAAACATAACACTTGAAAATACCTAAGAATAGAAATTCAGAGTGCTTATCCAAGTATATTTAGTGATAATGTTTTCACACTAATAATTGTATCTAATATCCTGAAATATATAATATTGTAAGAATATACAATGTTGTAATAAATAATTTTGAATTTTTTCATTAAGATGTTACTTCTTGACCAGAGTCTTGACTCACGCATCGAGGAAAACGGTGAAAACTTCTCCGTGGGTGAGAGACAACTTATATGCTTGGCACGCGCAATCCTACGTCAAAATAAGGTAAAAATACATTTAAGTCAGTTAAAATCTGAAGTTCAAATACAAAAGGTGTCATTCAACTTCATATTTGATCTGATGTTCCAAAAACATAATTTCGTTAGTCAGACGGGTAAAAAATATTTGCGTTCATGCGGACAAATTGTACACAACTGTCTGTATCTATTTGCATACAACATGTTCTTTTGCGACGTTACTATGTTCTATTCATCAAGTATGCCAGAAATTATGGATAATTAATGCAACAAAAACAGTTTTGTCACGGAACCTAAATGATGTGGCAGATACTCTGTGACAGTATAACGATAGTGTGACTATCGACTTGATAAATATGAAGTCAGAAACCCCATTTCATTCCTTTTATCTCAAAGTGTCGGCTCATTTTGATGTTGTATTCAGAACAGCTCTGCTATTTATATGCAGTTTGAATACCGGAGTTGGTAAATATTGAATTTAAACTCCTTTGTTATCTAACAGTATTATACTATACCTATGTGTCGCTGTTTTACGATGTAATATCATGAATTGATTTATGTACACTAACTTCAGCAACTATAATTTACTTTAGATTCTGGTCCTGGACGAAGCAACAGCCTCTGTCGACACAGCAACGGATGTCATGATCCAACAGACGATTCGAGACAGCTTTGCCGACTGTACCGTCCTTACGATCGCTCACAGACTCAACACCGTGCTTCATTGCGATGTTATTATGGTCATGGAGGCTGGGAGGGTGATAGAAATTGGAAATCCTCATTCCTTGTTGCAAAATCCGTCTTCAAATTTCAGCAATATGTTTCGGGCTCAAACCTTCCTGTCACACAATGTTTGATTTCAATCTTAAAAAATAAAGTTTCCGTATTCTTAAATTAAATTAATAAATAACAACAAAGAAATATAATGAGAAAGTTTGCATTTGTACACATACAACTTTGCACACGTAAGACATAATGACATTTTCTCACATCTTCAATCTGTAATATAACCAAACAAATATCATCACTACATTCAATGATATATCTATATATAAGCATGTAAACACATGCATACACATACATCATACATACATCCATATATGCATACTCTTACATACATGCATTCATACATATATATATATATATACATACATATATACACCCTCACACACCCACACCCTCACACACCCACACCCGCACACACACACACACACACACACACACACACTCTCTCTCTCTCTCTCTCTCTCTCTCTCTCTCTCTCTCTCTCTCTCTCTCTCTCTCTCTCTCTCTCTCTCTCTCTCATAGACATTAATATTTACATAATTATAACTAACATGATGAGCAAAGGATATTAAAACACCTAACGATATGCTATTTTTAAGTGGTCTGCATGGAAGTGTGTATATTATCATAGTATTTTTCAAAGGAAAGAAAGAAAACAAAAATTTTAAAAAAAGAAAGAAATAAGGAGAGAAAAAAAAATAAAGATAAAAAAGAAAGAAAGACTGAATGCATATGTAAGAAAACTATTTACTGGATGGGGTGGCAAGTCAAAGCTGACAGCAAAAAGTACAATTTTTTATTCTAATGAATTATTTAGGTAGTTTTGACTGTTTGCAGGTCTGAGATGTGTTAGTATGGTGGGTAATGTTATTAATATCATTATATTATTAAGAAACTGTACCTTAAATTCTTGCAGTCAGATGTTAATTGGTGTAAAAAGTTTGTATTTATATTAAAGTTTTGAATAAATTCATATGTAAGTCACACCAGTGTTTGTGTCTTTAATTAAATCATCAATTACTAAAATATTTATATGATAAAATTTCTTATAAAACACTACCAAACCGTAAAACATTATATCCTTGTTGTGCCACAACAAGGATATAATGTTTTTTTTAACAATATATTTCCATTTCTCGGTAGTTTGATAAACGTCTTCTTTAAAGAATTACGGAAAGTTGATAAGTTAAACATTTTCAAACCCCCATTAGTATTTTGAATTTATCATGTCCCCCATTCCATAAGTAATCGAAAAATATCAAATTTAAGAAAGTTTAAGAAAATGCATAATTAGGTTAGATAAAGAAATGAATAAACGAGTAAACTGCTATATGAGTAACAACTAAATGATATCTATTTTTCCAATAGGAGTTAATGACCTTCTCTTCCATTGTAGATTGTACTCTGGTAAAAAAACTGTCATCATTACATTTTTTATTCCCAATCCTTATTACCTGGTCTTATCAACGTTTAAAAACCCGCAATCTTTGCAAACCAACGCATCAAACTGTATAACTGATTCGTTTAGCATTTTTTACCCATCCAGTATATATGAAGCATCATCTGCATATTGTGGTAACAAAAGTGGATAATTTCAATTTAAATCCCCGTAATGATGCTATTATTTCTAACTTTCATTGCTTAAACCTCTGCACAATGGATAAATAAATATGGTCATTACATCTGTCTGCAGCCCCTCTCAATATTGATTACCCCCTTGATTTACGTTTTACATTCTCAATAAAAGACCAAGAACCCGAATCAAATGTTACAAGCAACATACTATGTATATCACGCTCCTTTGTATAATTCATAAAATCATATATTAGCATTGTATTAATTCTTTAAGTCTTTTATCTATTAGTAACAGAACCAGAAGCAATTTTGTATACTACATTCAATGATAATATAGTTCTCTAATAAAGTGTCTTAGCTTTTCATTTACAAATTCTGTTGTAAAGCCGTCAGACCCAAGGCTTTTGTTAATTTTCATTAGTTTTAAAGTATTCCACCGATTTCAGCTGATTCAAACTGTGACAGTGTAGGTGTGTCATTGTAATTTATATAACCATTCAGGTTAATTTTTTGCATGCCATCTGTATTGTAACCACCATCATATAGAATTTAATAAAATATGTATGCTTCTCCTAATATATCTTCTTGCTGTGTAACGTATGCATTAGTATATTATTCACAGTAAGTAATTTAGGTATTAATTTAGAAGTGTAATTACAATTTTCCAAACTAAAAAAAATCTAGATGGGTTTTTCACCCTCTTCTACCCACTTAGCCCGTGATCTAATGATGCTTCCTTTTTGGCATTTAATTCTTCTATATTAATATTATCCGAAGTTTCAAGTTTATTAATTATTTTCTTAAAATTTGCTTCCTGTGAATTTCAAAGCTTCTTTTGTATGAAGTATTTGGAGATAGTATTTCCACGAATTTCCAAAAGTACCATTTCCAGAATTAACTGATCATCAACTGAATATCAGAATTAGAATCAGGTATACATTTTGATATTCTCTTAAAATATCAAATAAACCATAATTTTCAATGATTTCCGAAACTTTATCCCTGGTTTTTGGATTATTCACATTTTTATATATAACGTACAGACTACAATTTTACAGACCACATTACACATAACTTAAAGACAAAATAGATGACAAATGTATGTTATATACTATTAAAAGAGTTAGATAATGTTCAACATACAGACAGATAGATATGAATGATTTTCCCGATTAAATCCTTAAAGGAGGAAACACAATGTTAACACTCATGGACACAACATTTAGAAATGATCAACATATTCCTACTGACTGGAAACTTTACATGGCAGGTGTAGCTGATGAAGCAAAGAATGTTTACCGTTCCTGGAAACGTGGTTTTATTCTCATTTTTAAAGTGTATACCTGTACATCTTTCGTTTCATCGAATATGTGAATTGAATTACCATTCCGTTACAATGCCGGTAGTTTTTTTGGTGTTTTGGTATTTGTATTCTTTTAATGCAAAGGAAATAGGTCGACAGAGTTGATAACTAACTTAATAAAGATTTTAATAGTAGGTGGCAAGTGGTGAGAAATTAGGCCTTATGTCGTGACGATGCATGCGATGAACGTTGGGAATGCATGTGTTTGAATAATTACATCTCACTCCTTCGCACAGGCTAATATATAAACCAACGGAAAATGTAAATCGCTGGATTGGTTACTTGATAAATAATTCAAAATGTTTCGTTTCGTTAATTTACATAAACATAGGAGAGAATAGATTTCACAACGCCTTGAAGTGTAATATTTATAACGAGTTCCAATAAGACAGATGTGGTAAGGCGAAAGTGGTAAGTTTACACTGCATTTGTTGGTTTTAAACAGCTTTTATGTTATCTTTATTCAATCACAATATTTTTTCTTCGAGTAATTCGATGTTGTGAAAATTAGGATAAAGATTGAATGACTGAAATATTTAAATATTTAAAATGTAAACAGTAGTATGTTTGTAAGATTTTAGATACGCTAAAAAGAATTTGATGATAAACTTTATCACGTGGTAAATGTGAAATTCAAAATATCAGATATTAAAAACTGTGATACTTATCCTTAGAAATTCATTGCAGAAAAGTTTGAAAATGTGTGTACCTAATATTTGCTTATATCATTCTACTTATGTGCTTTGTAAGAATATCAAGCAGTTCGAAGTTTGGATTATACAAAGTTTTTTATGTTTGTGCTTTTAAATGTCAAATTCAAATTACAAGCTTGACTTAGTTTTAACATGAAAGCCATAACGTAATTATTCGTTGTACTATAGTCCACCTTGATGCGTATAGAAAAAAACTGGAATTCAAGATACTTACTAGGTAAAGATAGAAATTCTAATAAAGATATCATCATGCTTAAAATGGTTTCGGCATTTGTTATTGACCTCTTTACAGGTAACAAGTTACCAAAATGAGCATGGATGGTAAACCAAAGCTCCGGTCATTCAGTATATTTCCGGACAGAAAAGTAAATTTTTCCTTTGACAATCCCGCTATTAATGGCGATCCTGATATGGTTGAAAATGATTCCAGGTAATTGATCTTTACTTTCATATATTCTTTGTTTTTATAAAAGTTTTAAATAATTGATGGTTGATAGTGAAATGTACGAGATGAACAGATTTTTGATAATCTTCAGATTAATAATAAGGTGGAAAATTATGTATTATTTGCAATCTGGACAAAATTGTTCGACTACATGCCTATCTTAACCCTGTCTTATCTAACTAACTATTAAGATGGTATTATTTCTGCATTGTTTAAAGCTTTTATAAACGATATTAAGTTACTCTATTTGTAGATACAACTATTCTAATAACTGATGTTAAAATAAGAACACCTCAACATACTCGTAATTCAAATCAAGCCTGGCAAATATAATATGAAAAAATGCTTCAGATAGGTCAATCACTTATTCTGTCTACTTGTGAATGGCCATCACACCATATGTTCATTTCTTAATGGCCATTTTCAGTGAACGAGTGCATAAACAGTTCCAAGAGATAGTTGAATCTGGAAGAATTAATTTGTCATTTTGCACCGAACTAAATACGTTTTTGTTGTTGTTTCTCGTTACTGTTTCAGTCAGCCCACAGCACATGGACTTGCAGATAGTCATTTCACACATGGATCTGCATACAGCCGAAAATATTCTGTTTCACTCAAAACTATGAAACCTTTTCGTCCATCATCTAAGTAAGGAATATTAGTACAATTCTTGTAATTATGTACGCTGTTTTCTATCCTGCAGAAAAAAAATGTAACAACTGTTCGTAAATTCCTAAATCAGAGTAATATAAGGCATCTGTTTATTAAACAAATACATCATTGTCAGTTGGTCTGGGATACTTCTGCATGCTCATACTACCGGAACGAATATTATTTCAGTTTGATCACGATATCTCCTGTATAATTTGTCAGTCGATATGTGTATATATATCTATGGATGTGCATATCTATACGCTATCTTCATCTTCTAACGTGTAAAGTAGGATTATATCGCAATCAGACAAGAGAAACGAATGCATGTCATTAATCCCCCAGATGAAGTGGGGACTATTTGCTTTTACCCCGTTTCTTTATAATATAAGCGGTAGTAGTTTGAAGGAATTAACTCATTGGTATGATATAATATGGTAAGCACGACGGAGCAATCAGTTGTTTGAGTAAACATCAAATATGCCGCCAAAATGTTTAAACTTTGTAAGCCAATTCCTCTCCATATTCCATCACGACATTCAAATTAATAGGTTGCACTGCCATCTCTGGCTGCTGGTCGATAACATTGCAATTAAACCACGATCCTATATCTAAAATATATCTTTTTATTATGTTTTTTTTTCGCGTTACGGTAAACCTCAGAAACATAAGCGATCATAGGGCATGACACCTCCTATTGCGATTTGAGCTTAAATAGGTTCGGTGCTTACAAATATGTCTCGTGGGTGGGTTGTTATTAACCATGCTCTCATTTGAGGAACATGTTATTACTTACTTGAATTGACAAAATGCATACAGTAGATGTGGTCAAAAGAGCAGGAGACGTTTGTCCTTACGAAAGATCTAACCTATTCTTATCCCCCTTCCATTTCGTGTAAACAGTTATGTCTCATAGTTTATACTCGGTACAAAATTATGTTAAAATATTGGTATTTACTTGTTTTCATTGACCCATACAACTTTATTTGAACCTCCGTTTTTCAGAAGACTCATTGCCTATAATAGCAAAATGGTTATATCAGATTGAAGCATTATTGTCATTCTTTATGTCATTATTTTTCTTTTTCTAGAGATGGAAAAATTCCAGTAAACAAAGTTGGTTTATTCTCCTACATCACGTTATCATGGATATCCTCCATGGTTATGAAGATTTACAAAAACAGAGACCAGGCTCTGAGGGAAGAGGATGTATGGGAGATATCAGACTGGGAGTCATGTGACGTCAATACAGTCAGGTGATACATCCATATTGGTTTTAATAGGTTTACATTTTACAATATCAAAATAGCTTATCATGATTTTTTCAGGAAAAAAAATGATATTTCCTTTATGGCTACATAAATGTAACGTCAAACATATCTTTTACCGAAGTGAAAAGGGCTAAATAGAAGGAATTGATCAACGTTATCCCTGACTTTGCACGATTAGTTTCATGATCTCAGTAAACATTGGTATCGGTATCATCATAGATCGTACAAAAGACACATAAGTGGAGAACACCTTTCAATACGGATTAAGAATATAACACAGTAGAGCCAATTGTTGAATCAACTCAATAATACAGATGATTCGTCCTTTCAGGACCTGTCAGTTATGATATACAAGTGTTGATTTTGAAACTTAAGAGAACACGGATGGAAATAGAAATTGGTCGAAGGAAATGTCGAAAAGATAGAGTGAGATATGTACAAGCCCCGTAATCCAATACAATAAGTTTCAATACTAGCTATGTTATCATTCTGTTTTATTATATCGGTAGAGAAGCTTACGATTTTTTCTGTTTTGTTAGGCGCTGGGGAATGTCATATTTTACATAAAATCTCTTAAAAGATTTTTCATCACATTTCAATTATCGTACACTGTTCAGTTGTGCAATCGTAACATCAATTAATGAATAATAAATAATAAAGACATATAATGCATAATCGTATGAAATATGTACAGCAGTCAGAATTTCATTGAGGCCCTAGGGCCCTGTTAGCAGTATTAACTACAACCAGTTGAGATTGAAATAACTTATTCTATTATTAGATTAGAAAAAATATGGGAAAATGAAGTAGCGACACATGGTGAAAAAGGATCCTCATTCTTAAGAGCTTGGTTCAAGTTCATCCAGACACGGCTCTATATAAAAATATTGCTTGTCTGCGTCAATGCTGTGCTCTCATTTTTCATGAGCGTAAGTATATTTCAAGTAGAATATGATCCTTATCATGCCCTAAACCTAAGTTAAACGCACATTATATACGTTATTTATCAATGTACATGAAATTGATGACTAAATTTGGACATATTTGTAACGTGTTGATAGACACACTCTGTCATCTACATTAGACAAAAGGCCAGTGAAACGTATACCGAGATGTACCGTGTAAGAGAAAACAATAGACCGATTCGGTTTAGAAATCGTACACCTAGGTGTAAATACTACACGAAATGACAATAAAATTTTAGGAAATTTAATGTCACGAGAGAGTTGTTTGAATGGTGTGACTAGCATAAGTTTAACTTTACTAAAACATGTCATCAAATCTAAATTTAGCTTTCCCTAAAATGTGGTTTTTTTTTCAGGGATACATTACTAATCTCGTAGTCAGCTACCTAGAGTCCGAAACCTCGGATCTGGGCTACGCTCTGGCACTTGTTGCAGGAAATACCATCGGTCAAATTCTGAGAGCCGTATCATTTACCTGTATAATTTTCTTCGGAGTCCAGACAGGTAAAATTTTTGTTTCATTTATATATCAATGCATACTTTAATCCACGCATAAACCTTTTATTGAAGATGATATAAAAAATTCTTACTTGAGTCGTATTTTTAGCCTGAATAAACGACATGAATGTAGCGTTATATATATATATATATATATATATATATATATATATATCTATCATTTGTATTAATTTAACAAATAATATTGCTTGTATCTCGGGTACTTGTCAAACTATCGTGTATATTTTAATAAAAGTCAGAAAGAAAGGAACATTTTGTTAAATTGCCTTACACTATTAATGAACATCCCGTTCTATCAGTACCCTTATTCTTAATCGAGTTCCTTGTTTTAAACTATATGGCTACAGTATCGTAAATTTATCTAATGTTTGCTCCTCAGTACATAAGCACTTAACCTGTAATTGGTAATCTGGTAGTAGCAACTTTCGAGTTGTTAAGAAACTTTGCAATTTTGATCCTTTCAAAAACGCAAACGATCTAGTGCATGGTGTAGCACGAAATGGTGGCATTGACAAACAGAGGTCATTGAACTGAATAACAATTATTTCGGCTGGCAAATCTTGTACAATGTCTCCGTGTGGTCAGATCATCTAATTTAGTCAAGATGTACTCAGATCGATTGTTGTTTAGTGACTCTTGTCATAAACATAAAAAATAGTCGTGTTACATAAATACTTACTTAATTATCTAAATAACTTATTCGGACGTAAGAAATACGATCACTCGTTGTATAATCCCCATTTCATTACCCTACACGTATGCTGCATCTCATATTTGAAGGCACGAGGTTCCGAGCCGGTATGTTAGGTGTTGTCTACAAAAAGATTCTGAGGCTGAAGAATGTTAAAGGCAAGGTAGCATCTGAGGTAAGATTCAAGACAAAGTCTATACGAAACCCAATCAATTCAACTCGAAAGTCAGATGATAATTTGATACATAGTTAGCATATCGACCACCTGATAATTCGATATGTAATCTCTACAAATCCCGAAGTCCCTTAATCCTTTTAGTTGATAAAATTTCATTGTATCAGTTACAACCTTGTCATATTATACTTTTCATTTTGACCATTTCCTATGTCATGAAAGTGTATTCGTTCTAAATCGAGTAATCGAACCCCCGGGTCATAGCATAAACTTTCCAGTACACATTCATTCAATGTATTATGCTACAAATAACACTAATGTATGTATTAATGTGCGTTAATGTATTGTTGTGTTTTATAGATCGTTACAATATTTGGAGCCGACTCAATGAGGGTGTTTATCAACTGTATATCGTTTGTATATCTATTGGCTCTCCCAGTTTATGTTATTATTGGAACGGCATATACCTACTATCTTATTGGTTACTGGTGCTTCATCGCTCTCACAACGTTTCTAATCTGCTATCAACTACAGGTGAGGTTTTTTCAATATCTATGAACATAAATATGATGCAATGACCATGATATATCACAATGGTATAACTGATTTGTGTTATGATATTAGATAATAACTGTTACAACGTTATATTTAAAACTTTTTACGATATATTAGGTCTTTTGAAATTTTTAACATAAAGGGCAGTGCGAAACTCTAAATAGCTAACATCGATGTTAAATAAGACTAATGTGAGATTTAATGTAACAAATATTCTAGTTTCATGTCAACCGAAAATCATATGTTCCATATTCATATTGGCATTACAATTTTCTTAAGGGTTACATTCTGTTACTGAAAATCCTTTTTAACAAATTAAATCATGGCTTGAATTGTGTTAATAATTTCAATTAACATGTTGGATATCGTAGACGAAACAGAAAACGCTTACTCTTCCGTACCACGTGGTCTTATTCTTGTACTTTTTCCTGAGTCTTCGTGTAAATCTTTCTATTGTTCATATTTTGTCCCAGTTTTTAAAATTTGATTGCGATTGAGATCATGTTGACATGTTAGTATTTTCTTGTGTTTATGCAGGCACATCTCTCTACCTTTGTCGCTTCACTCAGACGCAAAACATTAATTCACACAGACAAAAGAGTAAGTTATAACAATATTGCTGAACTGGTCTATGAAATGACGTGTCTGACAAATTATTAAAGACACATTCCTTATATTGAAAACAACATCATGATTAACCTGTTTCAACAACATACCTGGTATAAACCTGGAACATATTTAACACGCTTATATTCACCATTGCTAAATATGATGTAAATTTACTCAACTTGTATTTCATTCAGATTAGGAAAATGACAGAGGTACTTAATAGCATGAAGATGATCAAGATGTATGGATGGGAAGATTCGTTCCTGTCAGCAATTACGGGTACGCATTGAGACTAGGACTTCTGCATTATAACGTTAAATGTTATTTTATATATCATTTCATGAACACACCAATCCTGTTATCTTATCTCTATAGTTATGCAATGCCAATCGATACTATACTTGCTTTTGATACACAATTATAAATACTATGTTTTATTTGCTTATTGTAAAACCTTGCAGCCATCAGGAAAAGTGAGCTTCGTGTTCTGCTAACCGCTGCCATCGTCAATGCCATCACCAATGCCATTATACCAGTCACGCCCTCTATCGCGGCAGTCGCTTCCATAGCAACCTATCGAGCATTCGGAAACGAACTGACAGCGTCCACGGTTAGTTGATTCTGACAGAAATAAAATGAATGGAATGCTGTCCTGAATATTGATTCAATTTCGCAAGAGTGGAATCAGTTTAATATCTTAAGGCAGTTTTGCGTTTATGCTAATAATGAATTCTATAGCTGATACATGTGCACTCGTTACAACAAACATGTTTTTGATGTAAAGTGTAGAACCGATGGATTCATTCACAATAAAAAATTTAAAAAAAACCGAATACCACCATACTTGAGTGCGCATCCCCTAACATTGGAAATCGTTAAAACGTTTTATTAGTTTTTTTCTTTTCAAATCATGCTATAACAGCAAAGTTTGAAGCACATTTGAAAATTTTGATATCGCTTATATTATTTTTTCCCATTGCTTATCAGGCATTTGCTCTAGTGACCACACTGGATTTCCTACGGGCTATTGTGTCCTATGTGCCGTTTGCTACGCGTACATTTGGCGAGTCGAGAGTCACATTTGAACGTGTTAAGGTAAGCAAGGATATACCAAACAACTTCTGCAGGAGGTAAAAACATGATATCATGCATAAAATTTTAGTATGTTATTGCAAGTTTAAATGCTAATCAAATTTATCTAGGAGTAAATTCATGTAAAATAGAAACTGATTGCAATTTTCTTGATATATTTTCGACCAAATAGCTAAGAAGTATATTACCTTCAAATATATTTTATGTCTTGATTTAGACACCATTTTATCTACATCTCGATCTCAACACTTTTAACATTTGTGACATCATACAATTATTTCAAATATTCACAAATACAACATTAAACCAACAACGTTGAACGCACCTTTTCCTACGATTTATCTGTGCGAAGTAAATTATAGAACAACATATTGATAAGGATAGCAAATGCATATTTTATATGAAACTTCTGAAAGCTAAGTAAACCATCTATTCCATGGCTCTTCGATGTTGTTATCACCTAATTATGATTGCTACTCGTTACACGTTACATATATATAAATTCAATGTGGTATCAAAGAGTTTTGAGTCTCACACAAGTTTTCGTGCAGTACTTCTGTATTTGTTTGGCAACATGTTAATTATAAAGCGGTGATAAAGTCTCTAGTCATTAGGATCAATCCTCCAAACAGGTTGAAGAGCTAGTGATTAAGGTTTATAGGGAATCTTCCCCTACTTCTAGAACTACCATCCGCCGGTTGGAGGACCTCTACCATGTTAGAGAAAGTTTATAAGGTGACCCCCGCTCAGGATGGCTATCAACTAGTTTTGTATATGTACTGTATACGGATAGATGGGGGATGTTGCATTCTACCGTTTGGCATTATCCTGGCAATCTATAAGGAAAGAGTGTGTGAATTTTGAAGTGTAGAGTTGCAGTATGAATCCGATTGTCTTGCTATTTTCTGTGTGAGACTCGAACCTGTTTTACTATGAATTCGTGTATAGATATAACACGATATACAAACGGCATTAAAAAAATTGTATAAAAGGAAATTATTGCTTCTTAATCTTAAATACATGAGTGAGAACACCCATAATCCAAAACAAAAGTCCAAAAGTCAATAAATGGTGTATTTGTGTAATTTATCTTTAACTGTATTTTAGGCTTCTATCTAAATAATATATTTCAACCTATGTATTTGTCCGAAAATAGAAGTTGATGTTAAGAGAGGAATTCCAGATTCCAAGCTCCGAAGTATTAGACGATTCTAACGCTATTGAGATACAAGATGCTGTTTTTCAATGGAACTTGATGACCGAATCACCGGATGACAAGTCGAAGAAAAAACATGAACGAAAAACGAAAAAGAAGAAAAAAGAAAATAAAGGTAGTTTTTTTTATGATAAATTGAACATAGTTATGAATGTATACTATTTAGAAAAAAAGCTGTGTACTTCGATTTGTTAATTTGCAATGCGGTATAATAATGAATGACATCTAGCGATCAATGTATTTCTTGTCGACGAGACGTTACACGCAAACGCCCTGTTCGTGTCCGATCTCGTTTAGTCTTCGTTTGCTGAAAAAGCCTCCACAAAGCATCTTATCTTATTAATGGGCACCATTAGCTGTCATGATTTCTCTGGAAAAACACTTTCTGATACAGTCTATGGAATGCAACCTATAAACGCAAAAACTGTTGGACATTGAAGCGTTGCAGAATCAAATTTTGATGTTTTTACCAAAATGTCCTGGATTTTTTTTCTGAAATTACTATGTTAACACAATTCTTTCTTTCGTTAGTTAATGTATCTAGTACGTTCTTTTTAATTCTTATTTGAAAAAAAATCAGTAACCATTGGTTATCTCTAAGCAGTCATTGAACAATCAGGACCAGGTCTTCAAAGTAAAATTATTATTAAAGATGAGAGCACACAATGTTTCTGGTTTTTGAGAAATCATCAGCTCCAATCATTTCGCTTGACATTTATTAGTAAGTCAAATAAATATGTTTGTTATAATGCTACCATATTGACATATAGTAACCAACTTTGGAAATTTCTTAATGTGTTTTATATACATGGAGACATACGTTCAACGCTTTTATTTAGAATCAAATCGACCACCAAGTAGTTCCTATATGCAACTGGACAGTATCAATCTTAATGTGAAAAAGGTAAGCTTATTTACTATATAGCACTTAATGTACACAATCACGTTTTCTTCACCTGATTGTTTAACTTTCGTACTTTTTATTTCATGTTGAATATGATTTCGCGACGTATTGAAATATTTTTGGCATTTTGGATGGCTCTGTAAGTATTCAGTAGGTCCTCTCCCCCAAATTTCATTGATTTTGCAATGGCCTGTATTTACCTACTACCCCGTTTTTTCAAAGAATTATGTTTTAGAAGACATTTTTCGGATGTATTTTTGATCGTTTGCATGTACTTGTCTTGAACATATAAATCTGACTTTTATCATATCTTTCAAATATATACGTTTACGCTATATATTTTGATAAAGCGGAAAGTTTTGCAAAAACGGGAGGAGGTGGTTTCGATGTCTAGAGTGGGAAACCATAATTTTTCGCTCCTGGCAGTGTCATTATTAATGGATTTGAATTTTGTGTGTAAATGCCTGTGTGCATTATACTAGTATGCGACATTGTACTATTCTGATCAATAGTTCTCCCTCAACTGTAAATCACATTTCATCTGAATTTTACCTGTAGCATGCTATCATTACCAGGGACAACTTGTCGGAATATGTGGATCTGTCGGCTGTGGGAAATCTTCCCTGATATCGGCTGTACTTGGACGAGTAAGTCACATAAACGATTCAAAACCTATGAAATATTTGATTGATGTGAAATCCATATCCATTACTAATTATAAAACTACGTTACATTTTAAAATTTTACAGCCTTAAATATGTGCTTTATTTCGAACATGATTAAATGTGCCTATATGTCATATTGTTATGCTAAACAGATGCCACAGTTGATCGGACATCTTGCAGTAAGTGGAAATGTAGCTTATGCTGCACAGCAGGCATGGATATTCAACGGTACACTTCGGGAAAACATACTATTTGGACTGCCCTACGACCCTGACTGGTTTGTACTTTTATGTTTTTTCTCCCAACATTTGAAAATTAGATTTCTATAAACCTCACGTCAGATACTGACATGGCCGAATCATTAAATATGACAAAGAAGAGGAGATAATATCTGAGGACTGAACCATAAGTCTTTTCATTAATAATCCGTCACTTCTGCTATATTGGCTACTTTTTATGCTAATCGGAAAGTGCGTTTCCAGTGTAGTACACTTGAAGTGGAACTATTTTGTTTTGGAAAGCAATACCTTCCTTTGAGAAAATTGATACATGACACGGTTAACAATTAAAGCTTGTTATGATACCAACAAAGAAAGATAGAAAGTATACAAAATATTTATGTATGAGAATTGTTTTCCCAAGAACAATGAGACAACTATTGCTAAGTATACGACTGAATAATGTCGTTTGAAACAGTATTTAAGTATTACATAAACAATTTTCCATGAATGTGTTAATATTTTTTGTAATTGTCTTTGAGAAAATACCTCACAATACGTAAATACAGGAAAATCTTGTAAACCGACTCTCACAGAACACAGCGTATCCAGCAGACTAATTAAGATGTTACAGTATACGTAGACCTGCATGGATTGAAAAATACCAACATTGTAACGGATAAAAAGGAATCAATTTTTTTGAAGAGAGCAGGGAGGAGGAAGGGTACAACTATTTATATGATTTAATTTGATTAAACTTCATCCAGGTACAACAAAGTGATATATGCCTGTGGTCTTGAGCCTGACTTGGATTTGTTGGCCAACGGGGATGAAACAGAGGTAAGATATTGCATTGTATTCTCAGCAGAGGAATAAGATTCAGATTTAGGAGAAAATAGTCAACAATCACTCAAGTTATTTGAACTATGTAAACATAATAGTTAGCATTTAGTCATTATTATTAACTACGTTTAAGTAATCTGTCACATGCTCGGTTCCCTGTCCGCGCTTTTCTCCATCCAAACGCGCGTTTGCTTGGTAAATTGACATATCGTCTTTGCGGTTCTGTATATTAACATGTTGCAGTCCTCTTTTGGGGTAGTTTAGTTGATATATTGAAGGAAATAAACTTTGTTGCACGGAAAATAACTTCATTTGATAACATTATCAATTACGTTTGATTTTAATATCCACAATAATTCAATAATTTCAGATTGGTGAAAGAGGGATTAACATTAGCGGTGGACAGAAGCAAAGAGTGAGTCTTGCACGTGCAGTCTACAGTAAAAGCGACATCTATCTCCTTGATGACCCGCTCTCGGCCGTGGACGTACACGTTGGCCGGCATTTGTTCCATAGATGTATCAATACACTGTTACAAGGAAAGACTGTTATACTGGTCACTCATCAATTACAGGTAACTAGATAACAGTCACAAGTGTCTCGGTACAGTTTGTCGCCATCCTAAAACGCTGAAGTTGATATGTACAAACTATACATGAGAAACTTCTCATTTGCTAATGTAACATGGATTTTTATCACGATCTACATAAAAATGGTTAAAAACATCCATCTCCATGAAAACTAATATTCTATCAGCTATAATATCGCTTGATTTATCAAGGCTTGTATAAACAGCTGAAATCAAATATCGTTCATTCATACAGGTCGCAAGAACCAAAACAGTAGACAGGCATTGACACCGTCCATGCAACTTGATTCCAATTTATTAGAAATACTTAACAGTCACACATGGGAGTAGTTATAACTCGGTGTAGATGAATTATAATTCATAATCATAGTCATAGTCAGTCATATATTTTAATCTAAAATATTTGTTTGATGCTGACATTTTAATCATCATTGGGTTTAATAATGAATATATAATCAATCGACAGTACCTGAAGCACTGTGATGAAATACTAGTCATGGAAGAAGGTCGAATCGTTGAGAATGGATCACACGAGTCTTTGCTGGAGTTTGGTGGTTACTATAGTTCAATGATGGGCCAGTTCCATGCCACGAGCGCGTTCACAGCAACCACAGGTAGGGTTCTCCATGCTATATGACAAAGAATCAAATGATTAATTGACTTATTTACTGATAGAGATTAAAGAAGATGAAAGTTTTCGAATGGGTGAGATTTTTTTTCACAGTTGACAATTAGAAGACGTCAACAATGAAACTAAACGGTATAGTTCCTAGAAAGTGAAAACTCAGATCTTCATACCGCGCAAGATATTTCTCATGATGAGACATTAAAGTTTCACGCTATGCACTACACACTATACACTATCTGAGTCCCAACTGCCAAAGGAAGTAACCTAGTAAAATAGCAGAATTTTAATATGAAACAAAGACAAATTTATTTTAACACATTCATCCAAAAGTAAAAACACTTTTTACACGCATGTCTTCAAGGTCGATTTATCTCAAAAGTTAGTTCACAAAAAGTAAAAATGCTCATTCTATACGAGACAAATGAAATTTTACACAATGTACGGAAATAAACATTTTCGAGTACATTTAGATAATCGATTATGTGATTCCTCATTTAATGTTAATGGCGACTACAAAACGCCCTCCTCGCACTACCTAAGTTCTTGGTTTTGAGTAATACAAGCAACAGGATCTTAACTAAAATTCAATGAAACTCAAATTATGATTTACACGAAGACCCAAGCAAATCTGCAAGGACGATAAGACCGAGTGTTCCGGAAGCTTCATCAACGGCGTATAAACATATTTATCATAAAATATCAATGATGATTTTAGTTCTATTTATTACAAGTGAAAGACGAATCGAGAAGTGATGATGACCAGGGTTCTTCTGAGAAGCGAGGAGAAAGTAAAGAACAACCGAAGAAAGACGAAAATGATGATTCCGTTTCTAAGGAAAATAAAGGTGAATTACTAAACATTAGTAATCGTAGTTCAGAAGCTTTTGTGGGACCTCTGTCAGTCTTGATGTTAGGATTATATTTTACACCTGTTCATTAATTGCTTTCAGGCAGAAATCTAAAAGAAAACTATATTTATCTAAAAATTCATTTGGTGTTGAAATGGCAAAGATGAATACTTCTTGGACAATAAGCGCAAGAATCCTGTTCCGTTGCCAAATTTGTTTAAAAATCTATATACATGAATCGTTAATAGCTACAAATATTTTAGAGATATGTCATTCCATTTATGATCTTTGCATTCTCCTGTTTACACAAATTGTGAAACATATCCTTAGTCCTTAAGATTGTTTTAAGTCTGCTAGATTAAATTGAAATGATAGAAAAAAAATAGAATCGAGTATTTTTTGAAAAAGAGAAAATCCCATGTTGCCCTTAAAGATATGTGACTATAATCTGACAAATCCATTCTGCTCAATGCTCACTTCCACAACTGTATCAAGAAGTTCTGTTAGACAATAAAACATTAGTTGACATTGGGTCATTGATAAAAATAGCACCGTGATCTCTTGAAATCATATCAATAGAAGATTTCAAAGAATTTGGAAATCATGGTTCTGTTAGTACATGTCATATATTCGCACGTGTTTATGCTTTACACCACAGGAAGACTAACCCAGAAAGAAGACGCCGGATTCGGTATGGTAACGTTTGGGACGTACAAGTCGTATATCAATGCTGCCGGTGGGTTCACAGTAGCCGCGGCTATTCTTCTGCTGTATATTCTCTCCTTGGGTGCAGTTGTATTCGGGGACTGGTGGCTTGGCATTTGGCTAGGGCAAACGGTAAAATATGTGTATACAACGCCTAGCATAAAATATAACATTTTTCGTATCATTTATGAAAATTAATAGAAATATATCAATATGGGGAAATGTTTTTTTTAAACCTGAAAAAGTTGTGAGCTCATCTATTTACAATTCTTTTCTTCGTAAAATGAAACATTATCTTAATATTCAGACTTGGATGCACATATGTCATTCCAGTAATCTAGTTCTATTTACAAAATTCAAGATTCTGTGAATTACATAACATAATAAGTTGTCGTAATCTGACTGTGTGGTAGGTATAAATATGTAGTGACAATGATATTAATGTATACTTGAATATAGTCAACAGCTTTGTTAGCCTCCTGTGGTGTCTAAACAAAACGGATTTACTATTCATTATAAACTTTGGCCTTGAGTGTAACTTCACCGTTAAAGTTATGAGACAGTTTCGAAAACCTAGTCAGTTTCCTTCCTTCAGTATTGACTAATCACATTAAACTTGGTCAATCATGCATGTGGTTTACAGACAATTGTCTGATTTACATAATGAAATGAGATTTTAGAGCATGTATGATAAATTATCAAACATTTTTGGAAATATGCAGAACAAAATGTATTATAGCGATTCATTAATTTAAATACCATGAACATTATAAGTTATAGACTAGCGATTTACTAGTATTTTTGGTTCACATTCTGATCCACATGTAACCTGGTCAGGTAATTAGCAAGTTCTTTAAATCATTTGGGTTAAGTTTACTCTAGGAGTTGTATCTATTGCCTCTTTCCCTATCAATAAAGCAAAATTCCATGGTACGTGTCCATAAGAATCGTCCATTTCACACCAAATAGATATCAAGGAATTGCAGATAACACTCGGTTGCCAATGACTGACAGGTAAACTTTTGGTCGTTATATTGATTGATTATACGAATAAAGATTTTGTTTTCCCATTGCAGACAGATTCATCAGAAGCCACACCTACAGCAAATATGTTGCCCAATGCTTCCATGTCTATAAATATGACAGCCACCTCTCTTTTCCAAAACAGTACAGAACCTACGAATTTCCAGACCGGTGGCATGGACTTTTACCTCAGCATCTACTTGGCATCCTTAGGGGCCATAATACTCTTGGCGTCTTTAAAAGGAGTCATAGCATCGACGGTAAAAGCACGGGGTTATTTTTTAAGAGTGACGGGGGGAGGGGGAAGATAAAATTGTTCAGAAAAATAATTAATAACCTCAATGTCAAACGTTCATTCTTTTATTATTTTCATTTTTAATATCGTCTGAAAAATATTAATGTGTATATGCATGCCATACAATACGAAACTTAACTGATATAAGATTTTACACAACTCACACCAGTGAATATCATTTGGCACTCGTCAATGATGCTAAGAGCCGAAATTTTGATTTTAATCAATTTCTTATCAATTGAATAAACCGTGATATGCATGTTACACAAACCTCCGAAGGAAAAGTCAACCAGCACTGTCTACCACCTGGGAGTAAAAGATACAATATCTCAACACGACTCTCCAATTCCCAAAGCTCGTGAAGAGGACAGAAACAAATAACTTGGCGGAAAAGCAATATACCTATGTGAAAGATGGGTCACAGAGTTTTCAAGTATTCTCACTTAATTTTCAAGGTGATGGTAAAAGCTTCCGGCAAACTTCACAACCGAGCATTACACAATATCATGAAAGCACCAATGGCGTTTTTCGACGCAAATCCACCCGGTCGTATTCTCAATAGGTTCTCGCGAGATATGGATGAAGGTAAGCCTTCGAAACAAACTTGGAGAATATGCAAAAGAAACTATTGGGGTATGTTATTCTTTGTAATATTAATCCCCCAAAAAGGTTGACAATACTCTCTGATGCGATGGACTAATTATACCAATTGTAAATCCTTACCAGTGCATTAATAAAGTAATTGATGAATTTAGACAAAACATTTCGTTGAATTGATTTTATTCAACGTTATGACTCCTTCAAGTTTGATGGCTCATTTTGACGTTCTCTCACTTGTTGTCAAAGAATGTCCCTAATATACTCGATTTGTAACAAAATATATGATGTCCATGGCCAGTCTAACACCTGCATATTATCCTGCTGCAAGAAAGTTTTGAAGACTTAACTCGTGTGCACTAGCGCGTTATCCTGCTGGAAAATGGCGCCAGTGCTATGACGTCTTGAGAAGGATAGAACTATTGGTCTCAAAATGTTAATGTGTCAAAGTCTGAAAGTCCTTAACAGCTAAAACTAATTTCTTTTAATCAGACAGTTACTGTTATTGATGTATTCCAGCTCATATAATAGAACAATACAACACAGGACTGCGTACGTTTCAGGTGATGTGTTTTTACCGAATGTTATGGACATTCTACTTTATGTCTTGGTTGCGGTTTTGTTGTCATTGGGAGCTGCCGCAGTAAACCTTCCTTGGATTGCGATTGCTTTCGTACCTGTTGGACTGATTTTTTACGGATTTAAAAAGATTTCTGCTGAATCAGTTAGACAGCTCAAACGATTTGAAAACGTCGCTCGCTCACCCCTCATTAACCACGTAACCACTTCAGGAGCTGGTTTGTCCACCATTGTCACCTATAACCAACAGAGGCAGTTCATCATCAAGTAATGATATTTATTTTAGTGTTTAATAGCAGATAAGATGCGGTGTGAACATGCAGAGAAGTGTTATATTCTATTTTATGATATGACTTTTGATGTTTCTGATTCCTTACATTTTCATTTATAAAATAACAAGCCTGATTTGTCATGTAATAAAGCCAGGTCATGAACGTCATAAGACATATGGACCAAAACACTATTGTGCATCATAAATAAATAAGGTATCAATGAATTCACATAGTCTCGATAATGATAACCGTACAGTCAGAATCTAATTAAGTATATCGTGAATGGTGAAAGGAATTTTAATGCTTGTGCTTATTTCTCAGATTCTTACACTTGTGCTGATGTAAGATAGAATATAAAAAAATCATGACATATCAAATTATTTAATTCGTCTCATATATTCCTTTCAGGTCAGTCATGTTAGATCTTTTTAAGAGCGTAGGCTTTAGAAAAGTTACTAATAACTCACTTTGATAATTAACAGTTGTATGAAATATACGGATGTGACCTCAACGGCATTGATGTTGTTCGAAGGGAGCTTTCGCTGGATTGAGTTAAGGCTCGATATCGTCTCGTCTCTCCTGATTGTGGCAGCTACTCTAGTCATGGTTCTAACAAAAGGATCAATCGCCCCAGCTTTAGCCGCCCTGTCGCTATCACTGACAATCAGGGTGAATTCATTACTAGTCATATTTTAATCATCGGTCTGCTTTCCTTTAGCGTGTTCGGTACAGGTCTCCTCGTTAAAGAATCGTGACTTGTAATTGACGATATTTTGTATAAATCTGATCTGGAAGTGTATCGGTCATGTCCGATTTCTTTCCCTTATCAAGATGCTTATTTCTCCTCATACCCACCTATTTTGACCAATAAGAGTTATTCATTATTTTATTGTGTTTCTGAACTTATTTCAAAGATATTGCTGTATGATAGAAATTTCAATCTACTTGTGAATAGGATTTTCACAATATCTACAATATTTTGTTTTAATCAGGTCATTTATTAGTTCCAAACGCATTAGAATGGAGAATGGTTTATCGGAATTTTGACCAGACTTGTCTTGAATATATATTTCTAGGTAGTATCTGTGATGCAGTTCGCAATAAGACTTATGAACGACACTGAAGCGAGATTTACATCCATCGAACGGATACACGAGTACGAGTCGGTAAGCATACAAATATGAGTGTTTAACCATGTAATGTCGTAGCACATTCTTGCATTACTTATACGATTGTCCACATGCACATTAATCTAAATGCGGGTACCTATTGGAATATCACATTGTCGCGTTCTTAAAATCTGCTCTGGTTGTACATGTTTGATAGTGCATGGTATTTTGTTAATGTGTTAAGGTTGACGGAGAGGTATTTCAAAGCAGAAAAGACATGCAGTTTAAAACTATTTTTAAACGGTATTTTGTTTTCTATAATTATACAAATACATGCAATGCAATTATGAAAGCGTATTATCGATTGTAAAGAAACTAGACACAGAAGTGGACACTACCTCTGTGGTTCCGGACGAGAGCTGGCCCCGCGAGGGGCGGATTATTTTCTCCGACGTATTAATGCGCTACCGGAAGGACATGGACCCAGTATTACGGAACATACACTTCAATATCCAACCGAAACAGAAAGTCGGCATTGTAGGAAGGACAGGAGCAGGTATTCTAGTTTATGTTCAAATCTACAAATAAATGCAGTGCATGTATATATACTGCTATAAATCAACGAATCTCCACAATTATGTATATAGACATATATTTAGTATAACAAATGCAAGGAAACAGATGATGACATTGTCATTACTCAAAGTCCCTGCGAAAGCTCATATTCAATGTTAAATTTAACAACCACATCAGTTATTCCACAGACCACAGCTTATATCTTTCTATGTAACGTCTAGCACACCTTCAAAGATTAATATGTTCTTTGTAGGACACAAGTGCTTTTTTTATATAAGTTCATGTGATATTTTATTACAGGACAAATATGACTTGGAATTTTATTTCTAGGCAAGAATTCGGGAGTAGATTGTTAGATTATCATATTAATAAAGTTCTTACCACAAACATCAGATATATTTTGATCATGACAAACATCACAGTAAGTGCTAGACATACCCTAACATAAAACGTCTTTTACACACGTAATCTATATTTCTCATGCCACATAGGTAAGTCCTCATTGGCCGCGGCGCTGTTCCGATTGTGTGATCTTTCTGAGGGGCACATCTACATAGATGGAGTGGATATAGCCCACATTCCGCGTAAAACTCTTCGATCTCGTCTGTCCACCATACCTCAGGATCCTGTCCTCTTCACCGGTACCCTCAGGTAACAACAAATAACTAAACTAATCTTATAATAATCTTAAACACTGATAAGTGCTAATTAAAAGTTTGATTTAAAAATAATACCAGTAGCCATGATTCTTGCTTTGGTGAGTTATACGGCCTATGAGTGTAAGCCGAAATACAACATATGCTTGGGTGAAGAGATCACACTATAAGAAACCGTGAAGGTCATAGGTCATACACTCAATAGGTTCACTACGATCGAATCCTCGGTAATAACTCCAACTATTCTGTGATGAAACCTGATATAAATTGATCAATTCTTTGTAAATTCAATACCGATTTCGTTTAATTGTATTTTTTAAAATATTTGAACGTTTTGTCTGCTTGAAAATGGACCAATTAATAAATGGTAACATTTGAATATGGTTACAGGTATAATTTGGATCCATTTGATCTGTACTCAGACGAGGTGATTTGGGCAGCCTTGGAACAGGTTCACATGAAAGAAAAGGTAATCATTAACAATGGTTTACACTTAAGGCTTAAATCCGGAAATGATTTGGGGGCGTAAAAACATGGAATAATGTTTCCCCGTAAATAGTAATACAGACAAACCACTCAACGTTTGTGTGGTAATTTACAAGTATCTAATATGGCTACTGATGTTACACATTTATTTGTTATATATATAATATGCTAAGTAGGTTTAAGTTTATTTTTCTTAATCTAGGTACGCCAGTTTTGTGAGCAGCTCGACTTTCAAGTTGAAGAGAACGGAGAGAATTTCTCTGTAGGTGAACGACAACTTATTTGTTTGGGTAGAGCCATACTTCGTCAGAATAAGGTAAGGAAAGATATTGATGTTTTCATAAAAATATTTAATTTTCGTATTGATAAAGTAGAAATAAGCCCTCTATGACACGGGCATCCCTTGCAGGCCAGCGTTGTTTTTTCCGCTGTTCTCTGTTAAGGGGACATCAATGAGACCAAAAATAAAGTATCTTGTATTTCACTGCAAGTATAATTAATGTCGTATTTTCCCATAGATTCTAGTCTTGGACGAAGCCACAGCGTCCATTGACACCTCCACAGACGCTATGATTCAGCAAACGATCCGCGACAGTTTCTCCGACTGCACCGTCCTGACGATAGCACACAGACTCAACACCGTGCTACACTGTGACGTCATTCTAATCATGGAAGCTGGAGAGGTATACTAATAAATATACACTATATTGATGTAATGAGCAATAGAAACTTTGACGACCAACCTGTTATATGCGATTGTATCTCGCCTTTAATCTAACACACAAAATGCATTCAATCATAGTAAGGATCAAAAACATCAATTATATAATCAAAACCTGTGTTGATAATGGGTAATCAGGTAGGTCATTCACATATCGAAAAAACGAACGCAATTCGTTAAGTTGATAAAGGTATGGTTTATAAATTGTTAGGTACCTGAAAAATTTTTGCAAATGCATCAACAAATCTGCCAGTCTTGAAATTAATTTTACACCTGAAGGGGATGCCCTCTGTAAGAATTCGCGGCTATGTCAAACGGCTTAAAGTTATTTTGTGTTAACGAAGAAATGTTCGATTTGCATCAAATACGCACAATGGTATGAAATAGTAAAGATAAATTCCAATGATTTCTAAACCATAATGTTTGACCCATTGAAATATAATAATTTTATGCAGTATGTGACTGATGGAGATTATTTGACATATGGATGTGTTTAAGCCCTTGCGTTAATGTACTAACATATAATCTATCACTGATAAACTTAATCCCTTGATAAAAAAAAAACTGAGATAATGGAATACAACACTATACTGCTGACATACTACACACCCGAAAACTAAAACATTTTTAATAGCGTATGATATGTAGATAATGAGATAGCATGTGTAAAGCGAAATATAAAGCTCAAGGATAGGTCCATGTCAGCACATGACAAGCAAATAACCCGGAAAAGGCAATATTATTAATGAAATCGATTTCTTCATAAAAATAAGAAAATAAAGAAAGAAGTGAAAAACTTTCACTTTGTACACAACTTTAAGATAGACATAATGTTATTCTAAATTCAGTACGTTCGGTGTATGCGCGGGATTTGTTTCTAGTGTGCTACAACATATTTTAGAGCGCTAAAACATATTGATGAAACATTAAGTGGTACTGAAATGACAGTGAGTTCCTTATTCGTCAAACTTTCTGCTAAGGAAAAGAACAAGAATAGACTTTCGGCTAGAAAGTTATCTTTTGAAATAATTGTAATAGAAATAACGAGTTTATTCCTTTATATGGCCAGGTGTGCTGTATTGATTTAGTATTTTTGTTATACCTTCACCTGAACAAAGGCTGTAATTAAGTAGGATTATATCTTTTTATTGCAGATTTTAGAAACTGGACACCCACAGAACTTATTGGCTAATCCTCTCTCAGTTTTCAACAAGATGATCAGAGCTCAAACTGTGAAAACGCCATCACCATGAACAAATCATATTTCTGCATACAGTATCTTAGATAGCGCGTGTTGATGACAAAATCGAGGATAGTAAAACTCAATTCAAGCAATTTGTATTTCAATTTCAAATCAATAAATTTGAATTAAAATGTCATGTCTTAATAATTTGTGCGATATAAACAACTTTCATATTTTTGTATTAGAGTATAAGTCGCCTTACTAGCCTCGGCTAATGAGAATTTTCATTTAGTCGAGCGGTAGAGTGTCGGACTAGTCCGAACCCCAGCGGTGGCAGGGTGTGTTTCATTGCTTCTTACTATTACACTATATTTGTTGAGATACATGTAGATTATTAGGTTATCACCGAGAGTATGTTAGCTTAGTGGACGTGTTTGCAGTTGAAATGGGAAAAAATACATCTCCCTGAAAATGTCATCATAACTTATCAAATAAACTAAATCCCTATTCTTACATCAATCAATATAAGGTCGTTTTATGGAACGCTGAATACCAGTATCTAGATAATCAAGGTCACATTTAAGTGAGATATCACGTGTACATTTAACTTGATACGATATCATCGTAGCCTGACTATTAACGTGTCAATCAGGTCTCTGTTCTCAATAAGTAAGCTCATGAAAAATACAGAAATGTATGGACGAACATGTGTGTGTGTACAGTGGGGTGTGTGTGAGTGTGTGTGGATATGTATGTAACGTCCGCGTATATTTCTATCCTATGTTAATGTTATTATGTTTATCTACTGAAACACATTATTTTTAATTTATAGTATATCTTATAGGTGCTTCATGACAATATTGCATGAAATTTCTTATCGTACCTTAAGTGGGTAAGCTCATGTGCTCTCCCTCCTACTTCCGCTACGTTGGTTATTCCGCCTGGTTAAAATAAGATTTCAGCCATTTCATAACGCCGTGAAACACACATTGAACGACACGCTTCTCCTAGCTATACATATGTCTGTCAACCTGGCGAGGATTACACATGTTGTTTACAAGCAGTGTATTTAGCCGGTAAGTAAACTGACCTTATCCTTATTTCAATTCATAAAACTAACTAAAGCTGTAAGTAAACGTGTGTTTTATATTGTTTATTTTTCAAATATGTTGTTATTATGCCGTGTTGATAAAACTATACATGTATAAAGATATAACTGTGCAGGTAAACATGATGTAAACTACACACCCGTTTTATTCTATATATGCAGTAAATGATGAATGGAGTCAAAGAGAAACAGGTTGAACAGGCGTTGCTAGAGAAATCAGAACTTCCCACTACTGTTAAAACTGACCTAGATGTGAATAATGTAGCTGACCCCGAGTACATCACAAGGTGGGATATTAAACGGTGTATATATGTATAAAGGTAGAATGTGTAACATCGTGTATATTGATGCAAAGTTATTAAGGAATAACGTTACATATGTGCTTGTTCTATATGTGTTTAATCATTTCTACTAAGTATGGAGTGTACATCAACATATATGCAATATCAAAATTCATATTTATATTCGAGTACATATATACTTTATAAAACGTAAATTTATATGTTATTTATTTATATATTTTATCTCAAAACATAGATATAATATATATATATTGATCCTCACGGAAATATATATATATTCATAATCGATATGACAAGTAAACAAAGCAACTTTATATGATGTTTCCCTTAGTTATGTTTTATCAGTGATAATTATGTTATTCATATCTTTTCATTCTAAAGTATATATGAAATCATATTTCAGTAATTTGGAGGGGATAGGAGCTCTAGGAGAAAGTCATTTGTCGTTAAATTATGCATATAGCCGGAAATATTCCACAACTTTGAAGATATTGAAGCCATTTAGACCTTCAAATAAGTAAGTGTTCATGTCCAAATGAATTGTTTGTCCAAAGCAAATATCATTATCGGTAACGGTTAAGTATGTTCTACGTATACGACGTCCGATATTAATAGCGAGCCCGTATTACGCCAAGAGTACAGTTGAATTTTAAGATAATTTATAAATTACACATATTTTATATTATGGATGATATCCTACACGTAAATGTACCTTTCAGCTGTCGATTTATCTTAATTAAACAGTGGCAAAACAAAGACAAAGATATCTCAGATTGACATAGGTTTATCAAGATAGATATCTACCAATTTCAGGTAAATCAAATAGCTTGAGGTATGGAATACATCTTTATTCGAACATTGATATTATTAATCAAAATTGCAGATCTGCGATCAATTCTATTAATACTACATAATGTATATTTTAAAGATAAATAAAATATATAAACAAAGTATCATATTAAGCAAAATATTGCAACAAAACTATGTATTATCTTTATATTGATTTTAATTTTCAACATATCTCGCTTTATCCAATGTTGCAGAGATGGTAAACTGCCTGTAAATAAAGTTGGTATATTCTCCTACATAGCGGTATCATGGATTTCTTCCCTTGTAATGAGGATATACAAACGCAGAGGCCAGGCACTAAAGGAGGAGGATGTCTGGGAGTGTTCTGACTGGGAGACCAGTAGCGTCAACGCTGACAGGTGACAATATCCCATAGGAATATACCGATATAATTCTGAATGTATCTCCCCTTACAATAATGCAAAATAGGTTTGTCATTGGAGCAAAGGAAAAGCTCCATTAGGCTTTTTACAGATTAAGATTTAAGAGTGAACATTACCTTATAAAGTTCCATTTAAACGTGAACACGAGAAGAAGTCACCGTTTTTCACTTATAAAATTGTAACTATGGTCTGGTACTTGACGTTGTTTAACATTATATAAAGAATTGCGATATTCATCAACTTATATTCCTAATACACCTCCCTATCTAGGTTTTGACATTTCCTTTCGATCGTTTAGGATTTTTCTCAGTCGTCACCTAGGCTTCAAAAGTAAGGAACTTAGCAACGATAGCTTTACTGACTAGCCCCTGAATGATGCAGTTTAATCAAGTGTTTGACTCTACTGTATCTTCTAATCTTTTATTAAAAGGTGTGTTATCAACCGGTATGTCTTTTGTAAAATTATCTATATATGCAACTGGATAAAAATATGTCTTAAATTTGTGCACGAGGAGGACCTTGAAAAAGGACATGAAAATTAAGGCTAGGTGTTCCGGAGAGAAACCATCATTTGCTTCGTCTACTACACTCGTCAACGTAATCGTCATTGTACACATACATAGATTAGATCTGAGTTGAGAAAACTGGCGGATTTATATTATTTTATTTTCTTTGAACAGACTAGATAAGCTATGGAGGAAAGAAGTCGAGGATCATGGCAAAGGAAAGGCGTCGTTTTTGAGGACATGGCTGAAATTTACACAAACGCGTTTATATGTATCAATTTTCCTTGTTCTGTTGAATGCAGTTTCAACTTTTTTCATGACTGTGAGTACTCATTAATTGAGTTAATTTGTTAACACAAATTCATACGTTGCCAAAAATTGCAATTTTATATTTTTGAAACAAATGTAAGTTTCGTTTTTGAGGTTATATATTTTTTGTCCGTAGGGTTATATTACAAACCTGGTCATCAGTTACCTGGAATCGGAAGAATCCAATCTCGGTGTGGCTATAGCGCTCTTGACGGGAAATTTCTTCGGTCAAATTCTCCGAGCAACATCATTCAATTTATTGATCATGTTTGGAGTACATACAGGTAACACTGAAATAATATCAACATGTCAACATAATCAAAATAAAAATTCGATTAAATCAGAGCAAAATATAAAGAAAAGAAATATCTAAACGAAATCTCTTGAAAAAGTACAATGAGAAGAAGACCAGGTACTCCGAAAGAGTAAGCGTCTTCTGTTTCGTCGATGCCACCCGCTATCTAAACTATGGTGAATGCAAGTAAGTAATGTCACGTTCTCAAATAACAACAAGGTATACAACAACCTACCGAACAAGGAAACTAATGAGCGTCAAACATTCAGTTTCATCGTATACAAAGAAATATATTTCTCAGAAAGATCACTATGGCGACAGTAAAATTTCTCCATAATTTCTTGAAGTATGAGTGTGTCCGTCGGTTGACGACTTCTGCAGCGAAAATCGTGATAATAGGAGCAAGCCCTTGAATATCAAATCGGCTGTGACAATTTAACACCTTAGGTCGGGGACACAGGTTGTTGCTATCCGGAAATGGAAAATTCACAATAGGATGATACCAATCATCACGCTCATCATATAGCTTTGTGGAAAGCTTTCCTTCTTGGTTTCGTTGTAAAGAAAGGTCGAGATAGCCGATGTAGAAGAGCATGTCGTGTCCTTGATTTCCAAATCTGGTGGGTTGTATAAATGATAACATGAAAGTGAAAGTTACAACTTTGCAAGGTCTTGGTGATCTGTTTTGGTGAGCTCTTCGATAAATTCAGCCTCGTATGAAGACAAAAATAAGCCAACCAACAGAAAGCCACAATTACTTCCCATAGTTATGCCAAAAGTCTGTTGGATTTCGTCTCCCATATATTTCTTCTTTTATTTTGAAATAGTTTTTTTCCGAAATACATTTCAGCATGGTTCACAACTATAAATTTGTACCATCATTCACATTTTCTTGGAAAAGTGAGTTTACATAGCAAGCGAACGAAGACATTTTAGAATGGGATATGGTGGTGTACAGAGTGCAATAACAAAAGAACTAATTTTTAAAAGTGGGTGTTGACGATTGGTCAAAAACTATTTGGATTTCTTTAAAATCCAAGTACTACAAATTCCAGATATTGAATAACCATTATCACACTAAAACTGTAACCGATATTTGTTAGTGCTAATAATGACAGTAAGTAGTTCGGGCAAATATTTGGTTTATCAGCTAGACGAGACAGCAGTAAAAGGTTGTTTATATGGAGTCTTATGTAGTTTAGGAATTCAATATAAGCAGCGGTTGCCCGTATTCTTATCATTAATAGCCAGTCTTAATTAGTGTAATATTGAAGAATGATTAGCCATTATTTCATCATTGGAAAGATTGCATAGATGGAGTTTCCTTCGTTATCTAGCAGGCCTAATTCTTTTTGATACCAGAACATGTAGTGATGTTTGCAGACAAGGACCAAGTTATCGGACGCCTTATCTGTAGGCATAATAATATACATGTCATGTAAATGTTTAAGTGTGGCTTTAACATAAGACTCGAGGAACGCTTATCTGTTTTGTATTTATTTTAGAATTCAAGCTGCAAATTCTTTTAAGAACGGTGGATCGAATGGATTTAAATTAAACCACGCAGAAAGGGAATCCAACGCAGCGTGTTCTCGTTTCACCTCATTCTCTGGCATAGATTTCAACGGAATCCATCAGTTTCTTGAAATTCATATTCCAATTAACGAACAGGGTTTCACGATATTTGTTACCTTTCATGGCAAGCTCTCGTAGATTTACATTTTGAATAATGCTTAAGTTACCAGTAACTATGTTCCCGGTCGGACAATAGTTAGTTATAAGTAGTAGTAGAACGAGAACAAGGTAGCAGAGGAGCAGTTCTTTGGTTATCTACATTCATTTTTTGAAGCGTTCGTTGGTAGTTGAAAAGTTTGGATCTAGTGGGCTTTGAGTAGCTGTAGGGTATTACAATGGTGTTTCTGCTTTGACAGTATAGTGGAATGTTAGCTTGAATAGTCTTCTGGTGTAAAATATTGCTGTTGTTCATGGCACCAACTCCCTTATTTGCAAACTCAACTTTTGTTATTTGACAAGTTGTAGGAGGATGACGGCTATTGTATGGATGAGTTTAAAAGGCTTGATTTGTTCTAATAGTTTTATGATGTCTCCAAGCTAGTTTCCACAAGTCACCAGAAACAGTATTAGCTGGATCCACTTCAAGTCTTCTTAACACGGAGAGAGGAGTCGAATATATACGTTGGTTCATGATCGATGGATGTTCAACAAGTAATATTGAAAATAAGAACGGGATAAAGTAACAGATGTATGCTCCAACTCCCACCCCTCCAGGGAAAAAGATGGATATAAACAAACTTGCAAGTTCTTTGTTATGAAAGTTGTCAGAAATTACGCATGGCGCGTTTACTCGACGATGATTAACAAATTCTTATGAGACATGATTTTGATTATTTTCTAGGTGTACGGTATCGTGCTGGTGTGTTGGGATTGGTTTATAAGAAATTCATGAAAGTTCAAAGTTTGCCAGGAAAGGTTTCCTCTCAGGTATACTGTAGTGGATTAGTATTATTACATGTCATTAATCATCATGAATATCGAATATGATGTCAACATAATGCATATTTCGAATTGTATATCTAGACAGGGCCTTATAGTAAGTAAAATTTGATATAATGATGTAACGTTTTTTGTGTAACATTGGCAAATGTCCGAATTAATTCTTTCTATTATTATTTATTCATCCTTTTTTTTTATATAAAACAACAATGCCAGTGTCTTAAACATAAGCTGTATTTTGGCGAAGGTGAAAAGAGACAAAAGTGGCGAGCCTTTCGGCAATACACTTTTTTCTCTTTGCCACTAGCCAAAAAGCAGCTTATATAATAATAACCTGTCCGTGTGTTCTATCATCGTGCAACATGTTTGAAAATTCAAACTTTGAAATTTCAACAGCTTTTAAGGCCTGTTTGTTTACTTGCTTACCTGACGAAGTTGACATCACGATTAATTGTGCCTGATGACGCAATGGCAGCACAGTTGTTTGTTTGTTTGTTTTTGTTTTTTTGTTTTTTTTGTTTTTTTTTTTTTATGTTATATCATGAAATCATGATAAATCAATTTGAATAAATCATGATTATCAATTTGATTTGTTCTCTTGATTTTTATGCGATTTTACTGTTTATATTACAGGTAATTACCATATTTGGTACCGACGCCCTCAGACTGCACATTAACTGTGTAACACTCGCCTTCCTGTTGGCGGTTCCTGTCTACATCATTATAGCGACCATCTACTCTTACTACCTGATAGGACCTTGGTGTGTTATTGCTCTAAGTGTCTTCATATTTTGCTATCAAGTTCAGGTAAGGCTTAAATTCCTTTGCTAGTGAAAAATCATTGGACGTGAATGATAATTAATTTGTCCATTTACTTAATATATAACATAAACTTCATCTAATTTCGAAATAACATTTTAAATTAACGTTAATCACTCTTGTTGAACCGGATGGAAACATGCGAGGGGTCTTAATATGGTACCTAGAGAAACCCACGTGGTTGAGCAGGTGTTAGCTACTTCAATTTTAGCTCACCTGGTCCGAACGGGCCAAATGAGGGGATGCCATGGTCCGACATCCATCGTTTGTCCTGTTCGTAGGGAGTCACCTTTACTATTTAAATGACTTCTTCTGAACAACCAACACACCAAACGTCATGGTATTTGACTGGATTAAAGCCCGGCACAGTTGGCGAAAAGAAATGGCATTGACTATTATTCAAGGCCTCAAGGGTCGAATTTGTTAAAAACATTTTAACAATTTCTTCTGACTAAACAAAAGGCGCAGAATCATGATACTTTGCTGATATATTCTTAGGATAAAGGTCAGCAAAGCTTGCAAATGAAATGCCTTGACCCATATTCCTGTATTTGAATGAAAGGGTCTTAATTCAATTTTTAGCATGAGGAAAATTGAATATTTTTCGTCTTCACGTTTAAACAAAGACGGACTGTTATTTGTTATGAAAAAAAACATTGTCCAAGGGTAAATCCGAACTGGATGATTATAGTTTATCATGGTAAAAGCTCTATTTGTTTTTATTAATGTTGTATTTTATGTACATGGATGCTGCCACTAAGCATACATTACTCATACTGTTAGAGGTCAATGGTGGCAGACAAGCATGTACTGCGTATGCATAATTACCTTATGACTAAATAAATCCTTAATAGATAAGACCATAAAGTCATTTCTAATGTAGAAATGTCTGTTATTTAACCTTGCGTGATTTGTACTTATGTATTGTATTGCCTTGTCATACTACAGTACTATGTACCAGTGACCTCCTAATGACAATGAATCAACCTCAATAAATAGTTATATATATAGTTACTAAGCTATATCAATATACCTAGATCTTGAGTGTTCTTCTTGCTTTTGCAATGTAAAGTTCTAGGTATCAAGATTCAAGATTTGCTGTCAGAAATTCTTTCGCGTTCCTTTTTTTACGTTTCTAACTAGATCACATGATCCTTCCCATCTAATCAAATCTCTTCTCACATCCATTCGCACAAAAAAAGTTCCTTTCCCTCGTACATTATATTCAAGTATCTTAGTATTTTCACTTTCGAAAATGATCTTAGGCTTATGAAGAAAAATTAAGATATAATCTTCATCAAAAGGACAAGTATTATCTATACTCAGCGTCTCGTATGAACAATATTATTCCTATAACAATCATTATCACAGTAATTTCATAAAACGTATAAGTAGGCTTACAGATAATAATTAAATGCCAACTCTGTTCCTATAACGCAATCAGACTATCTATAAAGACATAGAAAATGCTTTGATAATGCTAGTTGTACATCGCAATCAAACCGGCAACTCACTTCCAGTTTACAACTTCACAATCGCTGAATATTAAAAAACAATAAAACAAGTTCTCGATGGCGGTTGGGTCCCAACGTAAGTTAAAACTGTAGTTATACCGCGTCAGTAGGTTCCTCTTTCATTCCATTATGGATTTATTGAACATTGCTCCAGATAATTCAATGGACATTATAATGAGAACTGGGCCAGTAAAACAAAAACAAAGTCGACACAATTATATAGCTTACTTGAATGTCCCTGACAAAATGTTACACTAATTTATTAAAGGTGTATAACAAAGGACAGCTTTCAGTTTTCCAAAATAAAACTAGTATTTCTACAGGCATTTTTTTTTTTAGAAAATTTTGGTTTTAGATTGACTGTCTGGGCCAACTGCTTTCATGTTAATTAAGGGCGTTCATTATGCAGGTATTGTTAAATGTGGCGTTACTTTGAAGTCTGCAGTAGTGATTGAGTAAGCTTACCACACTTGTCTAAGGGAATTAAATTGAAATCACGGTTAGCAGAATTGGTCACAGCACAAGACAGACTTCCGTAGTCGACACAACTATATGACCTACTTTTTGGTTCATTACAATATACCTAAAGTAAAACTCAGAAATAATTGCGAGGACAAACTTTGCCGGTGGAAAAACGTGATTTTTTTCTTTATTCACATCTCATTCGGATATATATATATATATAGACAGATCTGGTGTAGGATATCCATACAGAATATGTCTCTAAATCCCATTAATGATCCACGCCATGAATACGCACTTACTCCCGACACGGTTACAGAACGTCAGGAATGCGAGTAAGAATATAAGAATGCAATCGCATGCACTTTCCGACTCAATAGCACAATACACATTTTTTAGTTTTTATAAGGCTATTGTGTGGTTTGTAATTTTTAAGTGCTATTGACATTGAGTTCACAAGCACCTGTGAGTGCATTTAGAAAGCACAAATCTTCCATAATAAAAATGAAAAAGAATTGATGACAAATTCATTATCTAATCACATCTGATGTAAAATTTCTTGCATCTGTGCAATGACGTGAACAACGCATTTAGTATGAAATGTATTAGTGTACACATACAGTACGATTTCAGAGGGTGTTAATTGGGCTACGTCTCAGGTAGAAGTGAACAATTCTAAATTTGAGGGAATAATCATATTTGTCGCAACAAAAATGATATATTCACCTTCATCTGCGTCATATGAAGGTTACAGGTGATGATCATTATATCTCGCATTTAAGGTTACAAATAAATATATTATTAAATGTTTAACGTTACAGTGATTTCTGCACTTTGATTCTATTTTACTCGGGAGAAATGGTGTCAGTCACTAATGGTGCAATTGATTGGTATGAGCATCTCTTTAAACAAGGCAGAATCTGGTATGTTTCGAAATAAGTTATGAAAATTGTTCACCATCATGTAGACAATAGGAGGTATCAGTCATGAGAGATAGTTTTTATATTTGGCATATATATCTTAGCTAACACCTGGAGAATCCAGGTAAGGCAGAGATAAGACAATTTATTTCATAAATAATACCTTTGTTGTAAAACTATTGTATAAGCTTATAAAGAACTGACATGCTGGTAACAAAGCATATTATTGACTTGCTACATCTGTAACTTGTGACGATGAACACTACTTTTATCGGATATTGTAATGATTTTCATGCAGCGTTATTGTAGCATCCAGTACCAGTGCTACTTATGTTTAAAGGTGTGCAGTAGTAGATTATGAATAGAGGCATAAGTTGTAAGGCTTGAGAAGCTAACAAAGAATTTCACAGTGAGCGGTGTTTAATTGTGCACGTAAACATACATCATAGTATGTCCTTCACAGTGTAGATGGTGTGTGTGGTAGCATAAATCTGACATTAGGCTGCGCTCTGCACTACATTACAGTTTAACGTGATAAATGAAAATGTTATACCTTTAACTTTAAAGTCTTAATTCATCTGATTCGTTATCACTGATTTTAACTTGTTATATATATTTGGTCTTTGTTTTCTGTGAGAGACAAAACTGTTGGAAATATTTTCGTTCAAATCAATATATTGCATCACCAGTTGATGAGATAGGTGGATGTTGCTGACTACAGTTCCTTTAGTTCAGTAACTGTGTTAGATAGATCATACCTTAACATAGAGTCACTGTACATAACAGTAGTTCAATGAAAACAACGGAAATTATGATAGGTAGGTAGATTTATAGTTGCAGTAATTTGTACCTGTGCAGTCTGATCAGTTTTTACCCTTGTGCGATGAATTTATTTCCTATAGCCGACATGGTAATTTAAAAATACCTATGTAAATACCTGGCTATCCGTTGGATGGACGTATTGTTTGAGCAGGACGTTCTAGAGTCTAACAACTCTTGAAATTTGATTTTGACAAATAAGGCTTGAAATAAGTCTTGTGTTTTATTTCACTTTCAACATAATTGTATTTAGGAAATAACAAGGAAGTAACAAGGTATAGATAAGAGTTTAGGTTCCTGTAACTTACACTTACACTAATGAATTCTAAAAAAAATGGCCATGCAATTTGATTATTTCTATTGAATGCGAGTGTGCGGACATATTGAATGGGGAAATCGATTACAAACTAAACTTCAGATGTATCGGTTTCATATGCGAAATTATCTAGCTGTACAAACGAAGGCATGGATGAGATATGTGTGTAATTTTAACATTTGGATGATAAGTGTGATTGAGGCTGTGTGTTGTATGAATTCAAAATGCTCTACAATGTATAAAAGAATTAACACCGAGCGTAATCTGATGGGAGACATACGGTGACAATGACAATGTATCTGTTCAAAATTAAAATAACGCTTGCTCTTGGAGTCCTTATGTAAAATCTTTCATTGAATGCTTAATAAAACAAAATATTTACACGTTTCAGGCACGATTGAACGTAATGATATCAAACCTCAGAAGAAAAACTCTAGTTTTCACAGACCAGCGAGTAAGTATGCTTGATAAAAAATACAGGGTATACACATATTTATACACATTAAAGATACCATGAATTTCAATTTTATTCCGAAATTATGCTTGAGTAACTTAAGGAAAGATATCATCTATTATTTTGAAATCTAAACCATTAACCTTCTACGTTTTCAGATACGAAAAATGAAGGAGGTGCTTTATAGTATGAAAATGATAAAAATGTATGGTTGGGAAGACTCATTTCTAGATGTTATTAAAGGTAAGTGAAGATATTTAATTACTGTATATGTAATTTTTTATACATGTGTAATTGGTTATCACTTTTGAGTTATAATTTGCCATTTTAGATTTCACCATTTCAGAGAAAACCCATAGTTAATGATAGTCTACATGTTTGAAGCTTGGGGACCTTACCTTTGTCTTCAGCTCGCATGTTATTTTAGGGGAAATCTTTTTTGTAAGGCTTTTGAATATGAACATATGTTCTTTAAAAAAAAACATCTCTTGTAGTAAATTATGAAACTAGTTACGGCAACTCCACATCAAGAGATTTTCCTCTTTCCAATTAACTTTATTTCAAAACAAACATAAGAAGCCGTTAAATTATTACCTGGCTGAATTACACCTGATTATTAACTCGTGTCCTGTCTTGAATCCTCAAGATAAACGGGAGAAAATCTTTTAATGTTGAACAAGTTTAGTCATTCTTAGTTTAGATGACGCCTCCTAATACATATTTTTTCATCTAAAAACGAACCCCATAAAATCTATGCTTTAGATTGAATGCTTACTATGGTAGGAGTTTCGAAAGGAAAAAACTGTATAAACTACACTGTATAGTTAGATTCCAGCCCCCGTCATTATGTAATCGTTTGTTTGTGAAACGTCTCTTCATATTTCTTTTGGTGCATAATGAATATTATTTTTTATAAGTGTCAGTAGTAGTAACGTCCGAGACCTTTTGAAATGCTGGAACTTACTTTTACATCACTTTTTCTGAATTCCTGGCGAAAATCTTACACTTTTTTGAGTCTGGATTCATATGTTAACACTTATATATGTTTATTATTTTTAAATCGTCAAGGAAATGTTTGTTTATTTATTCGTTGATTTTAATGTGGCATTTTTACAGCAATAAGAACAAATGAGGTGAGGATATTGATGAAGGCGGCGGTTATAAATTCTGTGGCCAGTGCAATCATTCCGATAACGCCTTCCGTAGCCACTGTCTCAACCCTCGCTGCTTATATGGCATTTGGAAATGACATTACAGCGTCAACGGTTTGTTATGTTAATAAAACGCTATTTGTTTAATCAAAAGCAACAACGCGAAATTTCCCCAACCTTTTAAGAATTTTAAGACGGTTCTGTCGTCAGTACCAATCGTTAGGGAGAATCTCGAATATTGGCTGAGTTAATGTGGCTTATCAAAACAACTCGAACAACTTGTACCCTGTTTCCTGCACCACAAAAATGAAAAGGATATAATTTGGGCTCTTTCCATCCGATGAGATTTTCCGAAAAACAACTCTTAAAAACGTGTCACTAATTTCTACAGAATGATTTCCCATTAGGCTAGTACCTTAGTTGTACGATAGGTTTTGTATTCTAAAAATCCACGGAAACAATTAAAACATAACAAATAACACTTTTGCCATTTTTCCAGGCCATGAACCCGGAAGTATTCAATTGATTTTAAAAGTGTTATTACTCATAATAAAAAGGATTTTACAGCTTCTGAGTTGTCGAAACTATGTGGAAAACACTGAAAATATTCATCAACATACACACGTATAAAATAGATTAATGACATGTATCTTAATTTGTGTTTTGTCATCATTTATTACTGACAGAATGCAACGTGTTTTAAGATAGAAAAGTTTCCGGATGTTTATGTATGTTACTTTTCATGTTAATAACCCACTTTTATCAATGTTATTCATATGTAAGATATGTGTCATCAATATAAAATGAGACAATTGTTCCAGTAATGGTAGTGTTTATGTCACATGGTTCAATTTAATTGAATATACATTATTGAACAAATGATGTTTTATTCAGGTAATTATTCAGTTAGACATAACAGTGTAATACTCGTATCCTAACATCCATTAAAACCTCACTGTCATAATTCTGATTTCGGTCCCTATCCAGGCCTTCGCTTTAGCTGCTACGATGGAATTTCTCCGCGTACTATTGACCAGTGTGCCTTTTGCTACGAGGATGTACGGAGAATCGAAAGTCGCCATGAAACGGATAAAGGTATGTGAATTTTGTACTATCACATTAGGATTATCATGTCAGTTACGGTAAAGCAATATTTGTCGAATACAAATATGCCAGGTGAACAAGCTACAATATTGCCGTATACCTACTGTGTGTATTGATTTGTCGATAACAATATTTAGTGTTGAGGCATAAGTGTATCGGTGTAACATCGGGGGTAGTGTATAATTATGTTATATAACTTCAACTCCTCGTATACATTTCAGTCAGGGACAACCTGTGTCTTAAGTTTGTTCGTTATATTTAATAACAAAAAATCAATGACATCTCAAAGGAATATATATATATTATACATGTAACGAAACTATACAATGTCGATAGGAGAAGAATCTATAAAACCGGAAGTACTCTATCATTTTAAAAAGATGTACATAAAGAGTTATTCCCAATTTCTAAAAATCAGTTTTGAACTCTTATTAATGAATACGTCATCAAATCACGAAAACATGTAACTTGATCAAAACGATTAGCTAATCAACGGGGTTTTTGGTATGAAATGTCAATATCGGGTACGCTGAATCGAGTTCTGAGGAAATATCTGCTTTGGCTTTTTGTCTGTAAAAGTCCCACACATGCTCAATTGGGTTCATCTTTGGTGACATTGCTAAGCGGACACTATGTGGTTTGGTATTATCATCAATAAGGATAGGCCGAATAATTGGGCATCGAAACTTTCGAACTTTTAAATGTCCTTCAAGGACATACAAGCGAAAGTTACAGTTTAGAGAAAGGCATTCCCAAACAGTAACGCCCCCATCAACAAATGTTGTTAAGCACAGAATGTGATTAAGATGGTATAGAATATTTTGTCTACACACATGAACCAGATGGCTTGTCGCCAAAACCTAATATTCATGTCCGATGATCAAAAGAATCTTGTTTGTGCCTTCAAGTAAAAAGAGGACGTTTTATTGGTCGGAGAGAGATGTCATCTATTGTTTCAACGCCCGGTGACTATACGCTAGCTAACGCGAACATTGGCGTCCAAATGTCGTATGAGCCTGTTGGCAGTTGTGAAGGGGACTTCTCTTGCCTATCTGTCTACGCAGAGCATGTCAACAGCAATCGTCAATATAAAAATGCATTGTTACTATAAATAGATATTCCACAATAGCAAACGAGGTTTCACCGATACATTTATTTGTGTTACCTTGTACTAATAACAAGCATCATAATTAAGATTGACATCATTTTCAAAGAGTTAATTATCATGACTTATTTAAGAAAACAGATGTATTAAACATGAGAAAGTATTTCAACTATGAGAAATATTATCTTTTATTATATAAGAGTGTTCACAGAAAACATTTCTGTCGTAGAAATTTCTAATTCGGGACGAGTATACACCACCGACTAACCAGGTTAAAGATGAAATGAATGCTGTCGAAATTCACGACGGTGTTTTCCAATGGGAAGATTTAACTGATTTACCAAATGAAAATGATAAGAAGAAAAAGAAACAGAAAAAGAAAGAAGAAGAGAAAAGTAAGAGCTTTCTCATTGAATGAATGCATATGTTATAGATACATATTTGCGTTTTAACCAGTCTGTGTGCTGTAGTTATATTCGAAGAGTGAGATTATACATGTTACTATGATTTTACGTATTGATTATATTTCATGTTTTGATAAGGAAGGCTATAGCTCATTAAATATCCAACCAACTTCCTAGATTTTTTTATGTACGAATTCAAGCATTTTAAAATTTTCTGAATACATTACAAAACTTTATTTGAATCTTGTACTATTATTAAATGATATTAAATAAGACCTCATTATTGCTACGAAATAAGTTCTTTAATTGTATTATAGATGTTTTGAACTCCCCGCGGTCTGAAAGCACTGCATCCTTTAATCTTGACGATATCCAGTTTAATGTTAAAAAGGTAAGTTTCTCTCTTTGTCTACAGATAATACAATACATATATATGATATTTATCATCAATGAGATGTGATATATTGAAACATTATATTACTTTAGGGACACCTTGTTGGTATTTGCGGGTCTGTAGGCAGTGGGAAATCGTCTTTGATGTCTGCCATTCTGGGTCGTGTAAGTACATATTTGTTTAATTCTAGTGCCAACAGTTGTGTTGTTGTACTCTAATAAATACGGTACTACCAGTCTTCTTGTTAAAGATAAACTTTATCTTATAAGTCAGTACGTCAAAAATTAACCTGAAACTTAAACGCATAAATATAATGCTTTGGATGGAAAAATGTATCTGAATTTGGTCGATAACTTTGCTATTTCAATTAATTAATAAGGCAGTTGTTAGTTCGTATACATAATATGATACCTAAGATATCTAACTTTTTATGGATATTTCTACAACATTTTCTCCACTTTACAATCAGATGCCGAAATTAACAGGTCATCTTGCAGTAGACGGGTCTGTCGGCTACGCTGCTCAACAAGCGTTTATATTCAATGGAACCTTAAGGGAAAATGTTCTATTTGGGAAATCATACGACAGCATATGGTAGGTATATTGTATGTAGTGCCTTGACATTAAAATTGGATCAAACTGTGATATTCTTTTATTCAACTACATGGTTATTTTACCTATGTGGTTAACCATAGTCTATAAAGAACCTCTTTCTCAGAATAAAGACTCATTAATTGTATTATTTTCTTTGTTCGTTGATTGAATCAATTTCTCGTGTTTACATACATTGTCAACCAATGTATATTAGTAGCTAAAACAGTATAATGGTCACAAAGTATATTGTATGAAAATGATATGATTGATAGTATGTTATGTTTGCACAAACTGCAATGAAATGGATACAAAATTCAATCTAATAATTGATAAACAAGTGTTACCGGTGTAAATATATTATACTACATGAATACTAAATGTCTTGATTTTAATATGAAAGGTAATATAAACATTACTTTTGCTATTATTTCCAAGGTATAAAACAGTTATATATGCCTGTGGGCTAGAACCCGATATTGCTTTGCTGCCAAATGGAGATCAAACTGAGGTGGGTATTAAGATACGAATCGTTGGATCAATGAGTTAGGATATGAATAACAGACTATTATTCACAATGTGGTACTCATCAAGAACAAAAATAGGACTACGTGTACCTCTATAGGAAACTGAAACAAATATAATTTTGACATGTAAATGTGTTGTGTTTAGATTGGAGAAAGAGGGATCAACATCAGCGGAGGACAGAAACAAAGATTGAGTCTTGCACGTGCGGTCTACAGTAAAAGCGACATATATCTTCTTGACGACCCTTTGTCAGCCGTTGATGTCCACGTTGGCCGACATTTATTCCACAAATGTATAAAAAAAACATTGAAAGGGAAAACCATTATATTGGTCACTCATCAATTACAGGTATACACCTTACAATTACTTTTTGTTGTGAATTGGTAAATTGCAATTAATAGGTTATAGTTCCATACCATCAATATATGTATATGTATTTATCTAAATTGATGTCAATTACATTGTAGTATCTTCATCATTGTGACGAGATCCTGGTAATTGAGGAGGGTAAGATAGCTGAACGGGGCCAGCATGATGATCTGATAGCACGAAATGGTTACTATGGCTCCATGATGGGTCAATTCCACGCTACAACGTCCCACAACGCAGCAACAGGTAATTGTATAAGCAACAAGTAATTGCATTATAATTCTTTGGGAATTTTTAATTACTAGTGAGACTTATAACCCCTTCCCATCCCTCTACGACTGACTTACCATTTCTTAAAACCGACGGATTTCTCATTTACAAAATTTGTCCGAGAGAAGTTTGGAAACCATTTCAGACTGGTCTTTTAAATAGCAATTAACCTGTGCACATGTGTTTTGAAATATAAGGTCGGTGATGGTGTAGTTTGATGTCAAGTGCATAGGTTATCATCTAGTGAGAAGTTTTTATCACTTTGAAACGTGTTTGGTGTATTCAGCATATTGTTCTGTGGAACAAAAGAATAGAACATATATTGATTAAGCTGTTTTGCAAGGTCTTTGCCTTTAGTATCTTATTTCTGTTACGTAGTGATCGACATGCTCTTTTCACGATTGCCCATGTGTATTTATCGGAACTTTTGCAATAAAATTACAATTTTAAGATTAAAACTTCTTTACTCACATGAACTTGCCATTGGATAGGTTTTTTTTGTTTTTTGTTTTAACAGGAGATAGCAAAGAGTCACCGTCACAACAAAGTCAAAACCAATCACCGGACAAATCGAAGGAGACAGATTCAAAATCAGACGAAAATAAAGGTGATTATATGAGAAAAAAAACTTTTTATTGAGTACGACAGAGAAACTTTTCTCCTTATCGATTATTTCGAGAGCATTTTTTTTCCAAATTTTATTCAGTCGATGCTAGTCTGTGTATTCTACTCATCCATAATGGTCGTTCAGTATGTGTTAGTAAATGTACAGAAATTGTCTAGATATTGCTAACACTTCATTTATCAGGTGTTAAATTTACTCTGTCAAGATGAGTACGTGATATTTCACATTCCATGAATTGACTTGCTATGTTGTATTTGGAATGTGAATTCAAGTTGTATCAGCAATTTGGATTTTATTCTTTACGTAAATAGCACACATTGGTATAAGTCAACAGTAATAGTGATTTAATAAAAGTTTTTCGTATCAGAGTGTCTGGTACTACACTCTAATGAATGTTAATCCAAAAGTAAATGCCATTTTTATTCCTAAGTACAGAGTATCATTTAACTGAGAATGCAATACAAGTATTTTCCTTCACTCCAGGTAATCTAACGGAGAAAGAAGAAGCGCGAGTAGGCGACGTGTCCTGGGGAACATACAAGTCTTATATAAATGCCGGTGGTGGCTATGTACCTATGACAGTCGTAATGTTTCTAGTCATCATCTCAGTCGCTGTGCTTGTATTTACAGACTGGTGGCTAGGCATCTGGCTCCGAGATAACGTAAGTCATCAACAAATTTAGAAAGTCAAGTTTTACTCTTTTTATCATAAATGGGCATTTTATAATCCCCAAATTATGAAATGTGTGTTTTTGTTTCTCAATATATCTCTGAGGTCACAAGCTAAGCGGATGGTTTTGAAAATACACTCTAACAATTAAATGAAGGGTTAATAAAGTCAGTCATATATTGAATATCAGCGTCATGTGTTACCCTTTGGTGAACGCCAACATCATGCTTTGGTACCCAATAGTGAATACCAACATTGCCTTACACTTCTGTCGCCAACATCTTGTTATGGTACCCAATAGTGAAAACCAACATTACCTTACAATTCTGTCGACAACATCGTGTTATGGTACCCAATAGTGAAAACCAACATTGCCTTACAATTCTGTCGCTAACATCATGTTATGACACCCTTTAGTGAACACCAACATTGCCTTACAATTCTGTCGCCAACATCATGTTATGACACCCTTTAGTGAACACCAACACTGATTTACAATTCTGTCGCCAACATCATGTTATGACACCCCTTAGTGAACACCAACATTGCCTTACAATTCTGTCGACAACATCGTGTTATGGTACCCAATAGTGAAAACCAACATTGCCTTACAATTCTGTCGCTAACATCATGTTATGACACCCTTTAGTGAACACCAACATTGCCTTACAATTCTGTCGCCAACATCATGTTATGACACCCTTTAGTGAACACCAACACTGCTTTACAATTCTGTCGCCAACATCATGTTATGACACCCTTTAGTGAACACCAACATTGCCTTACAATTCTGTCGCCAACATCATGTTATGACACCCTTTAGTGAACACCAACATTATGTTACACTTCTGTACGATATAGACTGGCCACCGGCTGACAAAAAAGAATATGACTATATTTTAGGAATCGTGTTCCATTTAGAAATTGTTTACATGTTTTGAAATTTTCGATTTATCTATAAATATTTGAATGTTTCCTAAATATGAGATTTTCCTTCATGATTTAATTTTGTTCACACTTCTACCTACTTAACTCGTCTCTAACTGGTTGATGAAGATATATTATAGATGTTAACTATTGCAGGACGAATATGCCAAGTATCTCGGAGGAAACATCACATTTAACAACACAGTGCCTCCAAATACATCAACGCCTAACTCCATATCAAACTTTAATCAAACATATAATATAGAAAATAACAACTCCACATTCTTAGGACCATCTGAAGATAGTCATGCAAGGCTGCGGTTCTATATATCTATCTATATAGGCTCAATGATTGGGATCTTGGTATTCACCATCATTAAAGGACTCGCTCAATCCATGGTACGTGTAATTTTAGTTAACAAATGTAAACTTTTTATTTAAAGTTAATGTTAGATATACTTTCATTTTAACGCCGTCCATTTTATGTTTATAGCAAATATATTAGATAAGCAAACACGAGCGTCCGCACTATTTTGTCAAATAGCATATCATTTTATTAGTAATCTTTTTTCCTTCAATACATATCTTGAGCACAAAGAGCAATAGTCAGGTATGAAATAAAAAGAGCATCTTGAATTGTACTGCTTTGGCTTTAGTGCTTTTGTATTCGTCGTTTTAAATTCAAGAATGTCAAATGAATATCTTATCATTGAAATTATAAACTTGTTGGACATAGGATCAATCCAGATATTTGATATGAAACCGTTTCTGATATGGCTAACAACAAATTTTCCATATTGTATTGTTTGTGAATAACGTCATTCGTCATTAAAGAATGGACAGTCAATACATAATATTTTCTTCCTCAGATGATGATGCGATCTACCAGATTATTACACAACAGAGCTTTAGCAAATATCATGAAGGCTCCCATGTCGTTCTTTGATGCCAACCCAGCGGGACGGATCCTCAACAGATTTTCTCAGGATTTAGATGAAAGTAATGACATTCAAATAACGAATTTTAATTGATTTTGAGTCTACAGCACGTTCACGTCTAGATTTTGACTTTGATCACATTGGATTTTCCTTAGTCACCTCTCATGAATTGCATCATGCAGCAGTCCTTCTAGGACTCATTAGTTTTGCGAAGGACCTAAGTTTTGAAGCTTAGCATGCGACTACGGATCCTTTAGGTGAACATCGAGTGTACGTGTGTTCCATCGATCTGATTTTACTTTTTACCACAAGACAAACCTAGGACAATGACATACATAAACCACACCGGAATAATTATTTTTGACCTTGACAAAATGTTTAAACTCGATCTCGTGAAACATACTAGTTCACAAAATTTTTACACAATGCTGTTGTTAATTAAAAAATACACACATAACTCATATATATCTTTCAATCGGTGTCTTTTCATAAAACTTATCCTTTACCCATTAAATGAATCATTGACTTAATATCTAACTATATTTTGACAACACATCAAAATTACTAATACTAAAAACCGCGTATATGCCCAATGAACTTGGGATTAATTCGCTATTCCGGAGGTTTATAGAGGTTTTATCTATCAACAGACTTTTTAATTTAGTTTTCATATGTAAGGCTTAGTTGTTAATACATAGGAATGTCATGTTGCTGAGAAATATGTATTTTTTAACATCGTAAAGAAAGAGTTGCCAGCATCCTTCATTAATTTTTCAATATTTTTCGTCTTCTGTCATTAGTAGGGATTCGCAGTTTCATCCATCAGTATTTAGGTTTTTAACATTGGTTGTGAAACATATAATATTATTTATATAACAACATTTCTTTTTTTTTATTAGGTGATGTCTTTCTTCCTATCTACATTGACGTATTGCTTCGATTGTTGGTAATGACTGTCATGTCCCTCGCGTCGGCCATTTACAATCTCCCATGGACTTGTATCGCTATTGTCGTCGTTTGTGTTGTGTTTTATATCTTCAAAACGATTTCTGCCGAATCCACCAGACAGATAAAACGATTTGAAACCATTGTGAAATCTCCATTACTAAATCACGTGACTGCTTCCGCGCAAGGTCTCTTTACAATCGTCTCATTTAAACAACAGAAGCAATTCATCAAAGAGTAAGCTTGTATTACATCTTAGCATTAATCCGTGGTTGCATTATTAATATCCTGGTTACTTTGTTGAAAATTCATCATTCATAAGTGGTATCTACTTTAAGAGAAAATCATATTTCTGACTATTATACCAACTAATGATATAACATATAACACTTACTTACAAGTATTTTTGCTATGGATCTATATCATTACACCTTGATATCTTATACATGTTTAGTGCGTATATTTGAAGAAAAAAATACAATTCAAAACAAAAATAACAATTCTTTTTACAGATGTATGAAATTTACGGATGTGACGTCAACGGGCCTGTTCTTATTTGAAGGGATGATGAGGTGGATAGAACTAAGACTTGATGTCACTGCCTCGATAATGATAGTGGCCACGATGTTGGCCATGGTCTTAATGAAGGGAACCATCCCTCCTGCATTTGCCGCTTTGTCCTATACCTTGTGTGTCAGGGTAGGTTTCTTACCATATTACACATTTTTTTCTGGTGTCTTCTACTTGGGTCGTGTGGAAGAAATTATAAATATATTTGCAGTATTTAGGCACGTGAAACTGTCAGAACCAACTAATGTGACGTTTTTACACAACCTGAATCTACTATGTGTCTTCCAATTAGGATACATTCAAACGATACAAATTAATTCATTGTTTGCAATGTTAATTGTTTTAATTCCATCTCAACGTCCCTTTCTTGTATTCTCTCTTCACCTTTTGTCTGATATGGCTCTGAATGTCACTAATGCTTAATATCCCGATCAACATAGTTTTCCCACTTCAGCAGTTCATTTTATTTCTGCTGTAGTTACTTCGCTTCCTTCGAAAGACAGACACAGGATGACAAGCATGATGTAGTGAACTACCATGCATGGTACATCTGTCTTACAAATAACGCATATGGAACATATCTATCAACGACGTGTGCATTTTGAAATATTTCATTTATAACACTACTTTAACAAAATGTTAATTGGTTTAGTTTTTAAACACGAGATTATCTATGTATGTAGCGTATGTGATGTTTTTGTTTGTCCAGGTGGTATCGTCCATGCAGTTTATAGTCAGGGTAGCAAACGAAACAGAATCCCGGTTCACCTCCGTTGAGCGGATACATGATTATGAATCGGTAAGTCAATGACAATATGATATATATATATATATATATATATATATGTGTGTGTGTGTGTGTGTGTGTGTGTGTGTGTGTGTGTGTGTGTGTGTGTGTGTGTGTGTGTGTGTGTGTGTGAGGGTGTGTGTGTGGGTGTGTGTGTGTGTGTGTATTAAATCCGGAAACGATGCATGCCTTTCAGTAATTAAATGTTTGAAGTAGATTAACAAATTAAGGTCCAAGTCGAATATATTTTTGTGGGTAAACTCAGAAAGTGCATTGTTCTAACTTACTATGTTTATACAACAATTGTTTATCGACATTATATCATAAGAAGTTTTCCTTTGTATTTTTTACTTAACGTCTTGAAGAAATGCAACCATTTTCTTTAAGAACATAGAGACGGAGGAGGACTCTGCTTCAGTGATTCCGGACGAAAGTTGGCCACAGGACGGACGTCTTATTTTTTCCAATGTCATGATGCGCTACCGGAAAGACATGGATCCCGTTTTAAGAAACATCAGTTTCGATATCAAACCAAAACAGAAGGTCGGCATCGTAGGCAGGACAGGTGCTGGTATGTAATTACACTAGTGTTAATAATGTAAATTACAATTACACGTCTGACATTGAAAATAACAGAAATAGTTCTCATTTATTTCCAAATGGTATTGATATCACACAGGTAAGTCTTCCCTAGCCACAGCGCTGTTTCGTCTGTGTGAACTGTCAGAGGGACATATATCCATAGATGGCATGGACATCGCGCATATCCCACGTAAAACTCTGCGGTCCCGTTTGGCCACGATACCTCAAGATCCTGTGCTCTTCACCGGTACCCTCAGGTATGGCACATCATCGAGTAATCTTATTTTAAAATGTGCTCTTCTCTGTGAGATAAAGGGATAATACGCCGAATAAGAATGTTAAACATTATATGAAAATGACATATAACAATTCATCTAAATTAATTGGAATGTTGACATCAATGTGTCACGTGCTATATTAGAAGTCAACAGAATATATATACATTCTATTGGTGTTTTGATTTTACCATTATAGATACAACTTGGATCCATTTGACAAGTATACAGATGAAGTTGTATGGGCAGCTGTAGAACAAGCCCATATGAAGGAAAAGGTATTTTTCTTCTATTTGCCTTTCTTAACTTAAATGACGTGATTCGTTCCTTCCTATTCCTTTATCATAAAATATTTTCCATTTAATCCAAAGTATTTCAATCGTCGAAAAATTAATACACCAATGCGCCGAAAATATAATTCCCCACGAGAAAACCTTTTATGCGGTAACTATACCCAATGCATATATCAGTTTAAAGCTATTTTTGCGATTGTGTCTTTCGTCCAGATAATTGTGATCAATGTTTAATTATAAGAGATGTTTGAATTTTTAACAATATTCAGTAGATCCGGGTGTGTAACAGAGCTAAAAAGGGCAATTATCTTATCTATTTATCTCGATAAAACAGATAAAACAAGTTCACAGGCTATATTTATAGGCATGTGAAATTCAAATAATTAAACAATTACTTATTTAAACTATTTGTCGTTTTGCATCAGTAACGTTATACTTGTAATAATAAAAATATATCTTATTATAAAAACATATAAAAATGATCTCAAAACTGTTATTTTAATGCCATACAGTAGTATATAATTCACACGCAGAAAAAAAAGAGCATTTTTACTCATTTTGAGTTTTGAGCGTTTGGAAACTGGACATTTACACGAAATAAATTGTTCGATTAGAATTAAACGAGATTAAATTTGAGTTGAATTTTTTTTATAGAATTGTTGTTCATTTTCTGATATAGAATTTATATATAATATATTCAGATCAAATCGTATGGTGATAAACTTCAAATGAAAGTGGAAGAGAATGGAGAAAACTTTTCTGTAGGAGAAAGGCAGCTCATCTGTCTGGCACGAGCTATCCTCAGACGAAATAAGGTGAGATAAATATATTTACACGTACATATTCAACAGTACACGGGACTTTATTAGTATACATATATTACTTCTTGTCAAATTAAACACGTCCGTCGATAGAATGATTCATTATGGTTAAATATATTTTATTATTCGTTTAAAAGATATTCGCAGATTTTATATGAGAAATTTATTTTAATTAATCCAAGCGAATAACAATTGAACTTACTAACCTAAAATGTTTGTTATATTTTTCCGATACAAATATGAGAGTGATTTTTAACCTTCATTAGATTCTGGTCCTGGACGAAGCAACAGCGTCCATCGACACGTCCACAGACGCCATGATTCAGCAGACGATACGGGAGAGCTTTTCTGACTGTACCGTCCTGACGATCGCTCACAGACTCAACACTGTTCTACATTGTGACGTCATTTTGATCCTTGAGGCAGGAGAGGTGTGAATTATTTCTGGGCATTTGTCACTTGTTTTATACAAAATATGAACATGAAGCCTCTAACAGAACGTGTATGAACGTACAAGAATCTCCGGATGGTCAGACTTAATAGTAAATTGATCAGGACAACGTTCGATTTAGATAATCTCAAAAGAATAACGAATTCAAGCGTATAACTACATGAACATGACATCAATAAATTTCATATGATGTTATTTCAATTTATTTCTAATCATATGTCAATATTTTATCAAAAGTATGCAAATCAAATCAGTATTGTCTTTTGATATGATGCTTTTTACATACAGGTTCTAGAGACAGGGAAACCGCAAGACCTATTGTCAAATCCAGAGTCTGTATTCAATAGGATGATCCGGGCACAAACCGTCAAAACTCCGTCACCGTAACTCACAGTCATCTACTGTAACCATGGGCACACTAGAAGCCCAATCATATGTCAAGACACAATGCGGCGCCATCAACATGATTGATATACTTTCATCAATCGTGAAACATCGATAACCTATAAAGTTTTTTTTTCACTTTTCTTGATGAATCACAAACGATGCTGTACATCCTCAATCGTTCATGCTGCATCATATATGTTGATCTCTTCCTTTTTTTGAGTTTAACAATTATCCCTGAATCATTCAGTCACCCTGTGTTTTTCGTGTTTACATACAGATAGCTCATTAAGACTGTACGGTCTCATACATTCCAGGTCATAAAGTCGACTTACAACTCAATATATGTATGTATAGCATGTAAGGACAATAAATTTCCACATTAACTCCACAGGGTAGGGAAAATCCATCTTTTTTTCATAACATGCTTCAAACACAAAGTTCTGGTGCTTAGCGCGTATATGTACGCTGGACTGCTTATTCAACTGCTATACTGTGATATTTATCTCGTGTTAGAGAGTGAGTACTCACGGAAGGTTATGATGTTATTCCCAAAGAACTATGTTTTTGGTGTTTTATTTAATGCATGCATACAATTTTATAATACACTTGAATGTAACAAAGATATATATACGCTGATACCTACATCTAATTATCTAAAATGTGTTTGCTTATCTACCTTTCCCCATTTGAACTTTTATATTTCCATCAGTTAGGACGTTGGACAAGTTTAACTCCGTGAACAAGATTCTCTACTTGTTTTAGACGACTCAGCTTTAAGTGACGTTACGTTGGTTACAAGCCACCAGTACCGAAAATCAGCTCCGACGGTATACTCTCGACGGAGTTGAGAAAGATAATAATGTGCAGTAGCGTAGCTAGCGCAGCAGAAATGTGTAAGCCCATGCGAGGGGTCTGGGATCGCTTAGGCTCCCAAAGGGTCCAGATCAGGTCCCTGGTTGGGGGATCAGGGGGGCGAATTTCTGTATCTTGGTTACATGTACCTTCGGTCTTTGATTTGTCACTTTTAGTGTGGTCACTCGATTCGGCTTTATTTTGTTTGAAAAACATGTCGATCGACGTCTGTAATCCAGACGCCTTCTTCATTTTGAAAATTTGCACTTTTACAACATTATAATCGGAAACGTTTAAACGATAGTAAGAAGTAGAATAGTATGGCGTGTATAAAGTTCCGGAAAGCAATGCACTAGGCCTAGTTATTCAACAATGTTCTATTTATACTTTATTTATTTATCAGAAATATTAGATATTTATTTTCAACCTTAGTTTTGTAATTTTGTCCGACATACACGATGCACGGATTTTTTTTTATGTGTAAGCCCGGGTTTTTTCTTTCTATGGAAGCTACGCCCCTGATGTGTGTACAACTTTGAGAAGCTGCGATGAGATAAAGTAGTATGTAAGAAAAGTAGACTTATTGTAACAGCTGACTAATATCGAAAATATTCAAGGAATCGTCAAATTTAGTGAGATTTTTTTATCGTAGAGAATAGAATATGCGTGTTTCAGACAGTCGTGTTGTGTTAGATATCTGATAACGTATTGTTTGCCAAATAATTTGAAATAAGAGTGATTTCCTAGTACATGTAATTGTGATAAAAAGTGCAATGACTGAAAAGGTAGTCTAACTGATATATTGTTCTTATTTATTTCGCTCTTGTTGGTTATATCGTTCTACAATCATCCATGCCCCTGTGGGTTCTAGCTGACGTAAAGTAGACAAAGATGAAAATGATGTGTGTGCGTTCAATTACAAATGATATCTGTTTTCAAGAAATTCTTCATGATATTGAATTGCCTTGTTGTTGTAAATGCATATGACTGTACACATTTTAAAATTGTCCTCAACCCATTAAGAGAAAATTCGAGATAGTTGATGTCAGATTTTACCGTTAAATCCAAGGTTGTCTCTATATATGTCATGTTTGTTAGTATCTATATATATATATATTGTGGTTGCCATGGTAACATAACATATGCGAGAAAAAACTTTCATTATGTTTGCATATTTTACACTTTATTATACTTTATCATTTATAATTCCTGGGAGCAGAAGTCTACATGTTGGAAAGATAAATTAGAGTTTTATGTTTTATCCGCAATAATTCCTGGGAGCAGAAGTCTACACGTTGGAAGGATAAATAAGAGTTTTATGTTTTATCCGCAATAATGCAGAGTGTGTAGGAAGGCATTCTTTTAATATTCGACATCATTATAAAGTGCAAATGTGGCATTATTTTATCATATCAGGTAATTGTATGTTTATGCATGTGAATATTGGCCTAGTAAAGCCATTTGATATTACTAAGGCTGCTGGCTGATCACATTGACGTATCAAGTGCCAGTGCACAGTGCTTGTTTTACTCGATTTAATTTGAGCTACGACCTGGCAAGGGTTAATGAAAATAAAGTCAATGCGTCAGTTTTTAATGCTGTGCGGATGCTAATCCGGTATCTTAGTCCTTAATGTAGATGTCATAATAAAAGCAAAGCTCCTAATATAGCATGGTTACTTGATATCCTGCAGAAAAAGTACCACTATTCTGCGTCTTATTTACAACTAGAATGTTGTTCCGTATGCAGTTGTATGGTGATTTCATTTTACTTTGCGTTTCCAAATGAGCAGAAGAATGTCTTAACTTGTTAGATTAATTTATTAATTCATCATTGATTAACTTCAGATGAATCACCAATGATTGTAAAATTATATAGTAAAGACAGTTTTGTTTGGTTCTGACAATTGATAACTTCGTAATAGAAGAATCTGCAATGTGCATTTTAAATGTCTATTTTTATTTCTACGATAAAATATATATTTTTTGTGATATTTTACAATAAAGTTACCTTCGGCGTATATTGTCTGGTATTATTGCCTTTAAATGTTTTATTATATCATTATTTTTTATGATATCATATTTCATATAAGTTTACAAATCGATTTAATCGATCAAGAACTTACAGGAAAATGGAAAGAATGACATGTAAACGCCCACAAAAAAATCAATGTTTCAAGGTAACAGAAAAACAAGAAGATGCCAACATGTCAACATAATCATATTAGAAAATTAAATTCAATAAACCTATGGCAAAAATGATTAAAGAAAGATTTACACGGAGACTCATAAGCATGTACAGGGAAAATAAAACCATGTGTTCAGGAAGAGTAAGCGTCTTCTATTTAATCGAGGACATCCGCCATGTAAATGTTTATGGTTTACAAAAACGAAACAACAGGCAAACTAACGAGCATCAAACACGTCCAACTGCATATCGCATGAAGAAATATATTTCTAATGAGATCACTATAGCGACCGTCAAATTTCCCTATGATTTTCATTAACCTGCAACTTTTGAAACCCTTTGTTACGAACAGGAAGCTTCTAATGTTTTCTAAAAACACTACCACTTTTTGAGATTGCAAAGATGGCAGAGCAGTGCAGTATATCAGCCGTTGATTCTATAATGCTGATGTACTTATGATTGAAAGCTAAGTAGAAACGCAAAACCTATTTCTAATACCTACATCAATAGCAAATGGAAGAGGAAAGTTCTACATTATTTTCTACTGAAATACTGTCCTTAGTAAAATCCAACGGTGATTAAATATTTGATGGCTACTATTTACTTTTCAGAAAAAGTATCATTATTAATCAGGTAATGCGAATATAATTTTCAATTAAAAAATGTTTTATTGCATAATTAATTTTCAAATATCTCAATTATTTTGGTTATAGAAGTTAGTCGATATAGTATCAGATTGAACAAATGTAAGCTGGAAATGCTTCGGGTGTTGTTCAGTTCCTGCTTCCCGCATGATGTCCGATGTCATTAAAAAGTAAAGATGGCTGCCTGTCAGTCATTTTGTTTTTCTAACATTCCCAAATTCAAACAGGTACAACTATGGACCAATGTGAACCTATATATTATATTTTACCAAGATCAATCCAGTACTCCTCAAGAAATAGTCATAACAAAAATTGTAGCGGACGGACGACTAACAGACGTAAGGGGAGTTGAATAGATCAACATCTATAAATCTCGAAAGAAAACAAAGAAATGAACAAACGAAAAATTTGTGGTTTTATTTATTCCAATTATGAAAAAATATAAAAGACACACATCCTCTTTATTACATTTCACTAATACTATCCACCTAAAAAAATAGAAGACAGGTACTTTAAAATAAACACTAAGCACCTTTAAAAAGTTTCAATTTTACTAAACACGGCCTACATGTATTTGCAACAACAACAACTAAAATATCAAGATCTACAACATGTTCTAATCAAACAATATGTACAGACTTTGTGTAACTCATTAAGAACTCAGCGTATCTTTATTGCATTTTTATCTATAAAAGAACTTTGCATTTTCAACACGCTGGTAGAATAAAAAATAAGTAACTAGATAACCTGATAACATTTTTTTCTGTAATGGTACATTTCTCAAAATAAGGCTATATCATCATCACACACTTAAGTATGCGAATCCAACGAGTTTAAACATAAGAACTAAGTGGGCTTTTTAAAAGTTAACAGCATATAATAATTAAAAAGTAAGTTGACTTGATAAATCTGAAAGTTCATTACACATGTCATGAATTATTAAGTGACGGTTGATTGATATACAGCAAATCTGTCATGGATATCCACCATTAACAACAATAGGACTCAACGAGTAAAAATTAAACTACAAATACTAGACAAAATCGATGGAATGAGGAAACAATGTGAACAAAAGAAATATTTACATAGAGATGACTTGACTCAACTGGTACAACTGGTAGAATAATTAGATAATATGTGTTTAAGATACCAATAAATTTAAAATCTACATATATTACAGAATAACTGCAGAGGTAATCCAAGTAATGCATTATCTAATGTCATGTTAACTCGTCTCGTAATATACAGTGAACCCGGGTATTTCCAGGTTTTCAAAGCATTAATTTTATTTTGTAAATTTGTTAATGTATAATAGAATATATATATACTAAGGCCTTTAAAATGAAACGTGTTCTCTTCCACAACCTAGGCTTGAATCAACAAGAAGCGGTTATACACACCAGGACAAACACTCACTTTCTAAAACATTTACAATATGTGATTCTATTCAGACCATGCATCATGACATATTCAAACAGGTATTATGTAATGAGCATCAAACGAGAATATAGCTGTATAGTTTTACAAAATATGCAAAAATATAGGAAAGAGATACTTTTAATATTTGTATCTTAATCGCCAAAAACAAAAATATCCAAAATTATTAGCACCAATTTCTTGAAATGAAGTTCTGTAAACATCTGGTATGATTTGTGACACTTTTTGCAGAGGTCAGTGTCACGTGACCTGGATAGGTCAATGATAATGTTTTAAAATACATATGTAAATATTGTCTGATGAACAACCTTGTGAATTACTGTTTAAGAGTACAACTAACTGTTGTGATTGTGTAGCATAGTATGATGACGACGTTTGTTTCAAGTTTACTTCTCTCTGTCAGGACAACAATGATAGCCGTATTGATTTTGTTTTAGGGTGACGGTGTTTTCACTGTTTGTGCTCTGATCATCTTGTTGAATACGGATTCTGGATTCGATAATAAATCTTGTGGCTTCCCCGTCTCTACAACCTGTATGTAAAACAAAAACAATATGAGAATACTCCCATTTATCACTAACATTATCATTTATATGAAAATGGACATGAATACTGACATTTTTCACTAGGATTACGATATATACTCAACAAAAAAAGAAAGGTTAACATGTTTCCTTGGCGAATACCTATAAATGAGTGAAAACAAAATGACGTTTGTGCAATATTAGAAAATGGTAATGTTTTACATTACAAAATCCAAGGGGGTTACCAAAATCATTCAAGCGTGAAAGTCTGTATTAGCGAAAGAGCTGCACGAGGTTTTCTGCGACTAACTTGTATCTTCGCTTGAATTTCATAAACATTCAAATTGACAACTGTTCCTTATATCCTTAGGACTTAGAAATCACCGAATCTTGCTATCTATCAACTTTATCATTATGCCCCGGCTGTCACAAGTACAGAGAGAAAGGGCTGTAGGCATGATCCAGGCTGGGGAGTCTCGCGTCGAGTTGCACGGCATTTTAGTTGCAGTGTTAAGACAATTTGCCAGTTGGTAAGTCGTTTAAACCAAACTGGGTCAACATCCGATCGTCCCCGAAGCAGCCGACCCCGTAAAACGACCGCCAAGGATGACCATCGTATACGATTGATACACTTGCGCAATCGATTCATAACCGCAGTAGAGACTACAAGGACATTGTTTGGGCGTCGTGTGTCTCCCCAAACAGTCCGCAACAGGTTGAGGGCCTACCAATTGAAAGCGCGGCGTCCCTACACTGGACCCAATTTGTTGCGACGTCACCGTAATAATCGGCGTAACTGGACCCGTGTTCACCGTCGTTGGGCCTTACGACAATGGAACAATGTTCTGTTTTCAGATGAGTCCAGGTTTTTTCTGCAACACGGTAACGGAAGGCGCAGAGTGTGGAGAAGATGAGGGGAGCGTTTTGCGAACTGCTGCGTCGCAGAACGGGACCGCTTTGGCGGCGGAAATGTAATGGTTTGGGGTGGTATTTGTGGGGGGACTCGTACCAGGCTTGTTGTGTTAAATGGCAATTTAACCGGCATTCGATATCGGGACGAAATTCTAAGACTAGTGGTTCTGCCATTCTAAAGACGCCATGGCGTTGGCACCATTTTTCAACAGGATAACGCACCAGCGCACACCAGTCGCGTCAGCAGAACTTTCTTGCTGCAGAATAACGTACAGGTGTTAGATTGGCCATCTAAATCACCTGATTTGTCACCGATTGAGCATGTCTGGGACGTTCTTGGGCGACGCGTGAGAGAACGTCAAAATCAGCCGTCAAACTTGCAGGAGCTGGCCCAAGCCTTGATCGCTGAATGGAACAACACCTCTCCTCGAAATATCCGCCGGTTTACGAGTTCCATACGACGACGCTGCAATGCTGTTTACTTCGCAATCGGTGGCCATACCCGTTACTAATGGTGTTACCTTTGAAATTGACCCCAACGTCCTTTACAGTCGAATAAAATCAACTTTATTCGTACATGATTGGTAAGGACTTATGAAGGGGTTAATTAATTAATCACAGAATAAAGTAATGTTACCTTTCTTTTTTTGTTTAGTATATATGAAGAAGAAAAATAGAGTCTAAGAATTATATCTTACTGCATATTAGAGTTCTGTTTATGCCATGCACTTAATAATGACATAATGATCACTTTTGTATAGAATTTTATAAGTTGCCATAGGTTGTTCATTATAGATAAAGGCTGGTCATTCTGGGTTTTGTTTGGTGTTTACAATGTAGGTATTCAATATTTTATGAGAAAGGATTCATTTGCAGGTTATGAATCCTCATCATGTCATGAAATTGCATACTTCTCCAGCTTCCAGGATTAAAATGGTGTCACAATGTAAAACAGTGTTAAGTCTGTGGGCAATTGTCAAGACCGTACAGTCGGAGAAGCTGTCCTGGATAGTCTCCTGGATCATAGCGTCCGTGGACGTGTCGATGGATGCCGTGGCTTCGTCAAGAACAAGAATCTGAAAAAGAGGATACGTTATCGTTATCAACGTTAATTATTAACATAACTTTCTATATCTAGTGAGTTATATATATATATATATATATATATATATATATATAAAGATTAAGTTCACAGTGTCTGGTAAAATATGTCAACATAATTTCAAACAACATGTTGAATTAAGCATTAATATTTAATATATATATATATATAATGGGCATAATCTCACAGCAATCACATATGAATAGAATTTTTCAGAATGAATTATCAAAAACACATGGAGTGTTGATATGTTAGTATAACATCCAAGCGATCTCAGAGTGTACCGTATCCGTATACACATCAATGTAAAAAACACAGTTGTGATCATAATACAAATAACTGATTTTTTCTCTTAAAGAATTTTTTTAAAAGCTACTTGTGTTAGAGATTAATGATGGTTTTTTTTTTTTGGTATTATCTTATATTAGAATTATCTGTTTATGGGAACATATTGTGTACAGACATATGATTTTAGGATTTTTTTATCGAAATATATCCTAATTCATCGACGAAACAAGTTTTCAAGAAGGAAATACAGTACATGTGAATTTCCCTGCTCTGTGTAGCCGAATATTTCACCTTATTTTGTCGCAGGATAGCTCGCGCCAAACAAATCAACTGCCTTTCTCCAACAGAAAAGTTTTCCCCGTTCTCTTCCACTTTCAATTTCAGTTCCTCGGAATACGATTTGATCTATGGTATACAGAATATTGATACTATACAAAATGTATAACATAAAGTCATTGACACAAAAATGCTACAACTGACTTTATTGATAATTGCTATGCTATATCTTGTTTAAAGTTTTTATGAAATTATGTTTGTAAACCACCTTTGTGTTATGTTAATTATCTAGGCATACGAAAGATGTTTAAATGATGAAATAAAGATTGCAAATGAATATAAATGTACAGATTACACGGATAAATCAATGGTCTCCGCGATGAAGTACGCCTTCGAAAGGTAAAGAAAAAGTGAAAAAAGAGCCTGCGTATCCGATTGATGCCCACTAAACATTACAAGCAGTGTATTAAAAGTCAACCTTTTCCTTCATGTGGGCTTGTTCTATTGCTGCCCATATCACCTCATCTGTATACAGGTCAAATGGATCCAAGTTGTATCTATATTAAAGGAAATTAAAACATTAATACGCGTTAAAATTAAAGTCAAACTTAATATAATGATATTGCTAATACTTCAATACTAAACTCGATTGGAAGAGATTGCCTACTGGTTTTGTTATTCAAAATATATACCGGGTTTTCTATAAAGAATATATTATCCAATCCTCAAATGGAAGGTTGCCTGTCGTCAAATAAATCACGTGTCGTAGTCAGACAAAATTGTCATACCTGAGTGTACCGGTAAAGAGGACAGGATCTTGAGGTATCGTTGACAGACGGGATCGGAGAATTTTATGCGGAATGTGGGCGATGTCCACTCCATCTATGGATATACAGCCCTCTGATAGATCACAGAGACGGAACAGTGCTGCAGCAAGTGAGGACTTACCTGTGTCGTATAAATATAATTTCATAACAAATAAGATTTTCAGAGTGTTATCAGTGTCATGTAATTTTGACTTGAAATCAGATATAATTTGAAATCTTAAGTCATGCTTGTCAATTTTGGATATTAGATGAATATAAAATCAACACAACCTATATAACACCTGATGGAAAAATCAGTTATCAGAATTTTTTAAAAAAGTGACACGCACGTGTAAGCATTCAATACTTGACAGGGAAATGCGGTATTAGATCCTACATCTATCTAATGATACCCCAGAAAAAATTATTGAAACCAATAACATTAACTCAATTAATTCCATTTGTAATAAACATGATGGATATTATCGACATGTAGTAATATTACATCTTATCAAATTTGTGAATTCCTATGTATTCATAAACCAACTGTCTTAAGAGTTTGATATCTTTAATGTGAAAATACATTTTTCGCTGCAATCAAGCTATAACTTTAAGAAATCAAGTAAGTACATTTTTTGATATCACAATTAAATCACTTACCAGCACCTGTCCTGCCTACGATGCCGACCTTCTGTTTCGGTTTGATATCGAAACTAATGTTTCTTAAAATGGGATCCATATCTTTCCGGTAGCGCATCATGACGTTTGAGAAAACAAGATGTCCGTCCTGTGGCCAATTGGCATCCGGGTTCACCGAGGCAGAGTCATCTTCTACTTCTATTTTCTAAATGGAAATGGTGTCGCTGTAGCAAGTAAGACTCGGGAAAGCAAAAGCTCGAAACAAAAGTATCAAACTTAATTTGCTTTGTACTTAATGGGGAAATTTATGTTGATCCATTACATAACAAGATCTATAATGCAGGATGATTCATTAAAAAAACAATGGAATCATTGGCTTACCGACTCATATTCATGTATACGTTCAATAGAGGTAAACCTGGACTCTGTTTCATTTGTCAACCTGACTATAAACTGCATAGAAGACACCACCTAAATGAGCAAAACAATTGTACAACTGTTAGCGAACCTGACAGTCAAAGACATTGCCGTTATATTGTGATGTGCCGCATTTCATCTGTCCTAAACAAACTGCGATTTGACAGCTTTTTCGATCTTTATTTTTTCCATTGTACATTGTACTTTAAGTGCTTTGATACATTATCTGAACATACTTGAGATTATTTTTTAATACATATTATCAAGAAGAAGAGATAAACTGAAAATACCACGTGATTCCAGATGAAAAAGGTAATAAAATGCAAAAAGATCTGAAGAGCTGAAAGACGCACAATTTAACTATATTCTGGGATGTAGCCTGGAGGTGGCACAAATGAGTAGCTTTGATGACCATGATGAAAAACAGGTAATAACATACACTTACCCTGACGCAAAGAACATAGGACAGGGCAGCAAAGGCAGGGGGTATCGTTCCCTTAAGCAAGACTAAAGTCAGCATAACAACTACTATCATTATTGAGGATACGAAATCCAGCCGCAGTTCTATCCATCTTGTGATTCCTTCAAACAAGAACAGTCCCGTTGTCGTAACATCTGTAAATTTCATACATCTGAAAACGGAGAGATTAAGCTATTGTTATATATTCTGATTTTTTTTCAACATTTTAATCTACAGACATGATTATGACATTTTGATATAAAACTATGAATCTACACATCATCAAATTTAACTTAGCTGTTTTCTATGTTAAAGTAACAACTTACATAAACCTGAATTACTGTTATGTAAGTATGAAATCGGGTCTTCCGCATTTAACATTTATCTTAATCAGAAACATAATAACATTGTATTTCATTTTTATCAATGTTTCATTTCAGCACCACCAATGTTCCTATCACCACCTGGTCTTTGTTTTACTTCCAAAAATTGCTTATACAATGACAGAGATATTGTGATATATATAAACAAATGTAGAAAATCTGTTTGTTACACATGAAGATAAGACATGGAGAACGTTATATTTAATAACATTAATAAGTACTATATTTCATTTTCAAACATAGATGTATACTTCATAAAGACAATTATTACATTTTAATTTTTCATGAGATGCTGATTGGTCCACATTAGATCATACGCTATCCCATTTATAATGGAATTTCACTATGGAAAGTTAATACAACAGCGTAATGCACGTTTGTGGGAGTATTCTGTGATTTCACATACATTCTGACAATCAGATTTCTCCGGAAAACTGTGCGAGAGTATAGTACAATGTTTTATCAAATATGCGGTATGTATCACGCTGTGAGGGAGTAAGATGTGCTTTCAATGATATTATCCTTTTGAAGCTCAGATAACCAACCTTGGACACCAGCCTGGCTCCTTAGTGGTAATCTTCACTCTATAAAAGATCATATTGATCGAAACAAAGTGCTATAATTGTAAGTACTGATGCATATCGATTAAACTCGATAAAAATCCACACTACACAAAGACCATATTACTCTAATAGGAACAAAGGGATGGGCATAGGTTCTCCAACTTGAATTTGTCGACATTCAATGAGTACTTACTCTTTGATGAACTGCTTCTGTTGTTTAAATGCAACGATTGTAAAGAGACCTTGCGCGGATGCAGTCACATGGTTTATTAATGGAGATTTCACAATGTTTTCAAATCGCTTCATCTGCCTGGTTGACTCAGCCGAAATTTTTTTGGAGACAATAAATACAAAAGCAACTGCAACTATTGCGATACTGGAATATGGTAAATTAGCTATGGCTGATCCAAGAGCCATGATAGTCATAACCACCAATCGAAGCAGCAAATCGATGAAGAATGGAATGAAGACGTCACCTATATACGAATAATATAGGTATGCATACACAGTTAAAAATATCTATACTATCAATGCATCACAACAATTATAACAAAACACCTAATATAGGTATGGATTAAACCAGAACCAGTAAATATGCTGAATAAGGAAAGGTAACATCAAAAACTTCGGAGAAAGGCAAAAAAAGATTTTTAAAAGGAAAAAAAATGTACTAACATATTAGAATAAGCTTTAATTTACCCCTACCTTAGCTGTAACAACAGACTTTGCTGTACTAACTGAACAAACAGTCATTTACATGAACTTATATATGTAAGAGCTATTGTCTATCATACAGCTACTGATACAGTTGAACAACACAAATTACTGGGACATGAATAAACATAGTTTTTCTTAAATAACATACATTTCAATAAGTCACAACGACACCTGCCTAAAAACAACACAAACAGGAAAAGCTTTTAACTACTAAGAAAAGAAGGATAACCCATCTCAGAATAAAGTCATGATTGTCACAGATTTTAAGAATGAAAATGTTGCCGAAGTGTAAATAAGATAAGAAATTAAGGTTGTGATGTCTCTAAATATTCTTTGATAAAGAGTGTCATTGTAAACGATATTTTGGATGTTAAAAACAAGTAAAAGGAGATTTACTTTCTTATAAAAACAAATGTATCGATGTTCCAAACTGCTAATCATTCATTCAATAGAAGTATCCTCTGACAGACGTTACCATATCACATTCAAACTTTGTTGCCATAAGTGTCAAATATAGATATGTATCTATGTCGGTTAACTCTTCAGCATGCCTTTCTGTACTGGAGTATCCATTATTTTAATGTAACAGTCAAATAACAATCCAGTCAAAGAGGAAACACTTATCATGATGTAAGTGTGAGGTGAATGAAAAATTGCTATTACTTTCATCTAAATCCTGGGTAAATCGGTTGAGAATTCTTCCGGCTGGATTTGCATCAAAAAACGCCATTGGAGCCTTCATAACATTCGCTAAAGCTCTGTTGTGTAACACTCGAGTTGCTCGCATCATCATCTAGTAAAGGAAACACCAGCACTATTGTTTAATAACCCTATCGAGTACACTAAGAATTATTTATTCTACGTGTACTTTCATTTTTCAATGCCATGAAATGTGAACAAAACAGCCTTCAATTATCCAATGAATAACATCAGAAGGCATGGTGTGCAGGACATGCGTGTAATGAAATGTGAAATCGCTGAAATGCTATTTTGTCAAACGTTAAAAGTTAGAAGTAAGGATTATTTTAAAGTCTTGTTTTTTGTCTGTTTGTATTTAAACAAAGAAATGGTTGGTATATCTGATGGTCATGTTGGATAATTTTCTTATGTAATAACACCATCAATATATATCAAACAGAAACTGAAGGGTTCACAGAGGTTTCTTATTAGAACCATCAATATTGTACAAAAACAAACAATTCACTCGGCCAACCAGGACCTTTTGAATTAATTCTATAGAGCTAGCATTCAGGTCTAACAGATAACCTGATATTACATTTCTGTTTGTGTATTGCATGTATTTTTGCGTCTGATGAAAATGATCATAAGATCGTGAGTCAGAAAATAAGCTAAACTTGTTGAAGTCCACGAAGAGAATGACACAATTATTGCCGATTCTCTGTCGGAAGATCTAACCACAATTCATCTTTAAAAAGAGAATGAAGGTGGCATTTTGGAGAAAAGTTTCGGGGAAAATATTTTGAAAGTGTTCTTGATCAATCAAAATCTCATTGGAGTTCTTCGAAATCCGCTCTTGTTTATAATAATTCTTGTGTATTTTATAAATGAAAACTATCAACACTTCAATTAATTATTTTCATACTAGACATATGTTCCACATGTTCGTTGCACGATAATACTCACCAAAGATTGTGCAAGTCCTTTAAAGATGGTAAATAGCAATACCCCGATCATCGCCCCAATATAGATGAAGAGATAGAACTGTAGTCTTGCATCGCTGTCTGTTGGTGGTACTGGCAATGTGGAGCTGTTACCTTGTGTTGCATATGTTGGAATGATGTTTGTTACCGAGTAAGGTGTTGATGTGTTTTGAGATGCTGTAAAGTTAACGGTGGTGTAATTCGCAACAGACTTAGCATAAGCATCCTGAAAAAAAATGCATTAAGCATGTAGGGATGAAGTAAATTATTCTGGAGAACTACAAATGTTGCTTTTTCAATGTTTTAAATTTTTGCAGTGTCCTACTTAGAATGCATGAAACTTCCTATAATTTTCTCTTTTGGTTTTATTTTCAATGTATCTATATTAGAAAATATATTTCATGCCTCAAAACAGCGAAAAATAGACACTTCAAAAATAGTAAATCAACCAAAGATTGCACAAAAGACGTACAAGTGAATAACATCTTCTAATACAAATTTAGAATCGGATACAGTGGAGGCGAATAATGAAGGAAACTGCATCGCACAGCTATTTCGTCATTATCAGTGATGCTAACAGCGTAAATGTTGTACTCTAGAACAGTGCAAGTGCAAGTCATTTGCAATTCTCAGTCGTGTCACTATTTGAAGGGACGATCAAGTATTAAACCGCTGAGAAGAGAAGTCAGCCGGCAGAAATAAACACCTACAGTAAATAATATATTTTTTTCATGTAGGATGGTTATAAACGAGAGAATTTCAGTTATAGATGTATTATTTTGTAGATAGGTGATGTAACCGTGGTATTAAATAGCAAAAATATGATCACACATCATTAGCACTTTTCTAGTAATCTGCTTTAAAATGTTTGTTCTTGTCACGTTACAGTACGATTAATCATCTCTACTAGTACCTCAACCAGTCACGATTTCATCAAAATACATAAGAAAACTGAAATTGTATTTCAGATGAGGTATCATAATTATAAAAAGATAACTGAATGCAGGTAAGGTCACAAAAATATTCTAAACGTATCAGGTCTGATCAACCCAAAAGTTAAATATGACGTTTATTCTTAAAGTCACGATAATGTCAACACAGCAGAGTTTACGTTCTCTGAATGTGTTTTCATTTCAAGTACCTGTTTGTGATATATCGACATCCATTGTCCCTGATCAATGATCTTTGATAATTATAAATAAGTGATAAACGGTACATTCTACAAATACTGATAACTCACGTTGTCCCGAAGCCAGATGCCAAGCCACCAGTCAGTAAATACAAGCGCAGCGACTGAAATGATGACAAGAAACAAAACAGCAGTCATAGATACAAAGCCCCCGCCAGCACTTATATAAGACTTATAGGTCTCACCAGACACACGGCCGACATGAGCTTCTTCCTTCTCCGTAAGAGTACCTGTTATAACAGAAAAAGATAGTATTTAGAGTTATTTTCTCATATCTATCTTTTAATTTCCCTAATAAAGGAAACTAATATAAGTACTACACAGTAAGCATTAAGGATATAAGATAGTCATGTTTGACCAGAAGTAGGACATAATTCCGTATGAAATAAATCTCTTTTGCCTATTTTGCATACTTTTATTAAACACTTGTACTTACAAACAAGGAGTGCTTTAGTGTGACATTTTGTAGAATGTTTGCTTGCAAACTACATTTTGTAACGATATAGTCAATGTCGTGATTCGGTTAAAAGCATTGCCAATTCCTTTTCTAAGAATCAGAGATTTAAAATCCTGAGTGGATGGATCACTTTCAGTTATTTCAGCATCCGACAATAAACACATTGGAAAAACGGATTTTTTGTGTAAAAACAAAAACAAAAAACAAAAAACAAAAAAAAAAAAACAAAACAAAACAAGAGGCCCATGGGCCTTAACGGTCATCTGACAAAAAGCAAGCCAAACCTAGAAAGTGGGTTGAGGTCATTCATTTGAACAAACTTGGTAGCCTCTCCTCCAAGCATCTTACAGGCCCAATATCAGCACTCATGGACTTTTGCTTGTTGAGAAGAAGTCGTTTGTATATTTTAACATATTTGACCCCTGTGACCTTGAAAGTGGGTTGAGGTCATTCATTTGAATAAACTTGGTAGCCTTTCCTCCCAGCATGCTACAGACCCAATATCGGCACTCATAGACTTTTGCTTATTGAGATGAAGTCCTTTGTATATTTTAACATATTTGACCCCTGTGACCTTGAAAGTGGGCCAAGGTCATTCATTTGAACAAACTTTGTAGGGCTCCATGCCAGCATGCTATGGGCCAAGTATTAGCCCCCTAGGCCTTCTAGTATTTGAGAAGAAGTTATTTAAAGATTTTGACATATTTGACCCCTGTGACGTTGAAAGTTGTTCAAGGTCATTCATTTAAACAAACTTGATAGCCCTTCATCCCAGCATGCCACAGGCACAATATCAGCAATCTGAGCCTTTTGGTTATTGAGAAGAAGTTGTTTAAAGATTTTAACATATTTGACCCCTGTGACCTTTAAAGTGGGTCAAGGTCATTCATTTGAACAAACTTGGTAGTCCTTCATCCCAGCATGTCACAGGCCCAATATCTACACTCTGAGCCTTTTGGTTAATGAGAAGAAGTTGTTTAAAGATTTTAACATATTTGACCCCTGTGACCTTTAAAGTGGGTCAAGGTCATTCATTTGAACAAACTTGGTAGAGCTCCATGCCAGTATCCTCTGTGCCAAGTATTAGCCCCCTAGACCTTCTAGTATTTGAGAAGAAGTCGTTTGAATGAAAAGTTTACGGACGGCGCACGGCGCACGACGCACGGCGCACGGCGCACGGCGGACGACGACGGACGAAGCATGATGACTATAGGTCATCGGACCCTTCGGGTCAGATGACCTAAAAATACACAAAAAATAACAACAAATAAAGCACGGCAATACCCTTATATTTCTTTACCAAGTAGAGCGTTTTTAAAAATTTAAGTTCGTGGCATTTTCAAATACTGCATTTTAAATATTTTTTGGTTGTTGTGCAGTCTCAGATTCGTAAATTCATATTTTCCCCATCGCTTCATTGAAAAAGATTTGGGGAAAGATCGCCCCGAATCTAATGAAGAGTTTTGTTTTTCACACAATAAAAGGATGATTTTTCAAAAATCACAATCTGAAATAGACTGATATACATATTTCACACCTGGTTTAAAGTGCTTTCCGCAACTGTACTGTATGAGTACAAGCACCTGTAATGTGATATAAAGCTGGCTACTTTTAACAGATATGGATTTTTTCATACCTGAATCACATGTAATGGTAAAAAATAATATGTAAGCAAAATATGTTCATGAGATATCTATATCAGTATGCGAAGTCCTTATTCCCAATGAACTTGCTAATAATCAATGGTATTTATATTTGGAAAGTGATGAATACTAATTCCGTGGTATGTGTGATGCACACGCAATAATAAAGCAACTTTGAGCTCTTATTTATTTCTCGACAAGGTCAGGTTTACTGCTCGTATCCAAAGTGGTAGTAACATGACATTAATGTTTGTTAAGTATCAAACTAATAAATCCGCACAAGAATGTTGTTTTATTTATTCACCTTTATTTCCGTCGGAGTTTGGTGCTTTAGTCTCTTTTGATTCACTCAATGACTGGTTTCGACCGTCTTTTGACGAAGAATCTCCTGAAACAAAATTCAAGTATTACCATTATTGTACATTGATTTTTTCCTAAGCTTTTAACCGTATTAGCATTTGTTTCGTTTTGGCTTCAAATATTTTCGCAGCTTAAAACTGTAATTAACCATGTCCATCACTAACAAATTTATAAAGTTACCTGATTCTTACAACGAGCGTTTATCACATTGTACTTCGGTCAAAAGAACAAAAGATAATTACATGTTATACAAAATTAGGGGGAAAATAGGACAATTTGTTCATATACAGAAATGCTATTATCCAAGCATCCGAGGCGATTTCAAAAGATGCAGGTTGTCATTGTGATCCCATTGAGGAATATTCTATTTCTTCGTACAAAATACATAGCGGGATGTTAGTCTGCCTGTTGGTTCTATAGTTGTATACCTTGTATATATTTTAGAATGTGCCGTTTTACATGACGGATGTCGTCAATGAAGCAGAAGATGCTTAGTCTTCCTGAACACCTGATCTTATTTTCCTTGTACTTTTTCAGGAGGTTCCGTGTAAATTTTTCATTTGTTCATGTTTTGCCTAGTTTTACTGAATTTGAGTTTATGATTATTTTGACATGTTGGACAAATGCAATTTCTTGTTGCTAATATAATTACCTGTTGCTGCGTTGTGGGACGTTGTAGCATGGAATTGACCCATCATGGAGCCATAGTAACCATTTTGTGCTATCAGATCTTCATGCTGGCCCCGTTCGGCTATTTTACCCTCCTCAATTACCAGGATCTCGTCACAATGACGCATATACTATAAATCAGCATTAAAAATAAATCTTCTGTTTAAATATAAAGAAACTGACACAAAAAGGTCTTTTAGTCAGGAATGAATCTGAATTTTGAAGACAAGCTTTGATATTTACTGCAAAAAATAAGTTCAATATTTACATCTATGGTTAGCAAGATTCCAGTCTTCATGCTCTATGAATACATAACGCTTTGCCTGTTTTTAATATGGTGGTTTTTACCTTGCTATTTATAGGGAGAACATACAATTTGACCAATATGTTATTCTGATCATTGCATGTTTCACAAAGAGTGTTCAGGGAAAGGCTCAATGACAAGGCCAGAATAGCAGCTTTCCTGTGATTTACACAATTTAGAAAAAACGAACCTGTAATTGATGAGTGACCAATATAACAGTTTTTCCCCGTAATGTTTTTTTGATGCATTCATGGAACAAATGCCGGCCAACGTGGACGTCAACGGCGGACAGCGGGTCATCAAGAAGATAGATGTCGCTTTTACTGTAAACAGCACGAGCTAGACTCAGTCTCTGCTTTTGTCCTCCGCTGATGTTGATTCCTCTTTCACCAATCTGAACACAGTATCTATAGTTTACTCTAAGAATGTCTTTGTTAAAAAAAATCAATGCGGACTCTAATAATTCATTTTTTCCGACAATTATCCACTATTACCCGGATCACATGTATATTCTTCACATTTACCTCTGTCATATCCCGATTTGGCAGCAAAGCGAGATCAGGTTCTAACCCGCAGGCATGTATAACTGTTTCAAACCTTTGAACACAATATAAAAAGGTAAGGTTTCACTTCCTTCAAAAATAACACAATTTCTAATGTCATTAGCACTAATAAATCATAAAACTTATTTTATTGAGAAACGATCGGACATAAACAGTTTTGATAACAATTTCAATGAAATGTTCAACAAGGTCATTTCAACGATGGTTGTGCAGAATTATATTCTTAGATAGACAATACAATAGACTTTTATAATGTCTTCCACACAAAGTTCACAGTGGGTCACGTATGATCAAATAGAACAAGGGGTATTTAACCACAACAAGACAAATACTGCTGGGAATATATTAAGGAGACTGGTAGAAAGTATTTATTAATTAGATCCATGTCCGAGTCCATAACCGAACAAAAAGCTACAACGATAATGAAGCATGTCAATTCTACATCTTCAATATTAATGAGATCAAAAAGAGTCCATCGGAGAAACAGCATTCAGCTATGTTTCCGATATAAACGATAACATATATGTGATTTTTATTCTTCACATCATGAAATAGCGTCTCTTAATAAGAAAATTAATTCAAGCGTATTTTCTGAGTAATATCTCTGCAGCCTAATTTTCCTGTCCAAAACTGTGTATATTACTCCTAACATTACTCTACCATGTACTGTTGTATGCGTTTCCAAATAGGATATTTTCCCTTAAAGTTCCATTAAATATCCACGCTTGTTGAGCGGCGTAAGCTACCGACCCAGACACACCAAGATAACCAGTCAATTTCGGCATCTGATTGTGAAAAGGAAAAGGAATATTCATGGAAAAACAAAACCATTAACGTTTCAAATTAATAACCATCAACCACACACAGTAATCAACATCAGTTACTTATTAATGATGAACTAAGTTAAATTTTAAAAAATCGAAAGTGGTTATGATAATTTCTGTGTGTTCACTTTGTGATATATATGATGATATTGTGGTTTCATATCAAATGAGATGTAGTTTAACAATAGCTGGTAAATATCTCGTAGATTACAAAGCTGAAAGATTGAAGGGAATTCTGATATACTCACACGACCAAGAATAGCAGACACCAGGGAAGATTTCCCACTGCCTACAGAACCACAAATGCCGACCACGTGTCCCTGTAGCGATACAGTGTAACCTTTCTAGTACAATCACAAACTAGTTACTGTTCAATCACTAATTTTTGTGGAGGATTAAGTTTCGCTTTTTTAGTTGGTACTCTTAATCCACAAGAATACACGTCCACGAAATGATAAACTGACAAAACCTTGTATGAATTGTAGTACTGGAGGTTTTAATAAGATTTAACCGCGAATCGAGCAGCAACACAAATGCTATTTTTTAGAAAAACACAAAATTTGAGCATCACGAAAAATAACAATTTAGATCATATCAACCAAAATCAAATCAATATCATTTATATATCCTATCCTTTATTATCTTTATAACAATTTAGACATCATTTATCAAACTCCACATCAAATATTTTGACTCTTGAAAAGTTATCTGATACTTTGTTTTGATAATTCAATATCAAGATGAAGGGGTAATACTTACTTTCTTAATATTTAACTGTATATCCTCCAAGTTAAATGTTGTAGTATTTTCAGCACATGATGAATTCAAAGCAACTACAATATCATAACATTATGTATTTCTAAAAATGATATTTTACAAAGTGTATATGCAAATGTATTAACACTAAAATAGCAAGCAAACATGTAAATAAAATTATTCAATTAAATAAGAGGTCATTATTGAAATTCTAAGTTTTCAATAGAGGTCACTACATCTACTACTAACCAAAATCAAGAAAGTTACAAATATTATTATGATTGTTGTTATTCTCGAATAACCATTAAGCTGAACATATAAAGCTTGCAAAGAATACAAATATTGTTTACCTTTCTCTTCTTTCTTTCGTTTCTTTTTCTTTTTATCGTTTCGATCAGAGTTATCTGTTAAATCTTCCCATTGGAAGAAGCCATCTTGAATTTCAATGGAATTGTTTTTATCTCTCACTTGCGTATTCGGGGGTGTATACTCTTTCCTTAAAAGAAATTCCTGAAAGAATAAAATATCTCAAACTGATACAAACACATCATAGAAATACTTGTTTCATTGTGTATAATAATTCCATGAAAATCAAGCCTCTGTTGGACGTGCTATTGATTCCATTTGCATTGTTAAATAAACAATCTTTTACGTTTAAACAGATTATTGCTTCAAAGCTTCGTGCTAACGTTTTGAAAACACAACAGGAAAATACCAACATGAAAACATCCAACTCAAATACAATATAACTATTGAAAACATATGAACAAAAGAAAGATTTACACGGAGAATCCAGGAAAAGTCCTATGAAAATAAGACCTTATGTTCTGAAAGAGTAAGAATCCTCTGCTTCATTGACAACACGTGTAAATCTTTGTCTATTCAAATAAGCAAGTAATGTTAGGTTCTCAAATAAGAACAATGTTATTAACCCGTGGGTTATAAGAGATAAACCTTTGTACATTTAGACAAAGAAATATTCATCTTTCCTGAGAAAACGTATGAAAGTCAAATTGTAAAATGTAGATACACATGCTCAATGTAATGTAAATCAGAAATGTTTCGTTACCCCTGAACTTCCATAATTTTCATACGAAAACAAATCATTTTTTATACCGTTACCATAGATGGTGCAATGAGATCGAAGTGAAATTTCTCATTCTTCGTATTTGGAAAACAAATTTGGCCATGAGCAAGGACGTTTACGTTGTTGTGTACCCAACATCAACAAACCAAACAGTTCTAAAAATATAAACCCGTAAAAATTATAAGAAACAGCAATTGAATCAAAATTTACCAAGGAAAAGAATTGTTCAGTATTCTGTCCAGTTTTATGAAATGTTTTGTTGATCGATTTACATTCATTACCAGTGGGATAAACTTTCTTATACGATCCACAAGTCTTAAATTGTCCATTTGACAGCATGGAACAGCGGTACGTACCTTTATTCGTTCCATAGATATTTTTGCTTCTCCATATATTCTAGTAGCGAAAGGCACATGGGACAGTAACAAACGGAGGTATTCCATCGTAGCAGCTAATGCAAATGCCTGAATTAGAAATGACATTATATAGATAATGTAGAAAAAAAAAAGTAAATCATGCCGACCCATATGACATTTACAATGTCATGACAGGATTAAAATACTTAAACCACTTTTCCAAGTATTATTACGAGATGCGGTAATAAATCACATTCAACACAGACATTTTACCTAGAAATCTCACAAAAACACAAAACATTAGCTACATTTCAGAAAATATCTTTACCTGTAATTCCCATTAACATAAAAAGCATTATCTTAAATTCGATCAATTAATTACTGATGTTTCTTAGTTCACACCCCTTCAATGAAAATGTAACTTCTTGTGATAGTATTTCTAAAGCAGTAGCATGCCCAAATTCATCATAACTTTATTCTAACTTAAAATCAATAAGACTTCGGCAAAACAGTCTAAAAAAACTGCAAAGAGAATAAGATTGAATGCTTTTTTTAATCGACAACAAGAGTCGTGTTAAATTCAATCTAAGGCATTTGGTGTACTAAACACAGAAGTAGGGTCCAGACAACAAAATAATCAGACATGCTTGAGGCAATCAAACTTTATTCAAGTCTCCATTAACGTGTACTTTTCGAAATCAGGATTTTTCCAGTAAGTGTGGAAATGAGAGCACGGACATCAAGTCCTTGAATACATATTTAACAAAATAAGATGATTCCCTTGGCACGGCAAGAAGGGTTATGGTATAAAAGAACTGGAGAGATTATATGAAAATTCACATAAAATGGCATATCTTTATCACTAAAAACATTCATACCTATTCCACTAAGATATTAGGAAATGTAGTTGTTTGAAAGAATGAAATATATTTATCATTAAAAGAACGAACCTTGGACGCAGTTATATCATTGCCAGATGCCATGTATGCAGCAATGGTGGCAACGGTACATAGTGACGGCGTTATAGGATTAATAGCGTTGGCAAAGGAATTGATCACAGCCCCTTGCATCAATACACGTACTTCATTATTTCTTATTCCTGTAACAAAAATTTTAAATTAATAAGCGTTTATCCAAGTCTAAATAATTCTGTATTTTACATAAATAAATGTCAATAAATGCAAAACATGACCAAGTCAAAACAATGAAACACTCAAAAATATACAAGTCTGAGAAGTGTGATGAGTGTCTCCTGTTCAGTGAATATAAGTGCCCTTCTCAAATTGGGTAAAGCCAAAACAACACTGAGAAACGGTCTTTATAATAGTAAGTTTTACACTTTTTGAAAATTGGGACTCATACTCGTTTCTATTCCTCGTGTGATGTACACTTTTTATTCATTTATTAAATTTTTCATTATTATTTTTTTTTTTTAATTTTTCATTTATTTACTTATTTTCGTTATTTTTGAAATTGCTCACTATGACATAAAAAGAAATTCCCATACACAAACACACATTCACACTCACAGGTATTCATTTGTGAATTTTACCATATTCATTCTCAAGTACATTATCATTTGTCTTAAATACATACTCCCAAGCCATCATCATCATCCTTTACAAGTTTAGAATATTGCACTGCACTTATTCATCATCAGCAGCAGCAACAGCTTCAAGTCACCTACACATAACCTTCATCAACATTTCACCATCATCTTATCATTTTCAAAAGAACGTCAATATTTTATAGCCACCGTTACAAAAATGACATTAATTCATCAAACCGATGATATCAGCCACATCAGTAGGAATGATTTCTATTCTTATTCTCTCTCTCATGTAATAAGAAGCCGTGCACGGTGTTAGATTAAATCAACATCATATATTCGTTTGTCGTTTATTGATTGGCAGTTCGAAACAATGTAACAGATTTCAATTTAGATTTGTTGAATATGCTAAAGAAGTTAAAAATATCACATCTGAATCCATGCTTGTTTGGTATCATCACTTGAAAAAGTCTGTGTCGTAACATGATTTCAATATTTCATTTTTTTAACAGAATTTGGATCATTTATAATTAACAAATAGCACATCTTTCAGAGTTTGTAAGGATTCCTGTGAAATCAATGTTCCTAGCAATGAATTTGACGTTATCATTTAGGAGGTATATATATATATATATATATATATATATATTGATTCGATTTCACTTACGTTTAATGACAGCAAGAAATGAGTCCTCCCAACCATACATTTTTATCATTTTCATACTATAAAGCACCTCCTTCATTTTTCGTATCTGAAAACATAAAATGATAAGAAATTCATTTCAACAATATTATTTCAGAAATTTCATAAACAAAACTTATTATAAAGTATTTTCAATGATACCGTTCTTATATTTCTTAATACATACACATATAAACCAGATAATAAAAAACAAAAACACAAGAATGTCCTTGAAAAAAAAAACATATGTTTTTTATTTAAGCGCTGTTAATATTACCTGTTGAAATATCTTATATAGCCTTATGGTCATCCTTTGTTTCTGTAACAAAACCCTAAGAGAGGTAACATTTTCAGGTATTGCAAGTTTGATTCAAGAACATCTAATTTCAAATTTAAATTGCTTTATTTTGTTAAGCTTTATTGTAAATTCATGTTTACAAGCACACGATAGAGACATGAACATCACACATGTATCTAGCAAGGTCTCCAAACGCATACATACCCGCTGATCTGTAAAAACTAGTGTTTTTCGTCTAAGCTTTGAAATTAGCAAGTTCAATCGTGACTGAAACAAAATCATGTTTACTTCATTAATATATATTCAATTCAATTCAAATTTCATGAATTAAAGTAGTACTTCTTTACGTTAAGAATCTGAATATGTCAAATGGTCCAGAAAACAATTACTAAATTCTGGTTTCACACATTATCACGTACTTTAACGCTTCAGTTGTTTGAGCACTTCTGACTTTTTTTATTCATCAAAGAGGATTATCTTTTCTATAACAATACACAAACATTACCTGTAATTGATAACAAAACAAAAAGATCCCAATAGCAATGAAACACCAGGGTCCTATAAGGTAGTAGGAGTAGATGGTAGCAATGGTGATGTATACTGGAAGGGCCAATAACAGTGGTAGTGTCATAGTATTCATATGTAACCTCAGGGCATCTGCACCAAATACAGTAATTACCTGTAATTAGAGGAGTGAAAAACAAAACTCTGAATACGCTCAAAGTCGGATCATTACAATGCACTCTACATAACAATATACTATGTTAAATATCTAAACAACTATTAGCATGAATAATTGATTTTGTGAAAGTTGAAACAAGTGAAATCCATTTAATTTATTTGTCATAATTTACCTGAGATGACACTTTTCCTGATAAACTTTGAAGTTTCATAAATTTCTTATATACCAATCCCAATACACCAGCACGAAACCTTACACCTGTAAGATAAACAATACAGTAAGGTTATTCTCACTGAATGACATTACAGTGTCAAGATTGTATGACAAGACACCTAAATATTTATCACAGTGCATTGTCGATCTTGTGTTTCACCAAATGATATAAGATATCTTAAGTTTTCATATATAGTATACGAGATATATTGTATCACATATAAGATTTCATAGGTAATATACAAAATATCTCATATATATATAACATTTCTTATATTCTATATGAGATGCCTCATATAACATATATGTCTCATATGATACATAAAATATCTTATATATTTAAATAAGATACCGCTTATGATACATAAGAAATTTTATACAATATATAAATTATCTTATGTGATATGTGATTTATCTTTTATCTCAAAATAAAATAACTGATATAATATATATAAGATATCTTCTATAACTGAGATAAAAATATTGCACCTTGAATAAATGTTAAGCTGGCTTGCCAGAAGACTAGCCATCGAATTGTTGAAGGGTACGAATATTTGTTGATATCATATCAAGATCAAATGAATCAGGCAAAACGTACAATAACGTATACTATATATATTGTAAATGTATGTTTTTCATCTTATCAATGCTGAGTTAAATATAATAGCTCTATAAAGAATCAATATACTATCTTGTGAACTGTTATAAAGCACCTTAATAAATAGCAAGATTAACGATTATTTAATATATATGTATAACTGTAAAAAATCTTCTATACACATATATGGGGATAATTGAGAGTTTATATTGATAGATAATTTCAGTGAAGATGTAAAACAAAACAGTTTATGCCAAATTATCAAGTGTTTAAGATGAAATATCAATTTTACCTGTATGAGCTCCAAACACAGTCATACAGGTGTAGGATGTCCCTCGAAGCAGCTGGCCAAAGAAATTCCCTGCTAGGAGCGCGAATGCAACCTCGACACTGGATTCCTCCGATTCCAAATAACTGATGACCATGTCCGTGATAAAACCCTTAGGATAACACATGCAATCAATCAATTCCAAATGCTTAAGCATGCCAAATATAAATGGAGTAGGGTAACTTCTCACAACACAAAAATTGAACTCTAGAACATTGTGAAATTCGCAGAAAATTAAATTATCATTTCAGCAATCTTATTGAGACCTCTTATTAACTTATGCCTTTCAAAACATTTCGGGTGTGAGACACCAACACGGACTGGTGGGGAGGGGGTTGGGGGCATTAGCTCAAGGGTAGTCGTAAAATGTGAGCCAAAAATGCAAACATGTACACTTGTCAAAATCAAAACGGTTTACATTTTTACGTTTTTTTTTTAAATACTCACTGTCATGAAGAATGTAACGACAGCATTCAGTAGAAGATGAAAAATTGAAAAACATAAACGTGCTCTTATAAACCTTAGCCATGTTCTCCAGAACGACGCCTTTTCTGGGCCATGGTTCGTAACCTCTTCTTTCCACAGTTTATCTAGTCTGTTAAATAGAAATAAAAACCACTTGAGTGCTTACTTAATGTTATGCAACATTTCACATATTGTCAGAAACATCATATCTAATTCATCATAATAGAGTATTAGGTAAAATTTGGTAAACAATATAAAATGGGTTATAATCAGTGCTATGAACATGAGAGGAGGAGTAGTTAGTCTATTGCAAATCATAGAAAAGCATCAACATATGCTTGTAAGTGTCCTGTGTATGTTGGTGGCTTTTTGGTACAAGTGATGATTGTGATAAGTCCTAACAGGACAAAATAAGCGGTTTTGCATCAGAGAAGTGTCTAACGTGCAAGACTTTTTTTTATTTTTTCGTTATTTCCTTCTGAATGGGATTTCACTGGTTTTTAAAGAGATTTTGATGGTGAAATAACTCTAATTTTGTGAAATCGAAAATCAAACTGAAAATAAATAGAGGATTCGGAGAGTAAACTACAGCACAATGTCCTCAATCAGTCGCACAGCATTAAAAACATAATATTGGATGGGTATAAAGATTGCATTGTGGCAGATGAAAAATATATTGACTGTAATAATGATAATGAAATGTTTGCTATTTAAAATGAATTGTGCATGTTTTAATGAAATTACCTGTCACATATATATGAAGCAGTTATAATTTTATATTTTGTTGGTGAAATGAAATGTGCAGGAGTTGTACTATATGACTTTCATGTCCATATAGACAACAGAAAGATTAGTCTGTACGCAATTAAAGAAACAGTAAAGAACGTTTCTGATAGTTTCAAAAGAAAAGGTTTGAGATATAGCCCAATGGAGAGGTGATCACAAAGATTTGATAAATGTGATTAGCTAAACCAGCTTTAGTCTAGAATTTTTTTTTCCTTTAAGTTTAGAATTTATTGATACTAATAGGAATAAGATTGTTACCAATAAAATATCCATATTTACATAATAACATGACAGAACTGTGAAAGTGTCTGTTGAATTGTTTTCATCTTATTGGTGCACAAGTCTATATGGGTATGATTATTGATGGTTCAAGGATAGTGAAATGGACGGTCAGTGGATTCTTCAAATAATAAGGTATTTTGTTCCCTCATTGGCCTTCATGTTCTTTGTGCAATTTAATTGTGAAAAAATAGACTCGGCCGATAACTAACGCCATGGACTGTGATCCAGAAATATGTTGCATTAGCGAAGTGCACATGCATTACCTATCAGTGTTGACGCTACTGGTCTCCCAGTCAGAACACTCCCATACATCCTCCTCCTTTAGTGCCTGGCCCCTGTGTTTGTATATTTTCATTACAAGGGAGGAAACCCATGATACCGTCACATACGAAAATAATCCCACATTATTTACCGGTAGTTTACCGTCTCTGTAACATCAGAAGCAAACAGAATATAAGTTTCGACAATAATTAACAAATGATTTTTGTCTTATTAACACATTGAATACTTTGATTCTAGGTGAATGATGAACAATTAGCTGTATGATGCAGTTTAGTTCATTATTTTTCTCTACTGTATCTATTTTCATGCCCTCAGATCGAACGATCAGGGGAATATTGTTTATGTGCTGTCTGTAGGTTTGTTTGTTTGTTTTCAAATCTAACCTTGCCGACAACTATTGCATCGTAATTGGTAGGAATTCCATATTTAGCATGCGTGGTGACAAGACCTTTCTGATGGTACCAAAATATCTATGTGATTTTAATTTTGTTGCAATCGTGAACATAGTGTTTCATAAACACATCTTGTTTGTATTGAAAGGTACCACAAAAGAGAGTGTCTAGATTGACACAGTATAAAGTAGTATTTCAGACTTTGATAAATTAGTCACTTAAATCAAAGTAAAAACACTGCTGACCTCTCGCCACACAAAAAACAATATAAGCGATGTTAATGTCATTCTAATGTACGAAAGAATTTGTAGAATCAATATCCTATGGTGTGTATATAGATATATATATAGAACACTTGGAGACGTTTGAGTATATTCATCATACTATGGGGCTGACATTACACTCTCATTCTTAAACTAAACAGTAATGGTAGATCAGATTTAACATTAACTGATAACATTGTTTACTTTGTATACAAAAATAAATTTTATTCAACATGGTGGGGGAGACTTACTTCTTTGCAGGTCTAAATGGCTTCAGTGATTTTAATGTTGTTGAATATTTCCGGCTATAGGCATAATTTAAAGACAGCTGACTTCCTCCCATGGCACTTATTTCTTCCAAACTACCAAAAAAAATCGAACACATAAGCTACATCCATAATCTTAAAATGATAAAACCAGTATCAAGCAATCAATTTTAATAAAATAGTGATGTGACGTGTAATGTAATGCAATTATCAAATGAAATTAAAACTGATTTTTTTTTTACAGATATTATATCATTTTTATTTTTTAAAAATTACCTTCAATGGTGGTTTTATTACTTTCATCTGGGACGTATAATACTGGTTATTATATATTATACGTCCCTGCTTTCATGAATTCATTTTGATTACATTCTATAAATAGAATACAGTTACTCAAACACAACGTATATCTCCCACCTTGTGGTGTATTCGGGGGCAGTACTACTGTTGTTTACATCTAAATCAGTTTGTACGTGTGTTGTAGAGGGAATTCCTGATTTAGCCAGCAATGGTTGTCCAGTCTGGTTCTGATCCTCCATATTCATTATCATCTTAAATGGATAAGCAAAAGAATCATTTTGCAGCTAACGCAACCGTATAGGTGTCATACTTACACAAGATTCAGCGTATAGTCAGAGCAGAATATAATTATCGGTACGTAGTAATGAATTGTAAACCAAGTACAGTACTCCAAGATATACACTTACAGGTCCGTTGTTGGATTCCCTGAATCCCTGTGATCCGAACTAATTTGAGGTGAACACCGGAGCCAGGGACGTCCCTGCCGGTGCTAACTACACGTGTGTACGTTGGTGTATTAAACATGACCCAGAAATTGACCGCGGGCTCGGTGTCCAAGGCTCGGTTTTAACGGAACAAGGACGTTAAACCCTATCAATCAATCAGACCGTAGATTCTGGATCCAATGGCTTAAGAAATTCCACAAAGAGTTTTATTGTACACACACGTTAGTATTTTAAACATAACTTGCAGATCTTGACGTCCGTGTTTACAGAATGCATTTCCCGGCATCGATTTAAAAATAAAACGTACATTTAGAGAAAAAGCACCCAACTGTTTTACACATATATGGGGGCGGGGCTAGTATGGTAAGTAGTGTTATTGTGCTTTAAATAATGACTTGGAAATTGTCATCTGTACAGTCGTCAAATATTTTTTCTGTGTGTAACAGAGGTCACACAGACATGCGTTAAAATACAAATAGAGAATTCATGGTCAGTGTCTTAAAATATAAGCTGTATTTTAGCGAGGGTACAGAAAAATAAAAGTGGCGAGACTGTCGAGACACTAAGTGTCTTTCTGTCCCCGTGTCAAAATGAAGCGCATATTTAAGGCACTGACCATGTATTTTATTCATCCTGCAACACTGATATCAAATCAGTGCATCAAAATCTCAGCTGTTTCGTGTCCAGTCTTTGATTACCTGTCGTTTACGTTACGTTGAATTTTGCCTGATGACGTACATGTACGCCAAAATAATTGTTCCGCACAGACATATAATTCCAAACGTAAACGGATATGACAGCGATTTTATGAATTTTCGTACATAAACTTGAGCATGACAATGTATGGAATCATTTGTTTCAACAGTTATTTAAATCGTAAAATGTAATTTTAAAGTAAATTCAGAAAGTAATTCTTGCGAGTTACTGCACGTGTTAAAATACAACTACTTGAAATTCTGTCTTTGCCGAATAAAGCAAAAATATATGTGCCAGATGTATACCGACAATGGCAGTGTCAGTTGCAGGATAAACTATATTCATCCATGGTAGAATAACATTTGCAAACATTGGGTAGTCTCAATTTATTACAAGAGTTCACTCCCTTGTCCAGTAACTCTCTGGTAATTCTGGAAGTACCTGACAGGTGAAAATCCTATTGCGTGGTCACTGGACGTCGAAAGGGAAGCAGATCACAGTTACGTATCTCCATGGATCGTTTTCATATCTCATGTAGCTACTGAGCTAGTTATGGAGACAGAAAGTTCAGGAAAACGTACAGGGCACGGAATATGTGGTCCAGAGGTTAGGAAAGACCCTTTGTCCCTGCTAACCCTGGTGGACATGGCCTTGGCATTGGAAACACAGAAACCCTCGGAGAAAGACCACACGTACGCAGTTGCCAAAAAGCACACGAAAACTAAAAAGTTCCCACATGCAGAAAATGAAATGCTACTTCAGAAGGAGAAAGATCATAATTACTCGTTTTGTAGTAAGTCTGTAGCATTACGTCACAATCATTTACAGAAACCTAAACCTCAAAAGACGGAGCGTGAATACCCTACTAGAAGTTCATCAGAGGAAAACCTATCCAATGCTACCTTTCCCACCCTCTCTGAATCCTCAATAACCCAACGTCGGACAGCAGTGGACGACACTAGCCTTAATACGTCGCACAAGTGTTTTCCTTTTGGAAAAAACAGGTCACCATTCCACACAACCAATGACCATACTTATCCTTTATGTGTGGCACTTGACAGCAGAAAACACCATGGTAAAGGTACTATGTCAGATGCTATGGAAATTCAAGGGGTTAAAGGCGAACCCATGGCAATGGATGACTCATACCTTGGAAGTCATTCATGGCCAAAAGAAAACATGTTTCCTCCATTCCGTGGCAGAGACAATAATCTTTCACATACCCTGCCTCTGAATTATAAGTATGATCACACCTATGCACAAGGAAAAAACAGTGATGATGAAAAGATGAGTATCTGTGATGATTCAGAATGTCAAAACCCAGCTGTTGAGAAATCAGCTGCATTAAAAACGGATCACAACTACAACAAAGGTCCGTGTGATAAAACAAAGAATTTATCAGGACTGGTAGGTCACATTCGGGCTCCTAAGCTAATGCTGAAAAACAATCGCATTGATCACAATTACAGTGGCTTTACAGGTACATTTTCTTCTGCACCAACCCAATCCCAGGGATCTGTGGAAAGTTTGGATATGGATTTTTCTCAGTCCGACACAGACTCTTGTGAGGAGACCGAGGAGGAAGAGCGTCGGCTTGCAATTACCTCAACTATTTCAGCTTGGCTTCAGCTGCGAAAAGATCATCCATATTCATCCATTTGATCTAGAGTTGATTTTGTAAGTTAAAAGATCAGAGAGGGATTATTTTATGTTTAGATGCTAAATATATATATATATACTTGTAAATTGTCAATATCATGATAACAATGATGTTTAATGTATGTCGGAGTTTCTAAAAAATGCACAAAATTACGACAAGCAAACAGGTTTGAATTCCTCCAAGAAAGACTGCAGTGATTCCACACACAGATCCTGAGAGTGGCGTTGTTGAAGCTTCTTTCATTTGCAAATCAAACTGCACACTTGCAGTGAATTAGATTGTCAAAATATTGACTGGATTTTTGTCTTTTCTTTTCATGACTGTGATAAATATTTTTGATTGCAAAAAAGCTGTATGAAAACATTTTCTTTTAACCTTGGCAGATAGATAAAATCAAAATTAAGACTCTGTTTGTATTGAAAATGTATATCTGATTGGTCTTGTTTCAATCTAAATTTTATGTAGTTACCTGAAGATGAATAGGTAGAAGTTGATATGTGATTGACTTTAAAATTATGAAATAAATATGGAGCACTTTGTCTAAACCAAATGTTAACTTGGCTCAATTGAATGGATCATCTCCAATTTCATAGCTGTGATTTTTAGACTGACAGGAAAACAACATGATTGTTGATTGCTAGGTGAAAGTGGTCATCTTGGATAGGTCATTCTCAAAATTAATATGTAGGTTTCCCTTTATTAAAGATCAATTCTCTTTTTGTGATGTGGTACATAAGGCCATCACCAGAAACTTCCAGTACAGTCTGTCCTTCGACCTTCATTTAACTTGTCCCCATGTCCATCCTGCTTCCCTCATTTCCTTCTCAACGGACCACCTCCAGGTTTCCTTGGATCTTCTTCTCTTCCTCTTGCCTCCTAGTGTCAATCTCCTTGCTAGCCTTGTTATGAAATGTGGGTGCATCCTGCAGACATGCCCAATCCACTGCCATCTTTTCTGCTTTATTCTTGTATCAGAGGTTCAGTGTTGGTTCTCCTGTGTTCATTGGAGATGGTATTCTCAAGATTCTACGTAGACATCTTGTCTGAAAGATATCCAGCTCAGTTTAACTGTATTGTCAAATTTCGTTTCAGAAGATTCAGTTTTTTTCCCATTTTTTTTTGGATGGGGCGTTTCCGTCTCGCTTTGAGAGAAAATTGGTGGGTGAACTGGGAAGGAATTTTTAGAACTATATTGCAAATTTTCTAAATGTGGCTTAAATTTGAAATAGTTTTGAATGGAAGAAGGACCTCTCATTGTCCCTAGAAAGCCCTAGAAATATGGGATAAATAATTTTCAGGTTTCCTATGTAGGGTTCATTTGGCCCCTTGTGCGCAATTGATTTTGAGACTTGTCAAGAGCATGTGATCCATGCTTTGGCTTACAGATGGATCTAGATTTGTGAGTTGTGAGTGTATGCCCTGTGCATTAGACTCTTCAGCTATATACATACCCATTTAAATGCTTGCAGAAAGAAGATTCCTTGGGCTTAGCTATATAATGTTGTATTTCATGTATAAGACTGAGGTGATATTTATCTGATTTACAGGTATACATGTGATTTTGCGAAGTGTGGAATGATGGAGCTGGTGAAGTGGTTCAACTAGAAACAGATGTAGAGATGAATCTATGAGGCTAATGGTGGATGTGACGTCTAAGACTTCATAAAAACAATAACAGTTGTTGAAGTGAAAGTGTGTGGAATTTTTGAAGTGGGATTGTGTCCGTACATGAAAGAATCATTACAGATGAAATGCGAGGATCAGAAGAAATTTTCCAGTTTCTATTAATAGTTCCTGAGTTGAAAATCAGTTTTGTAGTAAAATTTTGAAATTACGGTTTTGTTGGTATATAGTAAATTTGACAATTTATAAATTCATATTTATTTTGTAATTTACTAGAAGGTATATTTACCATTTTATATGCAAAATACATGCAGGATATGCTTTGTTCCATGTGCTATAATTCAGCATCTGACATGCTTGTTTGTTTTTTTTAAGTCATCTGGCACATATTCCATGACTTTGCGATGCTGTAGTTCAAATTAATATCTGGTCATAGATTATATATCTCGTATTTATATATGTTCCTGTTTATTTTTATTGGTCCTGATAGACATTGGACATTCTGGTTATTTTCACAATAACCACAAATAATTTTTGCTGGATAATGATAGAATTTAAGAATATTTGTCTGTTGATAGCTGTGTATAATTTCTTTTTGCAAAATTATCAACAACAAACAAAAAAATGTGGCTTTTTTTTGCATCAAATAAAAAATATCATTTAGCAGATTTATTTCTTCAACATTAGCACATTATCTTTAACCTTCTTTTGTCCCATTATAAACAGAATTTCAAAACAGATCTTGTCTTTGAAATATGTCAGCTGTTATTTTCCTTGAAAATGAAGTCATAAAATATACCGACAAGATATTTGTTGAAGACAGAATTTTCAGTTTGGAGTTTGGTATATATTTCGCCATCAGTAAGAAACTTCCATTTATTTTCTTTTACAATTCTTACATTAAACATATTCCAAATCATATCATGTACTGGTTATAATATACAATATATACTGTAGGATGATGCTACTGTTGTCATACTCAAATATTTTGTGTCAAAAACAGAACACTAAATTTCAATAATGTCATTTTTTCACGATTAATGGGCTTATTTCTTCATTAGAATTTCTGACCTGGAAATTTCAACATTCACCACTGATGACACCAATGAAACAAAAACTTACACTGTATTGAATATATGGAATGTGTCAGAATACTATCAACTTTAAGCAGTCATGAAATATACTTTGAAGTTCATATATATGATTGTTATCATTGATATTGCCTTCTGCTTGGTGTCAAAGAACTTGTCTGCTTATGTATCTACATAATGGAACCATATACTGTACCTTATGTTGTACATAATAACTAGTAACCTAATATGAAGACTAAAGACCAATTATAACATGTTCTAGAGGCATCAGTGTCTTTGTACCAGTTATGACTATATCTGTCTATTCACTTGCAGTAGGTATATTGTAAAACATGGATTCTTGTTTCATACCAACTATTAAATTATAATTAGACAATTACTAACGACATTTTCAACAATTTAATGTAGTGCTGTTAAAGTTTTAAATATCTTCAAATATCATAACTGTCATAAAAGATTTTGTGTATATTAAAATTCTCCTACATATCCATATTGTTTTGAACCTGTAAACTGGAAACAAACATTTTTCTCCAAGTACTTGAATCAGAGGTTTGTATCATGTATTAAATGTGTGAAATTTGGACAATGTATTGTAAAAATCAAGATGACCAGATGTTAGATATTTTGTTGAAAACATGTGCAATTGGATAAGGAGAACTTCTAAACATTGACACGACACAGGGACTTCTATATACATGTTAATAATTGTCTTAATATTGTGTACTATTTAATGGTTGTAACAATTGTTGAACCTCTGAACATGGACTTTAAAAAAATTTTAGACAGCAGTTAAAAAAAAACTGAAAAAAAAAATCTAAACACTGCATGTGAATTGTTGATAGAATCTTCATTGATACTGTGATAACATTCATTTTTGTAAGGTTTTTATTTTAATCTTTCGGGTACACAAACCCACAAATTCATATCCATGAAATGATAAACCAGTAAAAATTTACATGAATGTGTTGTACTGTGTGTGGATTTCTTAAGTACTAATCAAGTGTCAACTGAGTTTGTTTCTCCCAAAAATGTCTTACTTTACAGTATGTGATTATATTGAACAATGATCATGAAAGGTCTAATGTTGTTCTGACGATTCTAAGAGGTTCATGGTCTGGTTTTTTGATAACAGTTCTTTTGATATATATTGTAGTGTAGACTGGAAATCAGGAAAATACATAGAGGTAGTTGATTGAAACTCCTAATGAGGAGAACATAATTTGTAAGGTAAGTGAACTTGTATAGAAAAAAACTCCAGTCAGGTTTAACAGTCACTTCCTGGCTTACTACAGCAAGATATGCAGACTAAAAGAGAGAGAGAGATTGTACTGCATTCTGGACCTAGTCCTTTTAGATGTGATAGTACCTGAGAGCCTCAGTGAGAGGTGATTGTACAAGTCTGCTGTGTTATAGGAATGGATGTATCACTGGTTGAATTGTCCAAGGTATGAGTCATTGATGTACAGTATTATCTGGTAAATATTCTGTAAAGCTTTTTTTCTTTAATCTGCAGGAGAAAATGTACATGCATTAAGATTTATTTTCAATAAATATCAGAACTGTTTTGTTTTGTTGTTTTTTTTTCTTCTTTTTAAAAAAGGTTTCGTTGTTGACACCACGCAATTCAGATGTATTCTTAACACATCTATATAGTTGAATGGTGAGATATTTTCTGCAAAATGATATCTTGAAAATCGCAACCTATGTGATTATAGAATTGCAGTAATTCAAATTACTTTAGAATAAGAAAGGGCAAACACAAAAAAGAAAAATTATGATATACAGAAAAAACTTTTCAGAACTCTTCATATCCCCCTAATTCTACTTTTTATAAATATTGTCACAGGAAGGAGAGATCTCCAGTTCCTATGTATGTTAAGTATTTGTTAACACTCAAAAAATTCATCATTTGGATAAAAAGTTTTCCTTTGTGATTTTTCCTCCTTAGAAAGGGAAGTAACTCATGTCTCATTGTGTTTCATAACTTCAGAAACCTATCCTTATACACAATGTGGAGTAGACTGGCCTCTGTCTCTAGAACATTTAATTACAAATGTAAAAATAAGTCATAATTCTATCTCTTGGGTATATCTATATTTTTAAAAGTAAGGAGGGAGATAAGCTGGTAGGCAAATACAGGCAAATCTTTACAAAAACTTGTAGGACCTTTTACATGTACAGATGTAGCCAGTATACTATAGGGGTGATGTTTTGGTTGTTTTTAGTCAGTCTGGAATGGTTATGTATAGACTGCTATGATAATAGGACAACATGTTTGTAGGATTTACTCATTGTATTACATTTTCGTTCTACTCTACTGTACTAGGAGCTCTATGCAACAAATATACAATACAGTTTATCTCCTTTTTCAGCATGATTAAACCTTGTGTTGTTGGTCCAAATTTTCAGTCCCGTAACTAAATTTCTGGTGTTTTTTCTATTCACAGAGAAAAATAAATGTCTTGAGTATATACTAGGCCTATAATTTTTGTAGGTGGTTTTAACAACAACTGGAGCAAACTAATTTCTTTTTCAGAAAGTTGAGGTAAATAACAATGGAATCACAGTAAATTCTTTTGAAAATAATGGAAAAATTGACCTTAGTCAATAAATACCTGCAATTATAGATAACTGGGGTATACATTCTCATACAGGTAGCTTCATATGCAAGGAAGTGATAACCATAGCCATGCCAACATTAAATAAACCAATAGAAAGATATTTAACCACTGAAATGCTCTTCTAACATTAGTGATGTTATACAAAATGTGTTCCATTCAAAAACATTCTCCAAGATATGATTTATAAACAAGTACAAGATGTGACCTTGACCAACCAGAGACCTATATATACAGGGCTTTTGATACTTATCTGAAAGAGATGCTTTACGACACATTTGTACACATCTTTTAGTTCTTCAAAACAATTCATATTTTAAAAATTGCAGATTATTTTATTTTCTATCATCATTCGTAGTATTGTTGACTTAATAGTCACTCTCCTATCTCCAATTTTGAGAATGTGAAATTACGGATTTTGCCTAGAAACAGAAGACGTTTTCCCTTCTCAAACACATTGCCTGAATTTTTATTTTACCCAGCCTTGAAACAGACGACTTTTCCTTCTCGAGCACATTCACATCGAAACAAAGTACACGTTCTCTGCAGGGTCTAGAACACATTATCTGAGTCTCTATTTCGCCTAGAAAATGAAGACTCTTCCCTTCTGGAACGCATCGTCTAAATCTTTATTTTCTCTGAAACAGAATAAGCATTTTCATACGGTGTCTATCAAAATCTCTTTTCCTTCTGGAACACATCGGCTGATTCTCCACAAGAAACTTTGCCTTTTGGAGAGTGTAATTCATGTATCGTGTAATTATCTACTTCACCTAGAAACAGGGGACACTTTCTCTTTCGGAACATGTCTTGCTTTCTCAATATTTGAATTTCCGAAATATCAAAGGTCTTGTGAACAAATTGTTCATATTTTTGTATTATAGGACAGATTGTCAATTGTTGTTACTTTCACAAATATATGATACTGCGATTAATTCTATTTCACATCCTTTAAGTAGTTTAGTATTGTATTTCGGAGAACTGGTTTACGTATTATGTTGATCACAACATCAAAAATGAAATAACTGATAGATAGTCAGTCCTAACCCTTTGCTCTCATCCACCTGAGCGCCAATGCGTTTGTACAGGTAAATTGATCAAATCATAGAATTTAAAGTTCAGAAATTTAAATTTAAATAATAGCAAGAACGAATGTTGTTTTTATAAAACATAATTGGTATCATTTGATTCTTTTCGTTTTTACATTTCCATGTAATATGACATTGCAATAAATAAATAAAAAAAACCATAATCGTTGGCAGTCGAAATCTCATTAACATATGTACATATTGTAAACTTATCCTAAATAATAAAACTATTTTATTGTACAAAAACAACAGGTGGTATTTGTATAAAGCATCTGAAAATCTGTGATACCACAAAAACAGTAATATTTAAAAGGTGTGTATTCGTCATGTCACCCCCTCGTAAGATTCCAATTTTTACAAATAGAAATATGTAGTAATTATTTTTAATAATACAAATTTCTTTTTGTCAAAATGTTGCCACACTCATGATAATGAAATATAACCAAACCTTGCAAAATGTTATTATTCATGCATTTCTCTGCTAATGCATTTTTTTATATACCAGACAGTGTGCACGTGTTGAGCCGGTCATTTAATGTTACGTTGAAGCTCGCGGTACGTTTAGGGGTGGGGGAGTTAATTCATAAAAGGAAAATAATAACTGCAAGCCAATAATTAGATTACATATAAAATAATATAATGCTTCAGACTGCAGTTTATTGAAACAATGAGAGCATATTTCATTATTTCTGAATTTAGACTGGCCAGTTCGGTCCGGTTTCGTTTCGGAATTACATCCCCAACGCATACTTCCTTTGCAGAACAACCCGAAACCACGAGGGCAACGTAAACCGGAGTGCGGACTGTCTTGGTGGAAACTCAAGTCAACAACTCATCAAGTTGTGTTATTGGTGTAATCGATTGTGGACATACATATAGTTGGGTTATAAGTCTTATATCACGTTTTTGACTTGTCATTGTACTCTCATTTCTGAGTTTGTACTATAAACATAAAGGCTATCGGTGCGCTGTACAGTTTGCCAGTTTTGCATTACGAGAAGAAAATATGGGTCTGTTCAAAAGAAACAAAGGAGAAGCAATCGTAACAAAACCGGAGGAGGGAAAAGGGAAAGTCGAACTAAAGCGACAGATATCACTTCTACATGGTGTGGCAATCATCGTTGGGATTATTATAGGATCGGGGATATTTGTTTCTCCAGTCGGAATTCTAAAACGCGTTGAATCGGTGGGTTTGTCCTTCGTAATGTGGGTTGCATGCGGGATATACAACACCCTATGTGCTATTTGTTATGCAGAATTAGGGACAACATTTCCTCAATCAGGGGGTGAATATGTCTACATTAAAAGAGCCTTTGGAGAGACAGCAGGCTTTGTATGTTTATGGATTAATTTCCTTCTGATATGTCCAGTTGGAATTGCAGCATCTGCCCTGATTTTTTCACTGTACATCCTAAAACCGTTTTTTCCTGATTGTGATGGGGTACCAATGACAGGCCTTGCTCTACTGGCAGCAGTCATTATCAGTAAGTATGAACAAAACTCTCAATTTCATGTAAAATTGCATATAGAACGGAATTACTTTCGTTCATGCATGTAGACATCCTATTCCCTTTTGAAATTCTTCCTTGGGACTCATTTATAAATGACATTTGACAATATCCCTTGGTCGCAGGGACGTTGACAAACATCCCAATATAAATGAGTCCCAAAGAGGAATCCCAAAAGGGATTAGTAGACATGCATGTGGGTTTTATAGTTTTGAAAGTGTAACATGAAGATGTGCTGTTAAGTAGACTTCAGACAATTTAGACAAATGCATTTACACCCCCTCCCCCTTCCTTGAATGCAACTTGTGCAATAAATGAAGTTTTTTATCTAGCTAAAAGCTTAAAGCTTAAAAAATGGTCTGTAGGATATTATATAGATAGTGTACAGGTGTATCTATAAGTATTAAGTTTTGGAAGTGTTACAAACTTGTAAACTTATAATCAGGTACTTGGCAGGGTTTTCTTTTTTTCAAGCTTGAGTGGTTGACGTTGAATGAAGGGTTAGTTAATCTTATCTTGGTTGTCCAGTTAGAATGACATTAACATACTGATATAGTATGACTGTGTATTTTTATACAAACAATGTTCATGCATATAACATATATTGGTAGTACACACAATGTTCTTTTTATGTGTTTGATTTATTATCGACTAGTATTCAAAACAGGAACCCAAAATATTGTCTTCTTATGGAATATCTCATTTACAGTTTGATTTTTTAGTTGACTTACAATTTATAATCTTAATGTCTGTTTTTCATTAAAAAAAAAAAAAAAGAAAATGATACAATATGATGAAATTGCCAATGATAATTTGTTCAGTTATGACCACTACAGAGTACCTGCTCCTATTAATGAAATGTCCTAGACACCCATACATAAACAAATCTATGTATACTTTTGTTTTGTTCTGATAGCTAGGGGCAACTATGTAAAGTATATACAACGTATTTGAATAAGACTTCACAGCTGGTTTGTTTCAAAAGTTTCAAAGTTTCATGGGTATGGTATCAGTACCAGGGTCATGGATAGGTATATATATCTTAAAGGGTTTTAATACTTTTTATATTTAAGAGGCGAATGGAAAATTTATTTACTGTTTAAAGTGGAAATATGCTGGATGTTAAATTTATTGTTTTCAAAACTTTGATTATGCATGACATGCAGGAGTTGTGTATTCATACTTTTTGAAATTAATCCATGTAAGTGTCAATCACAGCACACACCATACCTCAAAAGTGAGTGGGATTCCACACACTGGTAACACTTTGTGTGTGTTGTTATCGAAATTTGGATTGATTTTGATATTTCATCACCCTGCATACCTTTCAGTATACATACCCAATGCACAGTGTCCAACTTACTAATGTTAACCAACTCAGTGAGTGAATTTCACTCTGAACTGATATTGGCTCTACCTTCTTTTGTTAATCATACTTTTTGAATTTATAAAACCACATATGTTAAAGCATATATTAATGATAAAATTCCATGTATATCTAATCTTGTGTAATATATTTTTTTATTTAATGTTGACAGATGTTACTGGTTTTTAAATTGTATGATTTGATCTTACAAGTGTATTTTACTTAAGTACAGATGTACGTTTTAAATTGGTTCTACTGAGAATGACCTGCCACCTTTTATCATTGAAATATGATTGAAAAGACTCTTTAATATACCTCCCTTATATGTTTTTCCCACTCTTGAGGAATATGTCCCGAATCCCCCACCAAAGGGTACATAGTATATCTTGTGATCATCTTGACATTTTTTGTTGGCTTTTTCAACCATCAAAATGGCCTGTTTTCAAAAAAATATTTCAAATGACCAGTTTTGGATACCGTGTATTCACACAATTGCTCTGTCTTGTAGAATGATTTTTGAATATCAATATATAATATAAAAAAATCTGTCACCTCTAAAATTTTCATTTATATTGAATATGCATGAACATTTTCAGTTTTGTTAAAAAAATTGTAATGAATTTATTTTAAGGCTTAATACAAAGATTGATACATTTATGACAATACACATCAAGTGCATGGTACATGTACAATAGCTATATGCAGGGTTTTCCATAATTTTGTTAGTAGTAGGCTGTGTAGTGAAAGTAGGCGGCCGGCCTGCCGTGTACGTGTAGTCATGTACGGAATATTATTACGGAACTGGATTGGTGTAGGCGGCCAAGTGATCAAAGTAGCCGGTCAAATTGGCCGGCGACCGGCTCTTATGAAAAACCCTGTATATGACAAATCTTCTTAAAATCTAGGTAATTGTTTCTATGGCAATGTTTTATTTATATACCTGGGGTATATATATATATAAGTAGTCGCTTGACTAAAGTCCTAGTTCAGATGTATATATCCTTTTAGATATTTTGATCAAGTCGTTATAATAATACTCCTCTTTAACCAATTTTTATTTTAACTAAGTTACTTATTATAAAAATATACATATATATGTATATTTAATACTGATAGATATATAGGCTGTATCTATGTTCCAAACACATCAATATATATACATATAATTCAGAGGTTAATAACTTAACCAAATGTCCACCCTGGGTCATCAATCCTTGTATGGCTACATTATATGCATATGTACATTTACTTTATAGATAATAAAATGATCTAACTGTGTAACTGTGGAGTCTGCATGTTTTAGGACAAACTAAGGCCATATGTGTAATCAATTTGATGGATGGTGCATTGACACCCCCCTCCCCACCTACAAACAAGTCCTAATGTAATCCCCTACCCAGTCTTTGGGGAAAATTGCATCATAGTTAGTGTAAACAAGTCCATGTTGCATCATACCATAGTCTTTTTATGGAAACACTTTATGCATTGCATCATCTTTTATACATTTGAATACTTGGGTATTTTAACTTCCATTACTGAATAAGTGCTTTTACAAATTTAAATGTAGAGTTCTTGACCTGTACACGTTTAAATGAAGACTTCAAAAAAGTTGGAAGCCATTTAGGACAATTATAGATAATGTACATAATTAAAGACAATTGTGCCAAGTACTACAGTGTACATCTGTAAAAATAAAAAACATTGGGATCTTTAATTTTCAGGTCTAACAACCAGTTAAATAACAGCCGTTATATATACTTTGTAGATATACTGTAGACTGTGTTAAATATCTTTTAATAAATGTGTCATACAGTGTATATATGCCTGATATTGAAATGGTTGCAGCTGTTGGAACTATAACCCTGTTCATTTTTACATTCACAGGGAATCAATTACATGATACATGTGTGCAGTGGCAAAATTCATATATGAAACTTTGAGAGACTCCATACATGTATGCAAAGCAATATATACATGTATAGAGTGTAATTATAAGTTGTAAGCCTGGTTTAACAATATAGTGAATAATTTGATGAAAAACAAAAGAAATGCTCCTATGGTATTTCCAGCCAGTTATAGGGTATGATACTTTTCATATCATATATTGATCTAATTATATAATGTCCCAGTTTACCTGAAAATGACTGTCCTTCAATCGTGAATGACCTAGATGTTGATAGAACATGGTCCGATATCTTAATCAATGTAAAACAAACTTGAAAGTAACCACGAGTCCATTAAAGAATGTATAATTGTTTATTAATGCAACAAATTTTTTTTATCTCCTTCCATACCCATCTATACAAATTTGTTGTGGGGGGTAGGGAAAATGTGTCATAATTAAAGTTTTGTTTACACCAGTCAATGAATGAAGACTGTGTTAAAAGGACATCAATTTTCCATTCTTCCTTGTACATTGCCTGCATGTTTTATGTCATACAGATTGATTCATATTTTTCGTGCAATCCTAAATGTATACAGCATTTAATGTGGCAGGAATGAAGTTGTACTTAAAATGGAATATTGATCTCTAATCTTAGATATGTTACTGGTGATTGTTCATGTGGATTTCTAAATCTCATAGGCGGAATAATTTTGTTGAAGAATTTAGTACGTTGTAGACAACCCATTACCAAATATTTTTAGCTAAAGGTACAAAAGTTGTTTTATTGATGACTATGATACTGAGTTGAGATCATTACAGTCTTCAGGCTTCGACAGTGGTGACTTGGGATACAGTTGTAGCTCTAGTGTTAACAGGTAGAGCTGATGCAATTGTGTCACTTAATAGAGTGTTGTTTACGTTTGTGATTACATTTTCTAAAGAGTAACACCAACAGGAAAGGGTATTATCGAACAGGATGTCGTTTATGGTACATACTTCTAAGTAAAATAGTTCATGACTAAACCAAACATGAATCAACACTTCGAATGACAACACATGTACACCACCCATGTTGGTAAAAGTTTCTATATATGAAGGACATGTATTCAACATTACACTATCATTTTCATCAGACAAATGACTAGTATATAAAGAACATACATGTGTATAATGTTTTATATATATAATCTATAAGATGTTTAGAATTTAAATTCACAATTTGTTTCTTTGCTGGGGTTAGATACCTTTATATATTGCCCTGTAAACAGCCAAGGTAATTTTGTGACAAAGTCTTATTTTAGTAGGTTACAATACTTCACAGACCAACATGCTGGAGGGCCATCACATGTCTGCATGTGAGCAGCAAGGGTCATCTTATGGCAAAGTCATTTTTGTATGATGTTTCATATAATTGGTGATTACCTTACTGAACAATATACAGAAGGCCTGTCGTGGTAATAATCCTGGGATTGAGATAAAGTCACATCTTGTTCTAGGACACGATCATAACAAGCACATACATTGTGATCTTTGGCTATCTGAGAAAAATGTACTGCCACAAATAAATATCAAACTGCGAAACAGATGATGGTCTGTCGTGTCACCTGGTAATCATAATGCTAACTATTTTCTGTTTTTATATACATCAACATATTATATGCTATTGTTTGAACCATATTTCATTATTACAACATTTATTGTGTCAGTGAGTCCCATTTAAGTTTA